GCTTTAAAGGTATTAAGGCGTGTTATTATAGTAGGATAAAAAAATAAGCTAATAAGTTATTAGTATAAGAAAATATCTTACTTTATAGGTGTATAATTTAAAAGCGTAGGCATTAGTTTTTTAATAAGTAAAAGTATTTTTAATATTTTACTTGGTGCTGTAAGGTTATATTTAGCCTGTAAATTATTAATATAGGAATCTTAAAATAACTAGATTTTTTAATTATAATAATTATAAATAATTTTAATATTTAGAAACCACTTTACTTTGCCAAGATTTTATAATTTATATATATATTTTATATATTTAATAAAGTTAGCAGCCTTTTTCTTGGCTTTAGCTAATCTCTTACTTATAATAAGTATATTATTAATAAAAAAAATAACTATAAAATACTTTATAATAAAAAGGCAAGGCTCTTCCAGCACTAGCTTAAAGCTATATTTAAAAAGTATTAAAAATATCTTTTTTTATTAAATACATGGTAATTATTTAAGGCCATATAAGGGTTAATTTAACTTAAATACTCTATTTTTAACGCGCCAGGGGCCTGGTAGTATTTTAATATATATTTTTTTATTTATAAAGCTTTAAATAAAGGCGTTAATAATATTTAATTAAATAATATTAAGGTTAAAATAAGCAACAAGCGCTATTATAAGTTAAAATAATTAAGTAATAAAAGTTACTATTATAATATTAGTATAGTTACTAGGTTAAAAATCTTTTTTAGTATAAAAACATGCTTTAAATTTATTTAAATAGCTAGCGGTGTTAAATTTATATTTAAATACCTATGTAAGTAATATAATAATCTTGCCTTTTAATATAAAAATAATTTTAAAAGTATGGAGTTCTTTAAAAGTACTAAATTTAACTTTAGCAGCCTTTATAAATTAGTTCTTATATAAATACTTTATAAGTTTTACCTAGTTCTTTAGTTTTTTTTAAAGCTAATTTTTATAAATAACTTTGCCTAGTGCCTTTTATAATAGTCCGGGAGGCTTAAAAATTACTAAGTAAAAAAAAATATAGTATTTAGTAAAGTCTTTTACTAGCTAGTAAAAAAGTTTAGTATAAAAAATTTTAAAAAAGGCCTTTATCTTAGGCGGTTTTTATTTATAAAATTTTTTAAATCTTGCTTTTAGTACAGGTAATTATATTAGGCCTTTTTATTTAATTTAACCTGTGTAATTAAAAGTCTAGGATTAGGATTTTATTTCCCTTTTTTTATATTAATTTTATATGGTTTTAGGTTGGATTCTTTGGGAAAAAGTAGTGTTAATATTTTTTTTTTATTATTATTTTTATTTATATTATTTTTTGGTTATAAGAGCCCTCTAGCGCTATTATTTTTAAAGTTAAGTATTTTTTTATTTTTCTTGCTTTTTACTACCTAGTTAGATGTTATTAAAATAGTTTTATAATTATTATAAATTTAAAAGCTTTAATTAGCTGTAGTGCTTGCTAAGCTTAGGCTAGTAATAAAAATAAGTAAAATTATAGGGTTTTTATTATTATATAATATTAAATTACTAGGTAAGTTAAAAATAGCTTTATTTTAAGTATTAATTTTAGTATAAGGTCTATTATTTTTAACCTTTTTATTTTTACCTATTTTTATATTATTGGGCTTGGGAGTAGGCTTATTTTTATTATTAAGTTTAAAAAAATTATTTTTAAAGTTAATAAGAAATAGTATATTAACTAGTTTTTTTTTTTTTTTTTTATTAACATGTGCTAAAATAGCGTATTTTAAACTAGCTATATAAATTAAATTATTTTTATTATAGGTTCTTGCCTTGTTAAATACTATATTTTTTACTTAAATAACTAAATATTATATAGCTTTAGCACAAGGGTTCCAGATTTTTTAAATATTATAAGCTTTTTTATATTTATAAAAATATTTAATAGCTGCTCTTGGCTTTATTTTATAAAAGTTAGGGATTTTTAATTATTAATAAGTAAGTAATCTAAACTTAAAAATATTAGCTATATTTACTAGGCAAGTATTACTTATTAGTGCTTAAAACTTTTAAAGTAGTATAAATTATTTATTTTTCTTATTTTTTATAGGCATGTAATTTAGTATATAAATAAACACCTTTATAACTTTAAATATAAGATTTTAGGGTATATTAATAGTTAATAAAAGCACTCTAGCTTTTTATAAAATAATTTTTTTTAATTACTTACTTGCGCTGTTTTATTTAGGCATATTAAAAATAGTAATTTTAAAGGCTAAACCTTATTATTTTTTAATAAATTTAAAGTTATTTAAGAGCTGTAATATCTTATTATTTATATAAAAAAATTAAATATAAAGGCTAAATTATTTAAAGGTATAGGTATTAAGTAATTAAACAGCATGCTGGTAATTATTTTTTTTAGCATGTAGTATTATTCACCTTATTTAGGTAGTATTATTTAAAAAATAAAAGGTGTATTTTATATTATTTTAAAATGCTTTAAAAGTAAGAATATTAAAATAAATCCTTTTAAAGGGTTGGGTTACTTTAGTTAATTTAATTTATAATATTTACTTAGGGAATTATAAGAGTTTGCATGGCGTGTAAAGTAGTTTTTTTTCTTACTTTTTATTAAAAAGCTAAGGCGCTGGATTAATTTATATACTAATTATAAATATTAAGAGTTTAAATACTATATTAGTATTAAAATAGCCTATATGCTTATACTAAATTTTTAGGCTTTTTAATAATATTTTTAAAGTTATAAAGTATTAAATTTTTATTTTTATTATGGTGTAAAAGGCCTTAATCTCTTTATTATTATTAATATTAAATTTCTTGTAGTAAAGTGTGTATAATTTATAATATTATTTAAGTATATAAAAGTTTATTTTTTTTAAGTTTTTAAGAGTCCTTTTATAACCACTAAAATATAGATTTACTAACATAGCTTTATTAAGGAATATAATAGTAGTATAAAAGCCGGGAATATAAGCGTAATTTTTAAGCTTTAAAAGCCTTTTTAAGCTATTTAATTTCTTATAAAAAACGCGGAGTATACTAAACTTTTTAATCTTATTAATAGTATTATTAATAAAAATAATATTATTTTTAAAGGCGTCGTGGATGTTAATTATTTTAGTAAGGTTATTAATAACATGTATAAAAAATCTAGAGTTAGTAATAACACTTTTATATAGGCTATATTATAAGTTATTAAATAATAAATAGGTAATTATTATTATAACTTTCTTTAGGTCTTTAAAATTATTTTTTTTAACCTTAATTTTAAATATTATAGTATTAAATCTAAATTTTTTAAAGGTGCTTAGTACTTTTTTTTTAATAGTTAAATCCTGTATATTTTCCTTTACTTTTTACAAAGTTTTTTTTTAAGGCTCCTAATTTTTTAAAGCTCTTTTAGTGTTAAAATACTAGTAAGAAATAATAAAATACAGGTGGCTATATACTAGGTATATTAGCTTTAATTTATTATCTTTATTTTTATTATTTTTTTTAAATTTCTTATTATTTTTAATGTTTTTATTTTTTTTATTTACTAAGTTATTTTTTTTAAGCATGGTAAAGGTACTATTTATTAGCTATTATCTAGATTTACTATATATAGTATAAACAGCCTAAAGCATATAAAATACTTTAAACTTTTTAACAGCGTTAATAAAGTTCTTTTTTTTTTTAAAAAAAATGGCCATGTAAAGCCTTTAACTAAACTTTTTATTAATAATTATAGTGGTATATATAAAGTTTTAAAGTATGTTAGTATTTTAATTACTAGTAAAAATATTAAACTTTTTAGCTTTAGTAAATATACCAACCTAGTAATTACATTAATTATTAATTTACTTTTTAATAAAAAGGCCTTAGTAAATAACTACCTTTTTTTATTTTACCTTAATTTTTGTTTAGCGGGCAATATTAGATTATATATAATATTTTATAAAAAGTTAAAGTATTACACGCGGATATTTTTAGCTATATAAAAGTTATTAATAAAAGCTAGATATAGTTAAAGTTATATAAGCTATTATTATACTTAGTAAAGCTTTATATTTCTTTTTTTAAGTAAGATATTTTTTTATAATAATATAAAATCTGCCTTGTTTATTAGCTATTAAATAACTTATTTAAAGTTTACCTTTTTTAAAAATATTAAAGTAATAATTTTTAAGGATTGGCCTTGGGCCAACAGGAATAAGTAATAAGTTTTTATTATTAACTAAAAAATTAATATAATTTTATATTATAAGGCCTATAATTATTAATTTAATAATTTAATACCATGGGTGTTATATATTAGGGCTATTTAAAGTAATAATATTAAACTAGGTATTTATAAATAGGAATTAAAGGTTTTTTATAATATATTATATAGTAAACAAGGAGAACTCTAGGAGTTTAGATTTAAATAATAAATAGTTTTAAAAATAATTATATAAATAATATTTAAAAAAGTAAAGTATAAGCCGGGCTTATAACTTTTAAAGTTATAAATACCTTAGGTAAAAATTAGTTATATAAGATTAGAATAAAAATTAAGAAGTAAATAAAATATAAAATTTCTTAGGATTTAAAATAAATAAAAATATAAGAGTTTAATAGCTAAATATAAAAAAATTTAAGCTATATTTATTCCTTTTTTTCTTTATATTTTATTTCCTAATTAGGCCGTGAGATCCGGCCAAAGTTAAAGGTCAATTCTTTTCCTATCTTTGGAGGTTAGTTAAAGTCATCCGACTGAGTTTGCCGCGGAGATCCAAGGGATCTCCACCTCTCGTCCGACATAATGACAATGACATGACAGGCCGATAGCGTGGACCCTGTACTCCGTAAAGATGCCGCAGGGCGCAGAATGTCGAGAGAAGGCGTTGTTTGTTGATGTTGCGAGAAGGCGTCCCCGCCTTTTTATCTTCTGCAGCTGCCCCTCTCTCTCTCTCTCTCTCCAACTCTTCTCAACACACAACCTTCCCTTCTCAACTCCTCAATCCATTCAATCAATCGATTACCAAAATGTCCCTCTCACCCTACAAGCTCCTAACCTTCGACGTCTACGGCACGCTCGTCGACTGGGAATCCGGCATCATCGCCGCGCTGGCCCCCTCACTCTCCAAATCCCCCTCCCCAACCAACAATCCGACGCGCTCCCAAATCCTCCACGCCTACCACGATCTCGAGCGAGCCCAACAAACCAAAACCCCATCCATGCTCTACTGCGACGTCCTCGCCACAATCCACGCCCCGCTCTGCGAAAAACTCAACCTCCCGCCCCCCAGCGCCTCCGAATCCCGCGCATTCGGCGAGTCGATTGGAAACTGGCCGGCGTTCCCGGATACAGTGGGCGCATTGCAAAGATTAAAGAAGAAATACAGACTCGTTGTGTTGTCGAATGTCGACCGGGAGTCCTTCGCCAAGACGAACGCGGGCAGTTTAGAGGGGTTCGAGTTCGATGCGGTTATCACGGCGCAGGATGTAGGCTCTTACAAGCCGGATCTGGCGAACTTTGAGTTCATGCTCGGGGCTGTGAAGGAACGCTTTGGGGTTGAGCGGGGGGAGGTGCTCCAGACGGCGCAGAGCCAGTTCCATGATCATCATCCCGCGCAGAAGGTTGGGATTAGGAGTGTGTGGATTGAGAGGCCTGGGGCGATTATGGGGAATCTGGAGGAGAATGTGTTTGATTGGAGATTTGAGACGTTGGGGGGGATGGCGGATGCGGTTGAGGCTGAGGGTGAGGCTGAGTAGGGGCTCTTATATAGGACATAGAAGTTGATAACGGGATCAAACGATGAAAAACGATTGTGATTGCTATTACATGGCCATGAACAACCTCAAGTACTTGTGGGTATTACGGGCATAGGGCTGAGCATAGTCATAGCCCCAAAAGAAGGCATCCAATAACGCCTCGTTGACGACGTGACTGTCGTGCATGGCAAGAGCAAAAGAAAATACCCAGGGCTGGCAGGCCTCCCCTGCTGAACTAACGCCGCTCAAGACAACCAGACCAAGCAGGCCATCTCATTCCAGTCTGATGTTTCTCTCCTAGACGTCCAGGTCCGTCTGTCGCTGGCTCCTTCAAGGCCGTCACACCCGCGACGACGCACAACACCAACCAAACACGCGCCTGTCCTTCACATCCACAGGTACGGTACACCTAAACCTTCACCGGCCCATGGACCACCGGACTCGGAGCAGACCCCGTCATAGGAAGCACCTGCACGGGCCCGGACGCAGGGTACGCCGCGGCATCATCCCTGCCCAGATCCTCAGCAGCGACAAGGAGCGCGGCAACAAACGCAACGGCGTAGAACAGCCTGCTCAGGAAGACCTGCGCGTCGCCGGAGCGCTCAAAGTACTCCCACGAGCGGAACGCATCGCCGTAGTTCGTGTCGGCGAAGCCGCCCATGAGCACGAGGGTCAGGGTTAGTGTTGAGAGGGCGAGGGTGGGAATTAGGAGGGGGAGTTTCTGCACGAACGTCAGCCATATCATAATATAAATGGGGAAGGGCAGGGAATGGGAATGACATACGCCTCGTCGTAAACTCTCCTTCTTCACCAGCGCAAACCCCATATTCGCGACGCCCAGCAGCGCAGCCAGGAACAGGAAGACGTAGTACGTCATGCTGAGGTTGCGAGCCGACCGGACGAGGTCGATGTCGATGGTGTCGCCTGTGCGGTAGAGCGAGTCCTGGATGTGGCTGTAGACGGCGAGGCTGACGAGGAGGAAGAGGCCCGTGAGGCCGAGCCAGGCGGAGTGCACGTAGAGGGTGAGGGTTGCGAATTTGTGAGCTTTGGCGTCGCCGCTGCTGCTGCCGCTGCGTTGGAGGTCCAGGCAGATGGGGAGGAGGACGGCGATCATCAAGAGGAAGATGGAGATGCTGTTGAACCATGCGGTGGCTGTTGCGGCCTGCTGGTACTTGTCGTAGCGCATGATGACGCATTCGGTTAGGATGAGGGTTAGGGTGTCGATGAAGAGGTACCTAGACGACTACTTAGTGCCCAGCTAAGGTTGTAAGGTTGGGGGACATACAAGATAGCGAGGAAGATGGACACCGGGAACAAGAGCCACTTTGCAAAACTAGAACCTGCGCCTGCGCTGCTCTTCTTCATCTTGAGCAGGCGGAGCACGGTGAAGACGGCAATGGCGATGAACGCGACCAGGAAGATCACGTCAAACGCGAGATCGACTCGTGGTCCTGTGGTCTTGAATGCGACCTCCGACGCGCACGAGGAGCTGGTTCCCTGGACGGAGTAGTCGCTGCCCAGCGCACCGAGACTAGTAGAGCTAGAGCTGGAGCTCGAGGTTGTGCCGTCGCTGGCATCATCAATCCAGTCAGAGACGGTCGAAGTAGGCTCTGAGGCGGAGCTCGTCGAGGTGGACAGGTCGGACCAATCGATGTCCAGGTCTTCGTCGAGACCGTAGTCCGACAGGTCGATGTCGTCCAGGTCATCGAGGTAGTCTTCCACGGTAGACATGGTGGGTTACTTTGTCCTGGGTGGTTGAAACGAGACGGGAGGAATTGGAATTGCCGGGAAGATTGGGTCAATAGAGACAAGACTTTTCACCAGGTCAATGGTGCCATTTGTATGCTCCAGCTCCCAGGCTGCTTTTGGCGCATCTTCAGCCCAAAACGCCATCGACCAGGGAGCTCGTATACAGCAATTCGTCCCGACGATCTTCTTGATGTCGTTGGTTCGTGGACCAGCACCGCAATACGAGGTTTTAAATAGCGTCCTTCTTCTTGGCCACGAGGCCGAGGAATCAAAAGCATTCTGAGCAGAGCCCTTAGCCGCTAGTGGCTTCAGATCGTATTCGACCTTTGTTTGCTGGCGAGGCTCGCGAGGCTTGTGTCACACTGTGCAACGGTGCATCTTGCTGGATTGGAGGCGCCCATAGCGCTTTTTGCCTCGCTTGACCTGCTGCAGGAACAGGGTGCGCCACGAGGTTCCTTTCATTTCCCCACGCGCCGGGCTGTCAGGGTCTGTTCAGCTCTCAATACTGTCATCCAGGCCCCGTCCGTTGAAGCGCAGCAGAGTGCAGGCGAGTAGCAAGGTATGGTTTTGCACTTGTCCCACCCCGCAAATTTGAGCAAGTGGAATTCATCCTGGGCGTTGACTCACTTCTAGGAAGCTTGTCGAATCAGCCTTCGTTGAGACATCAGGAACTTGGTCTCGAGCTGTCCTCGTATCGCCAAACCATATCCGGGTTCTCGGCGGCATGCCACGGCCTCGTATGCTGCAGGAAGACGGCCACGGCGAGACTGGTCGTCACAAGCTCAAGACCTTGAACTTGAGGCCAGCCCACATCTGGCATCTGTAGACGCGAAGATCAATAGTGAGTCTGAGGTTTACTCATCGTTGCCTGAGTTTTGGTCGATCTGAGCAATGACTGTAGAATAAGCACATCAGGGGTTGGCAACAGAGTAATTCTCAGTTAAGTGAACGTCCACTCAATGTCCACGGGATTGTCAGGCAGTGATGCTGAATAGGATGCACCGGGATACAAAGAATCAGCGCTTGCTCGTACACTGTGAAACTCGGAGGCTAAAGCAGGGGCGAGTCATGCCTGGGGAAGGCAGACTTGGATGGCTTGATCTAAGTTTGCTCAGGCTCGACGAAGGATCCTTGCTTGGGACGGCAGGTAAGGCTGAATGAGCATCGAGAGGAGCTCCAGTCAAGATCTGTGTAGAGGTTCATGGAAAATAACTGGGAGTGGCTTGAAACATGGTTCGCTTTAGATGTTTCTCAGGTGTGCTTGTTGGGTCCTATAATAACTGGGTAAGGCATCCACAGTGTATGGGCAGTTGTGATAACCAGGTCGTTAAGACCTAGGAAAGCAGCAATTATCCTGGCCATTTCCAGATACCCATCTTCAGCCCTGCAGCCCAGCCAGGCTCAGTCTCAGTCTCACGCAGACCAATCCGTCGTAGCCCCAATCTCCTCCCCACCAACCGGCAAAAGGAAATCGCTGGCCTCAATCGTGCCATCATCATTCCTCTCTCCCTGGACAAGACCAACATCAACACTCACAAAACTGCCATCATCCCAATCCTCCCCTCCATCCCACGAGTTGCCCTCCGAGATCTGCTCATCACTAAGCGAGGTCGGACTCTCCCCATTCGACGCCGCAACGTTCCCCTCGAGCGTCGCGACCGCGGTCCCGAATTTAAAGCCTACCTTGGCGTTATCCCACGCTGTGTTGCGGGTGAGCACGAAGTTGCCCGGCTGCGAGTTATCGGTGAACCCGTCTTTGGCGTTGTCGAAGGCGATGCTGTTCGTGATGATGTGGTTTGCCGGGCCGATGTCTGCGTCGTCGCCGCCGCCCAGCTTGAAGCCGTTGCCGTCGCCTTCGAAGGGGGTGAAGCCCCATCTTTACAGGTTAGGGAGAGTTCATGAATGGTGTGGCTGGCTATTTACCGGTTGAAGCCGTTGCCCCATGCGATTGTGTCTTCGATCGTCACGGCGGACTTGAACTCCCTTTTCTAGTTAGATGGATTGGATTGACACGGGAGATAGCATACCAGAGATCCAGCCCGTCGTCGACGTTGTTCCAGAGCCGGGCACCGCGGAGGATGTTGCCCTCGCCGGAACCCTCTTTGCAGGCAAACCCATCGGCGCTTTCGCCGTTCTTGCGGGGATCACGGTTTCCGTAGGAGTCGAGGTACAGGACGAGGTTGTTCGACGATGCGCCTTGCAGCTGGAAGCCTGGACGGGTCAGCGTCGATATTTGGAAGAATCAGCGATGTATGCACCAGTCTCGTAGTTGTCTCGTGTGGTCAACCGCTCGTAATGGTTGTTTGATGCGTCTCGCGCATAGACACCATACGGCCCGTTGATCAGCTCGAGGTCATAGAACTCCCAGTAATCCGCATCTTGTATATGCAGGATCCCGCGGTCTGAATTGCCAAGGGACGCATCTAGGTCTGCCGGTGTTCTAATCCATGTTTAGCTGTGTCCGTTCTCCGGATTCTGCACCTACCCCGGCAGTTCTTCGCCGTCGATAATCACCGACTCTCCACCATAAGCACGGAGCACGTACGGCGCGGAAGCCGTGCCGCTTTTGGTAATCTGGATGTTTGTCGTCGGGGTGTACGTCCCGCCACGCAGATAGATCGTTGATCCGGCCGTGGCCTCATCGACGGCTAGCTGGATAGACTGGAAAGGCGCATCGATTGTCCCCGCGGCATCGTCCGAGCCATCAGGCGAAACGTAGATATCCGCCGCAAGGACCGCGGGGAGAACAGCGGCAACGAGCCAGATCGATTTTCCCATGACGGCAGTGGACCTGAGCTTCTGAAGGCAAGTTTGGGATCGACTCCAGTACTTATGCAGAATCGACACACGGCATTACCTCCCATTGTTGGAAAATCACCCTGATAACACGGGATATTCGTGCTCGGCCAAGCCTGCAGAGGCCACCACCGTTTCATCTTGATTCCCGTTCGCATGCCGATCTGCTTGGCTCCTGTGAAGAACTCGGTCCCTGGCCATGGCCCTAGCCCTGTTCTCCATACTCTCCCAGCGCTCGCGCCAGGAGCTCAGGGTACCATCTCCGCCCGACATCCTGATGGCTGATAATACGATGAATGAGCGTTCCCTCGCCAGTGCGACCGCGGAATATCTCATTAAACGTAGCCTCCGCATCCGACCGCGCTTTCCCATCGCCAACCAACTCCTTAATATGCTCCGGAAACTCCAACGAGATATCCTTAACCGCCAAATCCAAGCCCATCCCCTGGAAGACCGGGATTGAGAACCGCGGCCCCAGCGGCTCCCCATCCGCATCAACATAATTCGACGGCGCAAGATTCACCCGGTGTGTCGTCGCCGTACAGACGCCCCGCGTGATGGCCTCCAAGGCGCGCCCGATATTAACAACCAGCGAGCCCTCGATTGGTGGAGCGGGGACCCAACCCCCGGATTTATTCTGCACCTCCAGGCCGTGATGGGGTGTAGCCTGCAGGAGGAACGTCAGGAACTCCGAGTCCTTATGGGGTCCGACGCCCTGGGACTCGGCGTCGCTGGGTGGTGGCGGGTACTTGATTAATTTCATCTTCTGCTGCACGGGGGAGTCGAAGAATTGCTTCAGTGCTGACGAGGGCAGATCCAGGGCCTCGGCGATGAGAAGCTGGAAATTCTCCGCCACTGGGCTCAGCTCGCCCAAGTATGCTTCGACGGATTGGCGGAATCCGGGGATTGCGTTCTCGTCGGGCCACTGGCGATATTAGCTGCAGTCACTTTGTGAGGAGGGTGGTAATACCTGATTTGGGCCGCGAATATTCCTATACAGGGGCTCCTCTGGCCCGGGCGCTGGTAACTCCGTCGCAAACTAACGTCAGTTAGTACCTACGTCGAGGGATCTGAATTCGTACTCCGTAAGGGTCGACGTACATCGAATTGCTCGCGGTAGTCCTGCTTCCGGGCAGTGATCTCGGCCCCGAGTCGCGAGTAGCCGAGAAAGTGCTTGCTGTTCACCATCTCAATTTCAAGCTTCTTCTCCAGCGGGAGGTCGAAGAGTGCTTTGCACTTTTTGACGAGGCCGTGTCTGATTTCCGGCGCGATGGGCGCGTTGATGAGGTAGAAGAAGCCCACGTTGATCAGAGCATTGCGGAGGTCGGCGAGGAAGGCTGGCTTGTCGGATGCAGTCAAGGAATAGTCAAGGAGGGGAATCGCCGTGAAGCAATTGGATTGGATGGCCATCTTGATAAGTCGGATGATAATAATCGGCCTGGCAGAGGGTGAGATGGCCAGATGAGTTGAGTTGTGTTTTGGCGGGGTCAACGATCTGGCCGTTTCGTCATTCCCCCGGACTTCACGCGACGCCTCCCTGTGCTCGGCTCAAATAGGACTATTATTATTAGGACCTATTAACTCTTTGGGACATTTCTCCAAGCTGGTAAGAGAGCATCAACAGGGTCGTATCAGCGAGATGAATGAAAAAAAGAAAAAAAAAAAAAAAAAAAAGGTTGGGTGAAAATGGGGTGAGCCGGGATTGAACCGGCGACCTCTAGATAGAATGACTGGAGTTGGACTTCAGTCTAGCGCTACTCCCAACTGACCTATCGCCCCATTTAATGAATTTCGACAAAAAGTCGAAAAAACTGAAAAAAGATGGGATGATCCGGGATCGAACCGGAGACCTCCAGATACCTTGAATGAAGTTGTTCTTCAGTCTGGCGCTCTGCCAACTGAGCTATCGCCCCATTTAATAAATCTCAAGTCACTTAATTAACTTGGAGCCCATGGCGCTGCTGGGCGATGCGGCGCATCCGATACTCCAACGTAAGCTTTTACCCGTATCTACCTGTCACTATGGATGCTTACACTGGGGGCTCTACACCTCTGTACGTAGGGAGCGGGGGGCGCAGCAGAAAAGCAGAGAACAAAGAGTGCATTAGGCCCATCTCACCCCAGGTGAACAGAACAATGAGAACCAACAAAACGTTGCGCAGCAGCATAGGAAGAGTCAATGATCCAAATCAGACTTTGGGCTTCTTTGTCCGTCGCCGTTCGTCATCGGACATCTTGTCCGCAATGAGAGCCTCAGCCTTTGCGACAAGCACGATCTCCTCCTCCACTTCGTCCTCATTAATGGTCCGAAAGACGTATGGTCGCGTCAGCCCTAGCACGCGATGCCCGTCTTTCGGGACGCTGTCGTAATCAACCTGCATGATATCCGCCGAGAAGCCCATGCCAATGTCCCCAAGGGTGTGGAAATTAAGGCGTGGGATCTGAGCAATCATATCAACAGCGGACTGAGATATCTGCTGCAGCACCATAGTAAAGGCGTGCAGTCTTTGGGCCGGGTCCTTAACAGGGCTAAGAAGACTAAGAAGGGCCTTGTTGGACAAAAGGTCGGCCGCGAGGGCCTTGCATCTGGCGTCACGGCGAGCCTTGATGGCCTTTCCAAGCGTATAGTCGTCGGTCTGGGCGATGCGGACGGAATTGCAGAGGCGCGTTGTGATGGATCGCCAGACCTGCGCGTACTCCATTCCGACTGCATCTGCGTCAGTAACTGCAAGATGCACAGGACCATAGTCACTTGCCTTTCTCGAACTTGGACAGGAGCGTTTCCAGTGCAACTCCCAACGCGGACGGGCCATCCCAAGCACTCTCATCCGAGTCGGCCTCGTCGGCATTCTCGGCAAGATACCAAAAGGGATGTCGGAACATGATGTCAATAACAGTCTTGTTCAGGAACGCCTCCACCAGGGCCTTGCCCAAGCGGGCCTGTAGCCCGGGCTGCAGGCGGGCGTGGATGCTGTCCAGGTCTTCCTGCACCAGCCAGCCCTCCAACGACGCAACCACCTGCTGCTTCTGGCGCTTGGACAGGACGGCAATGTCGTCAATGGCGAAGTTCTGGGCCAAGTTCCAAGTGAGGCCAAAGTTAGCCCCGAATTCAAATGGGAAGTGGTGCGGCAGGATGATGGACCACTCGAAGAAGTCGCCTTCTAACCAGTCCGCCGTGCGGATGGTGTTGCGCACATAGATCTCCAGATCACGCACTCGCTCCTTCAGGCATTTCACCTGGTTCTCCAAGCTCTCGCCAGTCTCGTTGTAGAAGTAATTGAGGATGCCGTATTGGCCGTGGGGATCGGGCTCGAGCTCGGTCTTGAAAAGGGCGGCGACCTGCTTTGAAGCCTTGTCTTTGGCTTTCTGTCGCTTCATAATCGCAGGAGGAGACTACGGAGAAACAGCGGTTAGCAGTAGGACAGCAAGGTGCGCGAGAGATGCCTACCTTGTTGCTCTTTGACGCGCGCTTTCCCTTTGGGCGGCCCATGTTGGCGAGAAAAGGTCACAACACAGAGCAGGAAAACGCGACCGGGAGGGAGAGAAGGGTGTGAGAAGAACGAGTGAGCGATGGAGGAAAAAGTGGGCGATGGCCAGGTGTAAGGAAGCTGGAGGAAGAGCAGTCCTTGTCCGAGACATGGCCATTTGTCTGTCGAGACAGGGGGGCGATAACACGGATGACAGAAAGCACCCTTTGTCCCGGTCGCTGCAGCCTGCAAGAGACTCAGAAAGCGGAATCAGTCCATTCAAGCGGCTTGATGCCATCATCGCGCCAGCTCTTTCCGTCGCCGCTTTGTTTCCTTTTCTCTCCTGGTCCAGGAGCCAGGGCACCGTCTGACGGCCACATCCCATGCATTGAAGGATCCAGCAGGAACCATGGTTTGCCCAGCCACAAATCTCCAGCGGGAATGGCTTGCTAGATTAGCAGAGCCCAGCCATGCAGAAGATTGTTTTGGTCGGGGGCTTGGCCGCCTCTCACTATGTCCGTGAGCACTTGGTGAACACCTTCACTGTGCCTGGGAAGGTGTCGGTCATGGTTCCGGACAAGCCGTACGCAGCCCTTTGCCTGTTTCTTCAGGAAACTAACCCTTGTCTAGCCATCTGGCGGTTGCCATCGGCGGTGCGTTGCGGGCTCTCTCAGAGCCCACCCAGGCGACGGTCACCTCGCAATTGCATTACGGGTTTGGCGACGCTGATGGCAATGCGACGTGGATACTGAACAAGGCAAGCAGCCAGGGCGACCCTCTTCTATTCCACTGAGCTGACAGGCTCCACCAACAGGGGACACGATACAGTCAAGGCTATGAGCACTACGTGCAACTTTGGACAGCCTTCCCCGGAGGAACAGCAATTACTCTTCCGGTGTACATGTGCCGGCAAGCAACCGCGCCGCAGCAGGTGTCGAACGAGTGTACGTCCATCTGCCGAAGTTGCTGGAGAGACTCGCTAACCATGCTTTTTGCGTAGTTGTCCAGGTCGCCACGTCGATTTTCCTGGACCCCCAGGACTGATTATGGTGGCAGCTTCGCTTCTCCTCCAGTCTGTCACCATCCGAGGAGCATTCTAGCAGTTGTTCAGCCTGATTTGTATCCATCTATCCAATGATCGATCGTCCCTCTGCAAATGGCGCTCTCGTCCGACATTGGACGCGCTCCAAGATGAGTGTATGAGGGCCTGCAATTACCGCACTGATGTTATCACTGCAGCCTTGCAGGCCATACAAATTCTTGATGCCCCATGACTATCCCTCGTCCTAAGCTTCATTGATATCGGAGAATCTTACAGCTGGAAGTTGTGCACTCGGGCTCTTCAGCTGGATGCAGGCCATTCCTTGGCATGTATACTCCGCCACGTCAGCATGGAGGGGCTTGTATATAACCACCGCTATCAGCTGGGATCAGATCTGTCTTTAATGCCGGATGCCGTGATCCTCGAGACTGTCTATCGAAGAGTTTTCGACCATGGCCGGTCCGGTTCAGCCCACCAAACGTGACTCAAATGGCTCCCAAGACAAGAACAGTGCGCTCGCGCAAAGATGGAGCGTGGAGGTATGGTCGGAGAGAATAACAAGTCAACAATCAGTCCAGATATCGCGGGACAAGTTACAAAAGAGGGTTGACGCCTTTCTCGCCCATGCCAGTGTTCAAGAGAACGATGAGCTCGAGCGGAGTCGGCAACGGCTGATGGACATGATCAAGGAGGCTCAGACGGCCAGCAAAGAGGCTAATCCCGAGGCAAAGGAAGGATCCTTCAGGGCGAAGCTCCAGCAAGGCTTGACTTCAACGTCCGAAGCAGTGTACCGCTATTCGCAGATTCTCGACCCCATGATGGCTCAGGCGCCTGGGTACGTTTCGTTGGCGTACGGCGGTATAAAAATCATTCTCACGGCGCAGATCAATTACCAGGAGCTTAAGGAGAAGGTGACGGTATACCTGGAGCAGATTGCGACGAGGTTTGAACTCATCGATCACCTCACTGCTTATATTCCGACCAAGAATCTTGTCGCCCGCGTTGGACAGGCCTATAGTCTCTTTACGAAGTTTCTGTCCAAAGCAGTCAAGCACTACACGCGGAGTCGCATGAAAACCTATCTGAAGGCACTTTCAAGCCCATGGGAGCGGTTCCAAGAACTGGTGGATGCTATCGGACAGACGTTCGTGGACATCAAGGACATCGCTCAGTTTCACGGCCTGTTAGCTGGTCAGGTCAACCTGGAGGTGAGCCAGCGGACGTTGGCGTTGATGGAAAGGCAGGGTGAGAAGAGTGATACTAATACGGCCTTGCTGGAAGATGTTCTGTCGCAGTTGCATGCCATTTCGATCCAGTTCACCAAGGAGGAAGATATCCGTGAGACGGCATCGCTTGTTCGACAGCACGTCGATCAGGTCCAGGACGACCCAACGCTCTCACGATCGAAAGTGGAACCGACAGAGGATAAGACAGATGAGCACCAGTCCACGATGCTCGATCAACTCGGAGGGATCTTTGCTGATCTGAAGAACTACAACGAGGAAACGCAGCGCCGTAAGATCGCCATTGAAGAGGCGCCAGGCATGCAGAACCACCGATCGACGCAGCGCAATCTGCTACGGTCAGAGAAAGTCCTATCGTGGATTGAGTCCGATGTTTCGCAGCTCCTGTGGGTTGAAGGGAACAATGTCTTGCGGCGCTCCGACTTCAATGCGTGCTTTGCTATACCGCTGCTGGTGATGGGAGAAGGCAGCTTTGAGTCGACTCTCGTCCTTCGACACTTCTGCGGCGACTCAGGAATGGCAAGGAGGCCGAGTACGCTGGTCCAGGCTCTGCTTTACCAAGTCATCGAGCGGAATCCAAGCATCCTCCAGAAGAGGAAACATGCTTTTACGAGTGAGAGCGCACCAACCACTCAAAATCTTTGGAAACTGCTTGTCGAATGCCTGGAAATTGTCAGCGCGCAGTGCACTTTCATCATCATTGACAGCTTTGACCACCTGGATGCCGAGGACGCACACGAGGAAGGGGCGATGCTCGCACAGCTCAACGACCTCGTAAAGGACAAGACCAAGCTGGTGAAGGTGCTCCTTACCGCGTCTCTTGCCCAACCTCTGTCCACTCTTCCTGAGGAATACCAGGCTCTTACCATCCAGCGTTTCCCGCGGCCCGGTCTTCGTCGGAGCCTCTCAACAGCCATACTGGAGGATCAGGCCCAACTAATCTCGCACCAGATCATCGAGATACAGGAGAGAAGATGCAAGCTTGTCAGCTTTCACGAGATTCCCTTCCTTTACCCGTCCGGCACTGTGATATACCAGAAGAACGGCGACCACTGGCAAGCATTTGTCGTCGCAGAACTGAGTGGGATGGATCCGCAGCCTTTTGGGGACTTTGCGCCGTTGCAGATACGCGCTTGGTCTGTTGATCATAACGGGAAATACTTCACAAAGAAGTATCATAGCCTCACTATTGGTCGATTCAGCGGAAAACAAGAAATCACCAGGCTGAAGTTCATTCCGGCAGGGTACATGCCCGACGAAACTGCCGTCCGCAAGACCTTGGTCACTCGTGGCCGTAGATACTGGGAACTGGGAAGCACAGTGAGCTACAATCAGTTTGATGGGAAGCATGGGCCAGTTCGAATTGTCATTGACCAACAGCTCCGTCCTTTGGAAGAGACACCAACCGCGCAGGAGTTGGCAGATCAATTCCGACCAAGCGGTGCCCATGATTTGAAACCAGGGGTGCTGATAACATGTCCGCCTGGGGTCGCAGTCTTTCTTCTTCCGGAGCTGCGGTGGTCAACAATGGACGTCGATAAAATCAAGGAACTGGCAGTTGACGAGTACCGAGACCTCCGCAGTCTTATAGTTGATCCAGGGTATAAGGAGATTCTGAGGAGCTTCGTGGCCGGTCAAGGAGTCTCCGAGGGATATCCCAAGGGTGACGACCTTAGAGGACCCGCAACTGCCGGGACAACGGTTTTGCTACATGGAGCCCCAGGGACTGGGAAGACCTTTTCGGTCGAATGTCTTGCGGAATCGGTTCAAAGACCGCTACTGCGTCTAACCCATGCGACTCTTGGAGGATCTGTTCGCGAAGTGGCCAAAAGTCTCGAGGAATCATTCCATCTCTCCGACAGATGGGGCTGCATCATGCTGCTCGACGATGTCGATACCTTCCTCTCGACGCGCACACAAGACATGTCCCAGAACATCATGGCCACGCTCTTCATGCAGCTCACGGAGAAGCACAACGGCCTCCTCTTCCTCACCACCAATCGAGTCGGTGTTCTCGATGAAGCCTTCCAATCCCGGATCCACATGAAGCTCTACTACCCTAGATTTACGCTTGAGCAAGTCGAAGCTGTGCTCGAGCGCTCTTTGCGTGGGATCCAGGACCGATTCCACAGCACCGGGACAAAGTTCAGAGCCGAATATATCGAGATCATGGAGTTTATAAAGCGTGCTCGAGAGAATAAGGCAATGCAAAGCTTTAACGGACGAGACATCATAAACACCTGCGAGACTGCGCTTCTACTGGCTAAGCATGAGATCCGCGGGGACAATGGCCGTGGTTCAATCGATCCGGATGCTGTCCTCAGACTAAAGGCCTCGCATTTCGAGACGGCAATCAAAATCGCAACCGGATTTAACCATTATATGAAGGAAGTGAGGACGAGATCAGACTTCGACGCCAGTGCAGGGTATGCAGGGGCGAATACATTCTTGCCTGAGCGTTATAGTGGTGGTCCAGGGCTCCAGTCCAGCCAGGATCAAAATCAATACGCACAGTACAACATGCCGCATGAGATACCACCACACTTGGTAAGTCCCTACAGACAGCGTCCGATGCAACGGATGCAACACGAGCGAGACAATGACTACGGAGAAGGCGAGTAATCTGGAATTGATAGCCCGACAGCAGCGGAAACGGCAGGAGTTTTGTACCTTTTAAAAAGTAGAATGTGGAGTTGTGGATAACTTCATTGTTTTAAACAAAGAAGGTTATATAACAAAAAATAAGCCCTCTTCGCCATCCAATGGGGCGATAGCTCAGTTGGCAGAGCGCCAGACTGAAGAATAACTTCATTCAAGGTATCTGGAGGTCTCCGGTTCGATCCCGGATCATCCCATGTCTTTTTTGTTCCCCCTCTTCCCAATTAATGTGTATGTTGTTGGCTGCGTGCATCGTTTTTGACATCCTCCGAGTGGTATAATTATCTAGAACCTGCCTGATCCTTCCTCCTGTAAATAGTGAGCTTCGTCAATGTCCGCGCCTGCAGATTTTATCATGTTCTGTCTTGCTTAATGGCGCCACCTGTCCAGGCTTCGTGCTCCAACCTCAATACACAGACAGGGTTATTTATAGTTGAGCGGGTTTCTACCACCTGTTTGAGCCAACTTTAGCAACCTGTTTGTTTCCTTTTTTATCTACCCTGTCAAGTGAATGCTGCGAGTTCATGTCTTGTCCGCATTATTTAGAAAAGACTGCGTCTGAAATCATCCATGCTGCCTGCCGTATCTACTTCCCCGCCGCCTAGAACAACTTGGTCAAACCCCAGGTTCAATAATGTTATTAATAGTAGTCGGAGCAACGTCGAGAATGCCCCGTGTTCAAGAGTCAAGTGGACCATGTCCTAGGAGTCTATCCAAGCTCTTCCAAATTCTGGCTTAGATAACTACTGCCTTGACGTCTCTACTTGTTAACACGCCCTAATCAGGTTTTAGGTCGCAGAAGGGCGTACGCACTGCTGCCATGCATCCCAAGGGGAAGGAGACTAAGGGTTATTGGGATGAAAGCGCTGTAAGCCGCGTCTTTTGGGGTGAAGAGCCGAAGCTCCAATCCTTGAAGACATCTTATTCGACGACGACACTTCTGGAACATCGGGAAAAAGCTCTATAGTCTCGCTGGCTGAATTTCACCCGAGGACGACTTAAAGCAAACTTCTTAATCCAATGATGGATTTCCAAGAATGAAAAGCTGCATGTGTAAGGAAAAGTCACTGACAAAAGGCAAAAAAAAACTGAAAAAATTACATGGGATGATCCGGGATCGAACCGGAGACCTCCAGATACCGTAGTAAAGAATGAAGTTGTTCTTCAGTCTGGCGCTCTGCCAACTGAGCTATCGCCCCATTAGATGTTTTTACCTGCTAACATTTAACGTTATATCCCAAAATCAACGTTTGCTAAGTAAAACAAGGGCTTGGGACCGGGATTACTTCTGCAGCATCTGGACTGTCAAAGAACCTGCCATACCAAAGGAAAGTTAGCTAATACTCTATTTGCCTATTCAAACTTTGCACAAGCGCAAACTTCCCTCAATATCGTGTGTAAGAGATATTCCAACCCCATGGACAGTCCGCGGCGAATGTCAGCCGCTGACAATGCCAGTGACCTGGGCAGACGACTGATGGAAGACCTTTAGCTCACCATGATTCCTTGCAATTATGTCTTTCTCTACTAGCGAGGAACAGTCGTCTCTCAATATTTGAGCTCCATATTCAAGGCCGCCTAGGCGCATTCAATCTCAACCCCATCAACATCCCAGACAGCAATGCCGTCATAGGCACCGTAATCGCCCAGCCAAAGTAGATAGATCCACGCCACCAAAATCAACTAATACAGCACTGGTTGCTGTTGGCAAGGCCAATGCTATTTAAAGCTCTGGCCGGTCAGAGGGCGTAACATGATAATCCGGCCCTCACACATTATTTCTGGCGCAAGAGCAGTACTAACCAATCCAAATACACTTCATTCTGGGGAATTTTTTCACCTTTTTCTTCACGCAAGTAGCTTCCATGCTCTGGACGTGAGTCTGTTGGGCGGAGGCAGTCCTATAAATGGAGTAGGCGTGGATGGTAAGCTGGAACCGCACACGGGATTCCAAAGCGTATCCCCGTACTATACCTTCTAATACCGACAGAAGATAAAGTCCAGCAGTCACTAGGCCGGGGGGAGTAGGCGAGAACTTGAAGTCCGTCACCAGTTTTGTGGACGGTCTTGGTTCGCAGGAGTACCGTAGGGTCTCTCCGGCGTGCTTGACCTTGATTGGAAAAATAAGGTGAGTTTGACTTGTTTTGTGGTTGATGTCCAAATGAGATCTCTGCAGCTTCCAGCCAATCCCATGCAAGATAAACATGGCTATGTTGTTGTTAGATCTGCGTAAGAAGGATAGACATTACCTAGGGCTTCTTCTATGGCTTTGTGGGCATTTACGGTACGCCTGTTATCAAGAACATCAGAACAATTTGTATCTACTGCTTAACATCTACCTATATTTTCAAAGGATTAGCCCCCAGGTCCTTTTGCTCTGGCCTCTGATTTTCTACAGACTGCTCTAAACACCCCTTTGGCAATGACCCCCCGGCTATTCACCTCATGGAGCCGCAAGAAACGGCACCAGTCCCTTGCCTTGACGAACTCTGTTTTACTACCGAATATGCCTGCTGTAAAAGTAGTGAGGGACGGCAGCTCCATCTGCATTCCGGTCCGCCGCATTCTTGGCTCTTAAGCTGGAGGGACAGTTTGACCAAGTGTGCCGCAAGCGTCCTCCAGATCGTCCAACACCACCATGGAATATATAACCTTAACGGCCACTATGCTTTTTATTCTCACGCATTGCTGTGTTTTTGGAGCAGTGCAGATTGCATGTGCCTATGGTAACAGCCTATGTTCTTTGGGTACACAGTGTGTCTTTCAGCCTGGAGGTCAATTATCCTTGATGTGCGTCCCCAAATCTTGACCTTAACATGCCATAACATACCTTGTCCCCGCCAGTGGGGCCTAGTTCTGGATCTGGAGGCTGTACGCAAGCCGGATGGCCGATCTTGCTTGGGATGGGCGGGCTGGTCTCCCAGTACCCTTCTCATCACATCGGGTCTTCCGGTTTCCTTGGACAAGGTCATGTATTCCCGGATCTGACGCAGGCTCTCGGGCTCCCTGGGCAGCAGGGCTTCATGGACAGTAGCATGTGTACAGTGTACTCCGTACACCGTGGGCTAATACTGTCAGCCAGTGGGTGATTCATCCGATGCCACCGGGCAGCAAATTTCCACCAACAGATTCCGTGGCTTACAACCCGCCAATTGCTGTCCCTGTTCCTATATCGCCCCACAGACTGGCTCTGGCCTCGGCACTCCTCCAATCAACATTAGCGTTCCTCCGAATGGCAAGCTTCCCGCCCCCGCTCCGCCAGCGGGCAGTCCCACCTACAGAAGTAAGTGTAGAGAAGCAAAAACTAAGAAAAAGATCATGGGATGATCCGGGATCGAACCGGAGACCTCCAGATACCTTGAGAATGAAGTTGTCTTCAGTCTGGCGCTCTGCCAACTGAGCTATCGCCCCATTTGTTGGGGATTAGCAAGTACCTATGCAATATATTCAACAACGCTTAAGAAATGAATTGGGAATAGTGTGTCTTAGTGGAATTTGCTCGATCCTTGGCTGCAACTGTAGGTTGGTGCTGCGCTGACTCTACCCTGATCGTATCTGCTGAATTAGGGTCAACTTGGACTTTGCCCCTGCGGTAACGGGAATGGCAATGTGCCTTGACCGTTGTTTTGTAGGGATGCTCTTCCTGGATTTTTAAAGCCCTGGTAGAATGCTTCAGAGCATGGACTTACTGTGGTAAGTACAAAAGTGGCAGGCCCAGCCCTGGTCTTATCACCATATTCTCGGGAGAGTGGAATATAAAAAGAAAGATATTGTCACGTAACAGGGCTTGAATCATAGACTTTTCAACTAGAGCATGCCCAGTCCACTCTCTCTCGTCAGTGGCCTGGGCCGGGGAAGGCGATGCCATGCCAAAAAGGAAAAATAAAGCCCAACGCGGGGGTTGAACCCGCAACCTTGAGATTAAGAGTCTCACGCTCTGCCGATTGAGCTAGCCGGGCTGTGATTGGTTGATTGCATTCATTTATTTTGCTCTATGTTGGAGCATCTAAGCAAATGGTCTTCCTGTTGCATGCAACCGATTGGACGATTCCAATGTTGGATGTCCTTTTTGCTGAAGTTCAAGCTGGTAAGTGCTCTCATGTAGAGACAGAATCAAACGCTAAAGAGATGGTGCCATCAGATCTGTATCAATGTAAATCAATTCTCGCTTCAAGATGACCGTTCTGAGTGGTGCGGATACTCCGTGTGTGGTTGTAGGTGGCAGTGTGGTTGTATATATATGCGCTGGTTGTTGACTGGGTGTGGATGACGTCATGCGAAGCTGTCAACCATCTAGGAACTGCCGTAGCGGCAAGAGCTGATGATCATCCATCACGAGACCCAAGCCTCCTCAAACCAGAAGCCACTCTGTATGCCTGTCAGATGCCAAAGACGCCGTCCCATCAGCCGTGACGTCACAGAGCGACAGCTCGATATAACACCATCACCACAACCCACCAGGTTCCAATCCCAGCCATCCACAACCCAATCTTCAATAGAACCAAAATGGAGAAACAACCACCAACAGACTACAAAGTCCCCGAGGCGACTGCGAGCGCAACCGCAACAGGCGCTGCGGCTCAACCCCCGGCCAACACCGTCAACCCCACCCACGGGCTGAACCGTGACGGTCACGATGCCCACGACACCGGATTCAAGTACCACATCCCAGAAGCGGGGCATGAGCAGTACCAGTACCAGCGTGATACCACCGGAGTTGGAGACGACAGTACGTCCCATTTTCCAGATAGACAAAGTACGGTGCATCAGCTAAACCACCCAGGACCACCAATGCAAAACACCATGGGCGAGCGACTCGGCAGCGGAGTGAGGGGTGTTTTTGCCAGTGTCCATGTATGTCACACCCACACAGACATCTCCTTGCATGACAGGGCACTTGCTGATATGCCTATGCCCAGGGCGCCGGCGAATGGCTTCGCGGCGGGATAAACGCCGCCGTGGACAGGACGTTTGGTAGTGAGGAGGGGGTTAGTCGGAACGAAGCGATTTCGCGCGCGGGTCAGGAGGAGATTCGGTCGGGGAGATTCAGTAAGGACTCGCATGCGGGGGCTTGGGACAAGGTTAATCGGGAGTAAGATATGGGTAGGGGTGGAGTTTGTACTTTTATATTCTGGGATTTCTGGGGAGGCGATTATTGGCGTTAGGGTGTATGGTTGGGGATTAAGTCTGTTGTGACTCTTACCTGGTCTACTTTATATCAGTCAGGGTTATATTATGAGGTCATGAATCGGCACATCTCACTATGTGTGTCTTCATATATCGTTTGAATAAAGTCTATATCAGTACAGCTTAGGGTATATGTACATTGTGCGTTAGTATTGTGCGTAACTCGAAGCAGAACAACATCAGAAAGTTGACATCCTCCGTCCATGTCATCGAGAGCACGTCGAATTACAGGAAAAGAGCGAAAGCCATGGCACCAGCAGCGAGGACGACATTGGCAGAGACGGCGGCAGCACCACCTAGGGTCATGTGAGAACGCGCTCCGCATACATTGCAGAAGGGAAACTTACTGCACAGGCTATTGGCCTCATCCATCAGCGAGCTGTAGTCCAATTTGGCAATCTCCTGCGTCTCTGCGGCGGTGCAGTTGGCACTCGTGATGCATGTGGTGAGGTCGCTCTTCGCGGTGCTGAGGGTGTCGCTGCTCGGGGTACCGGCGCTGCACAGGCAGTCGGTGTCGCTCAGGTCACAGCCGGAAATGTTCTCGAAGACGTTGCCGACGCAGCTTTGCAGGCACTGGGGGAGCGAGTCTTGAATGAGGTCTTGGGCCGTTTCGGCCAGAACCGTGGTGGCAGTGGCGCTGAGGAGAGCGAGAGGGACGAGGAAGCGCATTTTTGGAGGTGTGGTTTGGTATGGAGGGCCGTAGAGAGGGTTCACTGTTTGACTCAGGAGGGAATGGGGGAAGAGGCTTGTTTTATAGGATCAACACGAGTCAATGAGGGACTCATTTCCAGGGTTGAGCGAATCATTTGAGGCTCAGTAGCTTTGCTTGACAGTGGCTCCTCGGGATGGCAGCGAGCTGGAGCAGTTAGACAGACTGTTAGAGCATCGTGCCCCCGACTCAGACATCCCGAGTCGCTGCTCAAGCTCAAACCTTATCAGCTGGACTGGGGAGATATTAGATGACAATCGGCGAAACAGAGACAGATCCATGCCAGATCAACGGTCCGCATAATTTCTGGGTATGAAGCTAGTGCCAGCTTGGGGGCCAATTCCACCGCGATCTCGGGACATGCCCGCGCATCGAGCCCCTGGGACCAAGCTGAAACGATTCGACAGTCTGAGCTTGTCCCGGCTCGATCTCGACTCTCACAATGATCGCACAGTTCTCTCGAGTTGCTTGACGGCTCGTAAGTTTTCGTTAAAGAATCAAGAACGAATGAATCGGTCCCAAGAATTGAACTCGAGGCTGGAGCCTGAAGAACTGACTACCGCGACTGGGGCTAGAACTGGCGCAAAAATAGCGTGCTTAGATTGGAAGGGACGCCCGAAACCATCAGAAACGGTCCCTGGAATTGTGGATATCGTCAAGGAAGAGAGTTCATCACGACTCGCGAGCTTGAAATTTGGTCGCTTGCTCCACTCTCGGTCGAGAACCTTGCTTGCCAGTCCCTGCCACCCCAAGATGTCGATGTAGGCACCTTTCAGCAGTGCACATCACATTTGTCAATAATGACACGCGAGTGTTGGTTCCGTCTCGCTGGTTCAAGGCGCAAGGGAGACGAACCGAGTCATGGCGATCGCGACGTCGAAAGGGGTCCTCTTAGCCGAGCTGCGATCGCGGGGTAGGTATTCCGACATCTTTTCCGACATCACAGATTCCCGTCTGTTTTACGAGAATATCTGAAATCTTGATGCGCTTCCTCTAAAGTGTATCACCTAGTCCTTATGTCAACCGATGCAATTGTCTAGATCTAGATGGAAGCATACCAAGCGACACATGCCCAACGCACGCCATGCATGCTGTACTTACCGTAGCGCAGGTCCTGGCACTACGCCGAGAGCTCATCAGCACTAACCAGCCTTATAGGGCGCGGCTGATATTTGACCTCGATCTTTGATTCGGATTCTCTGTCGTCATGACCACCCCGGTGAACAGGCAACACCGTTGCTGTTTCCCCGCCTCAATCGCAGATCAGTCCGATCATTGCGAGTTCCATCCATCGACCAAAGAGCTCATCATGCTCATGGGACAGGCCATGGCCGGGCGAATCACAAAGGCGAATACAATGAGATTTCCAGTCGATGATGGCGGTTTACATCATGGTGAGTCCAGGTTGGACTCTTGCGTCAGTCTTGCGGATGACTAACCCGCGCTGCCATCTATAAGAAGGCATTTGGACTCGAAAACAACACCTCCATCTCATCTCACCAATCTAGTCATCAGAAGAATCAGTCACAATGAACAACTTTGCTCAGTTCGGCTCTCACATCTCAGACCAGCACCAGGGAAAACAAACCGGTGCCAGCGGTGGTCAGACTGGATCAGCTGGCCAGACCGACTATCTTGACAAAGGTACCCAGCACCTGAAAACATTCGTATAGGGACTTCAGCTAACATGGGTACAGGCCTCAACGATGCTGAGCAGAAGTATGGCGGCAAGTACTACGATGCCGAGAAAGTCAAGCCCATGAACAAGAAGATCGGCGACACAGTCAAGGGCAAGTTCCATGACATGACTGGGTGAGTCTTTGCCTCGCATCGAGATGGAATACGTATTGATTTAGATGGGTAGTCACAACATGCCTGGATCTCATTAATTCTGGATCTCTCGAAGTTATGTGATATGAACTCTATGTGATGTACTTAGTACGAGGCTACGGCGATACCTCGATGTATTTTGATGTGCAGTAAAACCTGTCTTCCATAATGAACGATGTCGATGAGCAGACTCATACTATCCCAAACATCCTTGGTTTTGTCCATGTTCCTCTATTGCCAATGGTTCGATCACGTGTATGCTGTGCTTTCCCTTCCGGCGTCAACACGTCGACCTCCCAGCTTCATCTTTGCTTCAGTTCTACCTTTTAGGACCAATTTCACCTTGCAAATCCTCGGCACACCCGGCCGCCCTGATGGAGTCGTTCGCAAGACGTTTACCAAGTGCTACATACACCAGAACTGGATTCGAGCGGTGCGGAAGTGCGCTCACCCAGGACACTGAAGGCACACAGAACACAGCCCATTCATCCATCCTTCAAGTTGACAACGGCTCATCTCTCCTCAGAGACTCCTGTTTCAGCAGCCCTCAGAAACACCGATGATCCCACTTTGCCGAGAAGTCAGCCACAACTCGAAAGAAGTCACCGAGGACGGCGGACCTCCGAGATTCGCCAAAGTTGAGGTGTTTAGGAAATGGAGAAGCTTGGCCGGATCTTAGGCACTGAATAGTGTCTGCAATCTCGGAATTCTGGTGGTCTAAGGCTTACTGGTTATTCCTCATCAGGACGAGAACCGGAGTTCCATGGATTCTACAAACTCTAGTCGAGTACCGATTACTGGAGTCCGACCAGGACGAGATGAGGTGCCGGTAGGGTACCATATCTACTATCGAGACACGAACTCCGGAGTGCTAGCTGGAGCGGAAAAGGGGTTTGGTCCACAGCTCCACACGCTATCTTCGAGCTACGACGACGATTCAGCTTCTGCAACTACCAGGGTTGCAACTACAAACTTGTCCCCAGAACGATTGTCCGCCTATATCAAAACGCTTTCAGTTTGCCTCCATAACAGCTATATTTACACGAGCTCCGGCCTTTCGCCCTCAAGAGACCCCGGGACCGGCATTTACACAACAGGCCATCCGCTTGAGAAGTCAATGGCGTTCCATCCAAAGAGCTTCTGGCCATCGCCATAGCCAATGTTGGTATCGACGTAATGATAGTACAGCACAGGACCGAGGGTCGGGTCGGTGAAAACTCCTTGGCCTCCGGGACCATAGACGTTGTCGTGACTCTCCAACACAACAGTTCCACCACCGTTAGTGCAGGATACACCATTTGCATCGACCTAGACGCGGTTAGCTTGTTTCGACGGAGCATATCAACTGGAGAACTTACAAAGCCACCAGTGGCCGATGACGAGCGGCATGCTTTGATCTTATATTCCTGCCCAGCAGCCGGCATGGAGGTGTCGTAACCGCAGCACTTGCCCTCCGAGAAGAAGAGGTAGTAGTAGTTGCCATATTTGTACAAATATGCGGCTTCAACAGCGTGCTCGCCGGCCGGCTGGTATGCGATCTGGTATGATGCGGAGGCGACAGATGTGGGAGGGGATTTCATGGGCGCTTGGTAGAGGTTGCCCCAGAATGAACCGAAGTTCATGTACCAGCTTCCGCCGTCATTGAAAAGGTTGCCGTCGATGGCATTGTATGGCTTTGAGGAATCGGATCGGACGCCTGTCGAGCCGTGGTCCGTCCAGGAGTTGAGGTCCATGGTGTCAGAAGTCGCGAGGCCGATCGCAGAGTTTTGAGAGCCGAACGACGAGACTGAATAGAGTGCATAGTAAACACCGTTGACGAGCTGGACATCAGGAGCCTACGAATATGTGATGTTAGCATTTTTTGGGGTGATTGACTGCAGATCACGTACCCAAAGATCGTCATTTCCGGGCAGATCGATCGACGAACCGTCCGGCAACACGGACCCTAGCACTGTCCATGGACCCTGGATAGACGAAGCAGACGCATAAGAGATCTTGTTTCCGGTCGAGAAGCGGAAATACTTCCCATCGGACTCACGGCGGATCAGAGCCGGGTCATGAATGTTGCACGCACCGGAGCATGCTCCAGGAGAAGCATAGCCATAGGCCGCGCCCACAAGGAGGGACGTCGAAGCTGCAAGAATGGGCAGATGCATGGCGATGACAAGGCAGGTCTCTTAGGTACTCCGGCGGGAGGGATATCATGCAATGCTCTTTCTGCAGCAGAGGACCCGGTTATATACGCAAACCACCAAGCACAGGGGTGAGCCCAGTGTGCAGCTATTTGTGGAAGATACCCACATGCTTCTCTCTCGCTTCTGGTCAAACAATAGTCTCTTGGATATATTAACAAAATAGGTATGCGCTCTAACCAAGAGCAACTCCGGTGGACCTGGTCCGGTACCTGACACCCAAGACTCCTGGGCTTCACGGGACACGTCCGGATATAGCGATACGTATCGCCTCAGTTGAGGCTGCTGACAGCGCCACTTTCGCGACATAGATTAAATCTGCCTCAGTGCGTTTGAGTGCGAAACCTCGTGGCTGGACCCTTAGTATACCCTGGACGGCGAGTGTTTCAAGTCGTTATCTCAATCTCCACTCGGAGCATCACAAGAACTGCTTGGCTGAATTGGGAACGGGATGTGACAGCATCATATCTTAGGCATCAAAGTTACAACTTCACTCCCTGCACTCTGAAGCAGGGATAAGTGCCGAATCGACCGCCACCGCGTCGATCGCGGAGAAAATGCGGGGTGCTGAAGAAGACGCAGACGCCGGTTAAAAACAGTCGCCAGTCACACTCTTAACCGAGGCAGATGCAGCACCACCGGAGAGGAGAGGCGCTGCAGCAAGTATATGTCGATGGGACGTCTTGGCTCGTCGGAGACAAGCCTGATGAGGAATGACAAGACTCTCCCCATCACCTCTTGCTGCAACGTCTTTTCCACCAATCGTGCCCGCCGCCGGAGAGATGATATCACAAACGGAAGAGTATAAAGGATGATTGCGTCGGATCCTGCCCCTTGATATTTCAAGATTAAGTCGGCAGGCAACCAGGCCAATCAATCCGCAAGATGTTTTCCCTTCGAGGCGCCCTCCGCTTCCTCGGAACCAGCCTTCTCCTCCTCGGGGCTGATGCCGCTTCCTTTTCAAATCCGCTCAAGGACCCCAATGGCAGTGACCCGTACATGGTCTATGTGGATGGGTACTACTACCTGACCACGACGACCTGGTCCGATGTCCAGATTACCCGAGCTACCACGCTCGAGGGTCTGAAGACCGGCGAGGTGCAGGTTGTATGGAGCGATACCGAGCCCAGCCGATGCTGCCATCTGTGGGCGCCCGAGTTCCACCAGATTGACGGAATGTATGTATAACCCTTTAATAGAGAGAATCTGGTAAGACTAACACGCACCACAGTTGGTATCTGTACTACACCGCCGGCACCAGCGGTGACAGCGTCGACAACCAGCACGTCCATGTCCTCCAGGGTATGCTCCGACCCATAACCACCCACGCTTTCAGCATCCCAAACTAACCCATCTACCAGGCGGCTCCTCCCCCTGGGACTCCTACAGCTACCTCGCGCAAGTAACGCCAGAATGGGGCATCGACGGGACAGTCCTCACAATCGCCAACCAAAACTACCTGATCTGGTCATGCATGGCCAACGGCATCCAATGCAACTGCATCGCAACGCTCGACACGCCCTCCACAATCGGCGAAACACACATTCTCTCCGAGCCCCTCGAGCCCTGGGAGACCGTCGGCGCGCCCGTGAACGAGGGCGCGGCGCCCCTCTACCACGACGGCAGCATCTGGGTCGCGTACTCGGCGAGCTACTGCTGGACGGCAAACTACTCGCTCGCCCTGCTGGAGTACGATGGGTTCGGGGACCCGCTGGAGCAAAGCTCTTGGACGAAGTCCGATGGACCGGTGTTCGTTTCGGCGGATGGGAACTACGGGACTGGACATAACTAGTATGAGCCCCTCATTTTTTGCCGCGGGTATCCCGTCGTTCTGGTTTGATGATGGCGCTAATGAGTGTTTGTAGTTTCTTCACTAGCCCCGACGGCACGGAGATTTGGAATATCTACCATGCCACTCCGATTGCGGAGGGTGCTTGCGATGGGAACCGGTACACGGCCGCGCAGCGCGTGGACTGGACTGCTGATGGATATCCGGATCTGGGTGTCGCGCCTCCAGTTGGGACCGTGCTGGAGGGCCCGTCCGGAGAGCCTGCTTGATTTATCCATCATGCTCCGTACAAGCGGACGGGTTTGTAGATGACTGCGAGCGAACCTCGTGGTCCACAATATAGCCCTTCATCACCACGTTTCTTATCCAAAACACATACCACTTTGATCTGTATATAACGAGATCTCGAACTAAACGGCTTTGAAACAGCGAAAGCTCTCTTCGTGTCAAACTTCGATCATAAGTCAATAAATAGACCACGATCATGCATCATAGACTCGTTGGCAATAGACAAGCAGGCTCTGTAACTCGGGAGTCTTGCGTAGACCCATTCCTATACCCCGGCCAAGTTGTATATATCCAATCCATCCTTTCCAAGAGGGAATTCAGTCTATAACAACCCCGCCATAACCCTCGTAAGCGCCTCATCCTCCGCCTCAAACGCCCCCAGTGCATCACTAAGCGCGCCCTGCGAGGGCAACTCGTTCCCAACCCCATCACCAGTCACAGCCGCAGACCCAGCCCCGTCCTCCGTGCCGAGGGTCGGATCAATCCTTGGATCGAAGTATAGCCCGCCCGCCATCTCAAAGAAACTGGTTAGATCCTCGCAGCTGTTTTCGTCAACCCAGGTTGATGTCTGTGGGGAGGTGATGGGCCAGAGCGCGTGGCTATGCGAGGCTGAGGGCTGGGGCGTGAGGATGTTGGAATTGGGGTTTGTGAGGCGCTGATGCTGGTGTTGGACATGGCCATGGCCATGGTCTTGGTCTTGACCGTAGAGAGCAGAAGCAGAAGGGGTAACGTGGCTGAGCGAGGGTGTAGCTATACTGCTATTCCTTGTCCTGGACACGGATCCGGGTCCGAGTTCGCTTCCCCCGGGACGAGCTGGCGTCTGCTGATTCCCTGGTGTTTGTTGTTGCTGCAATTTCCTCCCCGGCACATCGAGCCCTAGTCGGATAAGCTTTAGGCTCCGGATGATTTTCTGCAGGCGCCGACTCGTATGCGCCCTGGTGCTCGACCGTCGCACCATATCAACTGCCGCATAGAACTCATTCCTGCAAACTTGGCTGAACCTTGCTGGAGCATGAAGCACCGCGAGAAATAATGCGGCTAGGGCCGAAATCAGGAAATAATTGAACGGCTCTGGCCGCTGGAAGTAGATATCCGAGACGCGGGAGAAGTAGTCGAGCATGTGGACGGTTGACTTTGCGGTTTCAACGGCGACCAGTGCGCCAGGTGCGTTTGTTTCTATGCTCTCTGTGGACAGGAGGTTTTGGCGGTAGACGAGGATGCGGAGTTGGTTTGCTTGCAAGGCCAAGAGGACCTGGAGCATAGTGGTGTTGGAGCGGCCAGCTGAGTCGTGGTCTGCACTCTCATTGTTTGTCCCGGGGGTAGTGGGAGGATCCGGATCAAAGCGGAGTTCTCGCGGGATTGACTGGATCCATTGTTGGACTTGGAAGTCTAGGTATGAGCAGTAATCCGACGTTGCGGCTTTGGGTCTGCTGCGCCAGCCCATGACAAGGCCCCAGATCTTAGTGCTCAGACGCGCATAGTTGATCATGCAGGTTAGATATGGGGTTGCGGCGCCGGGCTCAGGCAGGTTTGTGTCCATGTCTGAGTCTTGAATTGCAAAAGGGAGACCGGTTCCAAAAGACCATTTGCGGTCGAGGACGTAGATGCACCAGAACAGGCGGCTAGCGAAGTTCCACTGGAGGTCGCCGGGAAAGACGCCGCCGGTTCGGAGCCAGGTTTCTTGTCTGTGGAGACCAAGTTGCATAGATCCTCGGACGGCCATACCAATAATGCGCCAGGAGATAACTTCGTCATCTCGGTAGGAGTGGAAGATGGACTGTCAGTTCATGTTAGCACTTCTAACGACCTTCGTGAGATGAGAACATACCAGCAAAGTCAAGATAAGCAGTTCCTTCATGTCAACTTCGGGGATCTTCACACGCGTTGCAAACCGGTCCTCGACGCTATCAGCCAGAACCGCAGCCCGCTCACTCCGGCCATGGGATTCAGCCAACAAGGCCGTGGCCAGCAGTATCTTCAGCACCTCGACATCCCTGGCAAAGAACCAATCTTGATCCGTCATCCCAGGCGGCGTTGGTCCCATCCCGTTCCCATCTTTATAGTAATCATTTACATAGCTCCGTACGCTATCAAGGTCGATACATGGGTACATGACACCCACATTGTTCTCGTAGACCGTCACCAACCGCAGGGCTTCTTCCTTCCCCAAGCATCCGAGCGGATCATTAGAAATCGCCTCAACATCCGACACTGCGGCCGGACTAGGCGCAGACGTTGACTCCGACTCCTCAACATCGCTCTCATCCGCCCCGGCCGCGGCCACAGGCTTCTGTCGCGGGATGATTCCAAACTCCGCACTCGTCGGTCCCACGTAGTCCGGGGAAACCGGTCGGTTCATGATCCGCTGCAGCCCAGCGCTAACAGACGACGATGAAACGGAAGGAATGTTGCTAGCACTGGGCGTAGCGGACGCGGATTCGAGCTCGCGCATGCGCGCGGACATGGCCCGCATCTCGCGGTGCAGGGCCTCGATCTGCTGGTCGACTGTCCTAAACCTGTTCGAGAGCCTAGCATCAGGAAAAGTTAGCTTGCGACAACTCAGACCCCGTACCACTCGATCTTGAACAAGTTGACTCACCCGTCATTGCGGCTCTCGCCCGTCGGAGAAGCGGGGGTATTAGTCGAGGCGTGGCTGCTAGGGGTGTAGATGCATTGGGCGTTCTGGCGGACGCATCGCGAGCAGACCGGTTTGCCGTCGCATTTTAATTTTCGGCGCTTGCATTCGTTACTTTGGCCATTAACAACGAAACGAGGAAGAGTAGTATTTAGGAACGTACCAGGCCAGCTGGGTGTACTTGGCTCGTTTTCTGCTCCGAGGCGGTTCCGAGGGGCTCGACCTCTTGGATGAGCTCTCCATTGTGCGAGAGGAAGCGAGCCAAGACGATCCTGACTATCAGATGCTACTCCACCTGTTAAGCCTTAGAGTATTTGAGATCTCATCATGCCGGAAGAGTTTGCCGCAGCTGGTGTTCGGAAGGTTGTAGATGGAAGAGAAAAGAGGTCGGATTGGGTTCCGAGGCAGCTGGGAGTGCGGAATTAAGGACGGAGTTATGCGGTCATAGTTATGCACATAAGGTACATTATTTGGAAACGCAGCTATATACATTATATCGTTATCATACATTAAATCTAGTTTTTCAACTCTTAGAGCTGGGCAATCCGGCAACACTCCGATTTGCCGACGACTCTTGACGCCTCATTCTTCGATGAGGGCACATCCAAAGATGGGTTGGCCGTGAAGAAGTCGGCCGGTCGGATCATGAGCTGGAAGATTTCCACGGGCCTAATCTGTTGTTAGCATTTGCAGAGTTTATAGAGCTTGAAGAGGAAATGCTTACATGACAGGCCAGTCCTCGATACGAGGATTGTGCGTAATGCCAAAAGTACTCCAGACGACCACATCAGTATCGGCCACGTTGTCGCCACGCTTGACGGCATCTGACACACCATCCACTTCGTCCTGACTCTGGAGCGTGTAGCGACCACCGGCATAGAGTTCGCCGTCCTGGTGCTTGGTTACCCAAACGTGGTGCTGTGCGAATTGCGCTCGCCGGGCCTGGATGGACTGAGGGTCTGCCAGCAGTTTTTGGGTGGCCAGCGGAATGAACTTGTATCCAACGGGCTTCTGGCTGATGGGGTTGATCTTGTGGGGGTTGACCATCTTGACTGTGCGGTTCAAGTCAGGCGCAGCGTCAAAGTAGCACGCCCTCTCTACTGTCTCGGTGTTGACCTTGTAGAAGTTGCCGTTAGGGTTGGTGGCTTCGTTCATGGGAACTGGGCGGGATTCTTCAACCTGAACCGAGTTCTTGGCCCCATCGATGGCTGGATCAATACGCACACAGAAGATGTGCTGGTGGTTCTGGGCCAGGACACCTCCGCTAACCACGTTACCGTACTCGCTGACCTTTCCGGCATCGATGTTGACGACGTTTAAGATACCCGTCGCACGCGCCTCCACCGTGATACCGGCGGACTGGTCGAACTTGTAGGCGAAGATGTACTCGTAGTTTGCAAGGGTGATAATAAACTGGACAACCAGCTCACGGTGGCGGGTCACCACAGCGCGGCCTGTCCTCCAGTTGGAGTGTTTCCAGCCAATGCCGTTATCCTGCTCGTGCAGACAAATGGCATTGGGTAGCTTCTGGGCAGTTCCATCCGCGCCTGTGATGACAGCATCAAAGTACTTGATGACTCCGAGACAGTCGCAGCCGATGGACAGGTTGTTAGCCATGTTTCCACCACCACCATCGCCAAAGTCGAAAGCCTGCTTACGATGGTACGGAGGGCGAGGGTCGGCATATGGAACGGTCTAACCATCAAAAGTCAGCTATTTCTTTTTATCTTATCAGAATAACTCACCATTTCGCTAATACTCAAGCGGTGCATGACACTGCGGCCATCATACCACACGTCGTGGATAGTGGCACCCTCACGAGGGTTGAAAGCAACACGGAAACGCCACTTTTGCCATTCGACCAGTGACTCGTTGGTAATGCGGAACGAAGGGCCCTCAGGCTGGATCACGTTGAGTGGCTTGAGGTCCTTACGAGTGCCTTCGGGGAGCAGTTCAGGCACGTAGTCTGACGCCTTACAATGTCCGATGATGTCGCGCTTGAAAGTCTGTTCCCTCAATCCATCACCCTTGCCACCCGTGGCCGGACGGTCAATTCGGATGATCTCTTGTGTATGGGCGTCCATGACGGGAATGAGCGGGAGAGGGTAGGAGTAGAAGTTGGCATCGGCGTTCTTCTTCGTCGCATCCTGGGCGAAGCACAGTCCTTGGAAGAACCGTCTATTCGGCTCGGCAAGGTCAAGACCACCATAGGGCCAGGGCTCAATAACAACCTCAAAGCCTTCTGGTAGGTCGAACTCGGCGAGGGCTTCTTTGAACAGTGGTGAGGCGAAGCAACGTTCTACTAGCGTGTCGAACTCGCTCCTACAAGGTTGTTAGCGAACATCACAGAACCAAAGCAGGCAGGTGCATCAACGTACAGTGTTAGAGCTGCATGGTGCTGCTTTCCAACAATAGTATGCTTGACACTCTTCGATGCAACAACATCTACCACAGTCTCCTCGTATGAGGGGACACGGTCCGCTCCAATAACATCATACTGGCAAAGAGCCAGGCGAGGGGGACGAGGTGACGTCGGGCTCAGGCGGCCGGCATGTTCAAGGGCAAGAAACTCGAGGAGCTGGCCTTTCGGAGGCTCTTGAAGAAAGATCTCTCGGAAATCAATGACAGTGTTGGGGTGCTGGGCAACGACGATGTCGCGGGCAAGGTTGATCTCCTCCTCGGAGAGAATGGCGAGGGGATGAGGAGCCATGGTAGTAATTGTGAGGATGGTTGATTGAACAACTTCTTTGATGAGGGGAAGCAGTCGTTTTGTATCTGAGACTGAGAGGCGTAAATTATGCGACCTCGGAATGCTCGGAAACTGCGGAATCTTCCGACCTCCGCACAAACAACGTGAGAGGAGTCGGCTGGACCTGCTGGATGCGGTATAGAGCTCGGGTCCAGGTCATGCCATGTCCTTAGCAGTGCTGATAAGTTGATAATGATAAGTGATACCTGCTTCTCCGATAGAGGGTTTTGCGGGGTATGGCTGGACAAGGGCAACTTGAAGCAATGTTAAGTTGAATATCACGTAAATTCTATTGGCATAAATAAAGATAGGAGGGAATTTAATGTATGATTCATCTTGCTGCTGTACCGCGTTGTTGATTGAATATTTCAACAGTAGGTACGACTGCTCCGGAGGCACCTACTACCGAGTACTCTGTCACCTCCAATCCTGCCTTTATTTATTTCTGACAGGTGGAAGTCATTTTCCCCAATGCCAATCACAGCACAACTATCTATCAATTGACAGTCTAGGCCAATATGAAAGAGCATAAAGTGACCCCCGAACTGTACAACAATGCGGATTCTTTCGTGTCATGGTGTCACTGGAAAGGCGTGGTTGAGCGAATCGAGTCGCAGCCTCGGTCGGCCCGTTGTTGGTGGTGATGACGGCATCCGCAGTCTAGCCAGATTCTTTCAAGGAACCGCGTGCAGAGCTGGGGAAGCTATTGGTCGCGTCAAGATGGACTTATCTGAGGAATCCAAGGATTGAGCCCAACAAAAGGCTGCTTAGAAATACCTGTCAGCCAGCGAGTCAGCCTAGTTGCGATTGCAAGCTTATCGCCGGCTCAGAGCTCCCTCAACCTTCTCCCCAAAACTCCCCGGCAGCGAAACCATCAACAGATGGGCACTTCCGCCAGCTTTTCGACTCTCTGAACAGTTCAAATCCGCCATGGCCGCAAGCCGCGATTTCGAGGCCGAGCCTGTCCTCGAAGCTGCCTCTCATGATGAGCAGACGCCTCTGCTCGGACGCGACTCCGGCGAGTCAACATCACCGGCTCCCCCGGTTTCCGTGTCGTTCAGACGAGGCCTGGTAATTTGCCTCGCCATGGGAGCATTGATATTCATCCAGGGTATGTACACTCAAGATTTCATCGAAATGCGACCAGGAACTGATTTTTGCCAGCCATGAACATGACGATGATGACTACGGCACAGTCGGAGATCGCGACGGATCTCAATGCCTTTGAGGAGACCACTTGGTTCAATTCGGCTTTCATGGTACCTCAGCCACCTTCGCAGTAATGTCTTTGAATTCTGACGGTTCTTAAAGATCGCTGCGTCGAGTGTGACTCCTGTAGCAGGGCGCCTGGCTCAGATCTTCACGCCTCGCAATTATGTTCTCTTCTCATGCGTCTTGCTGGCCATTGGTCTGTTCATTACTGCTGCAGCGCCGTCGCTAGCCATCTTCCTCCTAGGTCGAGCTATTAGCGGTACCGGCGCCGGTGGTCTTATGGTCACTGGTATCATTCTGACCCTAGATCTGGTGAACCAGAAGCGACGAGGCGTATTTATTGGCATAGTCAACTTTGGAATGACTATCGGGGTATCTCTGGGAGCAGTTCTCTCCGGGTTGATAGTGCCAAAACTTGGATGGGTAAGCTCTCCTTATCCTGTGAAATGAAGTCGGCTCTAACTTTCGTCCTTCAGCGCATTATTTTCTGGGTGCAGGCGCCCACGGGCTTGGTGCTGGGCTCTATCTTGTTCATCGCCATTCCGTCCCATCCGCAATCTGAATATGAATCCGGGACCACAAAGACTGCTGTTTTACTACAGAGGCTGAAAAGCATTGATTACGCTGGGGGTTTGACCTTGGTAAGTCTCGGATGCACGTCTTGGTTGGTATATCTCACTAACACGATTCAGGCAATCTCAATTTTCCTTCTGCTATTTAGCCTTGCTTCTCCGAGGATTCCCATTACGCCAATCATGCTCTCCTTTGTCTTCTTTGCTGCATTCTGGATCATTGAATCAAGGTTTGCAGCTGAACCTATTGTTCCGACCGAGGTTCTCAAGGCGAGAGGCGTCTCGCTCACATGTCTGGCTGCACTGTTAGCCATGACGGCTCGTTGGGCAGTCTTATTCTACACTCCAGTATATGCAATGGTGGTTCGGAGCTGGTCTCCAGCAACTGCAGGGTTGATTTTGACGCCCACCAACGCGGGCTTCGGCTTTGGAGGATTACTAGTTGGTTGGCTACATATTCGTCATGGAGAGAGTTACTACTGGTGTGTTGCCACTTATACAGTCGTAAAGCAATCGCTAACAGCCGCCACAGGTCAAACGTCATCGTCTATTTCTGCTTCGCTTTGGCGAACCTCCTGCTCTTTGCGCTATCCACCCAAACTTCTCACACGGCCGCTTACATCATCGCCATGTTCGTCGACGGCTTCGCCATTGGCGCATCAATGAACTACACGTTCGCGCATATTTTGTACCTCACCAAACCAGAAGTTCACTATATCGTGACCGCACTGGTTGGCATGTCGCGCGGCTTCGCGGGCAGTTTCGGCTCAGCCATGGGCGGCGGGTTCTTCCAGCGTGAGCTCAAGGCCGGCCTGCAAGACGGGTTCGCAAGACACGGCCTGTCCAATAGGGAGGGGCTGATCCATAGGCTCCTCGGTAGCCCTGCGCTTGTTGGGACGCTGAGCGGTGCAGAGAGGGAGGTTGCTATGCAGAGCTACGAGCACGCCATCAAGATGCTCCTTCTCGGTGGCTTTGCGATCATGCTTGTTGCCTCGGTTGCTCAAGCTGGGACGGGTTGGAAGGCGCCCGAGGCGCCGCCATTTGAGGAGGATCATCCTGCGGAGGAGGAAAACTTGCATAGGGATTAGGGCGTTCGCTTCTCGTTGAAGGGCGTTATATATACAGCAACATAGATTTCTCGGTTAATCGCCTACAGAATGGATTTGAGTACACCTGCTTCGTCTCGCCTCCTGCCTCCGCACCGGACATGTCTTCAACTCGCAGTCAGCCCAGCGTCCCAACCACGAGCAACGAATCAAGCAAGCAAAAATCGAACCGTCCATAGGATGATTGGACAAAAAGCAAAAAGGAATCGACAGGACAGAGATTCGAACTCTGGACCCCGAAGGGATTAGATTTCTAATCTAACGCCTTAACCGCTCGGCCATCCTGCCGGATTGTTGAAGTTGGTCAATTTATTTGACACTATGGGGCTGCGGTAAATCTCAAATATCACATGGCTATCGCCCCATAGCAGCTGCGACCACGAGTGATCTACAAGTTGTTCGCTGTACATTGGCAAATAGAATGTGCCTCGATCTACGAAGGCAAATATACCAGCCAATATAAAGGATTCCATGGCGAGAGTATAGTTATGGCTGCAGTTGTGAAAGCTTCAACGCTCAAGCTTGAAACAGCGCTAAATCCATACCTACAAAACTCCACAGCTCCATTCGTCCCCGGTGCGCGGAACCTTTCCGAGTCCAGACTGGTGCCGTCACTGCCGTGCGAAAGCGATAAAAATCCAGTATGGATGGATGGAGCGCTGAGCATATCGACTTCAAGGAGGATGTCATACCAAGGACAGATGATCTATTATCTCTAAGTATGGGATGGAGGCGGAGTGTGCATTTCCTTGCCAGGATTGTCTGTTGAGTTTCTGGGTCTCTATTACTGCTACCATTTTTCATAGTTCCCTTGAAGTGACCTGCTATAGCTAGTATCTACACGCAAACTGCAATGAATTCGGCTCACTGGCTTAGATGTTCTTTCAAAACAGTTCATCAATCAAGACGACAAGAACTTCTTCCAGACGTTGTAGTAGATGTACTCGAAGCCTTATGTTTCAGGCCGCAACTTGCTGCCCAGTCACATGACTAGGCTCAAAGATACGCCGATCACTCTTTGAGAGGTCTGGAGTCCTACCAAGCTCAACACACTCGTTGCGAACCGACTCTCGTTGATCTCTTACTATTATCAAAGCACCACAAACGGTCAGTCATAAGTCGAAAGCAAAATGCCGCGCGCCGTCAAAGGTACCGATACCGCCATGACCGTCCACCATCACCCTAACAGCTAGACAGGAATTCTGATCGAATGCGACCCCTCAGTGAAAGCCATTATCCTGAAGTACGACGAAGAGCGCCACGACTATATAGTTGAGGACTTGGACGATGATCGTCATCTAGTCATCAAGGAGAGCCAGTTGCAGAACCTGAAGATGCGGTTGGGAAGGGTACGAAAGGACCGATTTGTCGCTGCCGGGTGGCATTTGCATTTGCTAACAAGGGTTGCTCACTAGGAACTCGATGAAAAGGTCATGCAGCCTGAAGAAGATGAGTCGGAGTAAATCGATCGCATACGTTTATTCGAGCTTGGATGTCTTCGCTTGAATTCGGAACCTTCGCTTTGGCCGACTACTCTCCTCATGTGCTACCGATGGGCGACTAATAACACTCGGAATGTGATGGGGAAACGGGCTCTGGGCACTAGATGGTGCAACTCGCAGAAAGTGTGTCTCTGTATGGGTCTCCTCTTCTGGCCCAGATCCGGCTGGAAATAGCTAGAGCTACCCCGGGTCTATACTGCGGCCAGACACGCGTAGCATGGACACTTGTCGGGAGCTAGATGCTGAGTCGTGCCAGTTCATCTCTGCTGTTTCTGCAATAGACCAGTCTAGATGTTTCTGCTGCTGCGCTAGTAGGCGCCATTACCTGCCAATTCTTGTTTCTAAAGCTTGGTACTCAACCGAAACCTGCTTGCCCAGAAGTCATCCATGATTTTCGATGGTTGGTATCGATTCCAGACGTCATCACAATGATCATATGATCCCAGACTTCTATACAGATCGGCCGTGGTGGCTTCATTGTGGTCACGTGATTATCGAAGGACCCAGAATTGTCGAGAGGTCACGAGAAGCCTCAAATCAGATTTATCCTGTCGATTCGTGAAACATCAACGGCCATCTAGAAACATCTCATGGTGACTACTCGACTGCCGTCAGAAGACATAAAAGGCACCTGAAGCCCTCAACTACCTCGACCATCATCAAGCAAAGCAAGCAATCATACAAGCAACTACTCAAGCAACCAATCAACCACCCCACAACAACTACCACCTCTACCACCTCTCTCTCAAACAAACAACACCATCACAATGTCTCTCTTCCGCACTGTTCCTTCTGGCGGAGACTTCTCCCCTCTCTTCCGTCTCCTAGACGACTACGACAGCCACCGCTCCTCCCGCAGCCAGCAGGCCTCCCTGCAGTCGTTCGCCCCTCGCTTCGACGTCCGCGAGTCCAAGGACGCCTACCACCTCGACGGCGAACTCCCCGGCATCCCCCAGAGCAACATCGACATCGAGTTCACCGACCCGCAGACCCTCGTGATCAAGGGCCGCTCCGAGCGCGAGTACCACTCCTCCAGCGACGACAAGGACAAGTCCCCCGAGCGCGCTGCTGAGGGCCAGGGCCAGGCCGAGGGCGAATCCAGCGAGGTCGCCAAGTCCGGCGAGAAGCAGGTCTCCAGGGAAAAGGCCGCCAACAAGCCCCGCTTCTGGGTCTCCGAGCGCTCCGTCGGCGAGTTCCAGCGCACCTTTACCTTCCCTACTCGCGTCGCTCAGGATGATGTCAAGGCTAGCCTGAAGGACGGCATCCTCTCTGTTGTTGTCCCCAAGGCTGCTGCTCCCACTGCGAAGAAGATCACCATCCAGTAAGATGGTGCGGCACAGCAACACAAGCCGGCGCTGGCCAACGACCATCGAGTGATGGATTGATATGAGGTTACGATTGATCTTTCTGCGATATTTCGAATTCGTTTCTTTTCTCGAGTTTCCGACTTGTTCGATTCGCCACGTTTTGACTTCGATGAATACGGGTTCGCTTAGCACGAGCAGTGGTGTCGGTGTTTTCTGCTTCTTACTTGTTCTCTCTGTTTTTACTGAGTTACTAAAAGCTGGACGTTCCTTAATGCTGTACTTTAGTGCAAGTTGAATCAATCCAGTCCTTTTCTATATCACCTTCTACTTCCTCACATTGTAAGCTTTAGTTATCAGCTGTAGATTAGCAAGGGTCTTAGCAGAGCACGGTAGTAGGATAGAAATAAGGCTTGTGAGATGTAACCAGATCGGCAGCCGGCGAGATGCCCCACGCGGTCTTGGCTTGGTCTCTCGCCACCGAGTAAAGCCAATAGAGCATGAGGTTACAACTTACAAGTACTCCGTAGTGGCTGCGTGCATCTCGCGAGAATTGTCTTGACTAGACCCACAAATATTTGTTTATATAACCAACATTAGGTCCAATTTCTCATCAATTGGCAGGATGGCCGAGCGGTTAAGGCGTTAGATTAGAAATCTAATCCCTTCGGGGTCCAGAGTTCGAATCTCTGTCCTGTCGAATTCCTTTTTTTTGTTGCTTGAACACCTAGCATTAACTAATTGCTTTGCTTGCGAGGTTCGGAAAGCTCAATTGGCGCTTTAAAATACGTGGTTGGTGGACGTGGTTGGCTATATACACGGTGTAAGGGAACGTGGGTGGCATCGAACAAGCTTAGAGCTTCTCAAATGTTGGCTTCCGCTTCTGGATGCCAGATAGTAAGGCTGACTGTACGTCGCTAGTTTGCAGAGCGGCGCTGTTCCATATTGTTGTGTATCGGAGGCCTGCAGCAACATGTTAGTTTGCACTGAGCCCTTGATGGGGGGCGGCTCTTCCTCAGTAGACAAGCGCTTCGGGGAGAAGACTGAGACTGGCACTCACCATCCTGCACGGTATGATCCCTCGACCAGTTCAACAGTTCCTTTGTTCCTTGCACGGCAATTGGACTCTTACTCGCCATGAGCGTGGCAAGCTCAAGAGCTCCCTTGACAGCCTCCTCCTTCGTCTCGAAGACACGACTCACAAACCCAACCCGCAGCGCTTCCTCGGCGCCAAACAACCTCGCCGTCAGCGCAACATCCTTGACCCATCCGAAGTTCCCCACGATCTTGGGCAACCGACTGAGGGTGCCCACATCCGCCGCAAGCCCAATATCCACCTCCTTAACGGCAAATCGGGTGTCCTTCGCACAGTAGCGCACATCCGCGGCGGATGAGAGGTCGATCGCCAGGCCCAGCGAGAAGCCGTGCATAGCAACGACGACGGGCTTCTCGCATTTCTCAATCGCGGTTATGCAGTCCTGGAAGCCACCGATTTCGCGGCGCAGATGCACGGCTTTGCGGGCTGGGTCTGTGGTCTTCGAGTCTGAGGCGAGGAGGCCCTGGCTGGCGGCTTTTACGTCGAGGCCTGCTGTGAATGCCTTCTCGCCTGCGCCGGAGATGATTATTGAGCGGACGGCGGGGTCTGTCGAGAGTTGGTTGAAGAGGTGGCCGAGCTCGATCCACATGCTATGGATTACATGGGTGTTAGCTGGGTTCCTGGTTTGGGCTCTGTAGTTGTAGCTCGGGGTGGCTTGTGTTTGGACCTACGCCTCGAAGAACGCATTTAGCTGGTTCGGCCGGTTGATCTCGACATGTGCGACATGTTCTTGAGGGAATGTGATGTTGAAGTATTTAGGTGTGTAGTTAGCGGCCATGGTGTGCGTGGTCTGTTTGTTATGCCTGTTGTTGTTGTATTTCTTGGGTCTAAAGAATGATACCGCGCGATATATATTCAGGCAGCCGGGGGTAAGCAGAGCAACCTCGGCTAGGGTGCGAAGTGGAGAGATGCTTGAAGGTGCTGGCCGCAGGCAAGTCCGAGGATGGGAGACGACAAGGTCGAGTAGGAAACCAGCAAGTCCTGCACAAGAACGAGCTGCAATCGTATACCAGAGTTAAAGTCCATGGAGTTGACACCTGGCGGATGCGGAGACGGTTTTCCATGCGGGGAGCTGAAGCTGCTCGGTCATCGGCTTCACGTGCCTCGGCTCAATATGGGTGTTCCATATCGCTTGCATAGATGCAAACCACAAGCTATAGCCATATCCAAGCCAGTTGTAAAGGAGTGGAATGAATTAGGGGAGGACTAGTTTCAATACGTATTATAGGTTTCGAACATTTGACCCTGGGATAGGCCTGGCTACGTAGTCCCTGAGCTGCAAGAGCTCCGAACTATTAAGAGATGCGCAACAAATAGCAGGACACATGATCCATAGTTGCAGTCTCAAGGCCTGAAATAAAACTAAAAACAGACATACCTAAGCCAATACTTAGAGCAAGGGACAAAAAAGAACGAAAAAAGAGAATCGACAGGACAGAGATTCGAACTCTGGACCCCGAAGGGATTAGATTTCTAATCTAACGCCTTAACCGCTCGGCCATCCTGCCAGATGCTTGTAATTAGCAGCAAAAGTATGCTTTATAATTCAAAATGAAAAACAGTACCCCATCGCTTCTTTAATTACCAGCGTCGAGAAGCGCTATCGCAATCGTGTGAAGAACATGACACTCGAGGACGGGAACTATCATTTCTGACTTTGACCACGCGAGCATCTCCACTTTCATTGACATCCAGAGTTCCAGACTATATGTCAGATTTCTTACGCAACAACTCCTCAACCACAATATAGCCCAAACCCACGCCGAGCCTACTGGAGGTAACCCAAAAACGCAAGCAACAAGCAAGAAGCGGTTCCTTCCCTTGGCCCGGCGTGATTGCTTTCCCCGACCTTTGCCCTTGCAAGCATGTTCCCCAGATTGCACAATTAACCGGCGTGGGAACAGGGGTGCTTCCCCCGGCCACCCTCCTCGCCTCCCCAGGAGTATGCACGCACGGGCAAACGCATATTGGACGCGGTTTCTGATAGGTGGAGATTGGTGGTTTCAATGGGTTCAAATTTCGGACGATCTTCTTCACCTGGATACATTCGACGCGGGGAATCGACACATCCTGCATGACGCAGGAGGCAGTGCGTTCCCCGTACCTTGAGACTACGGACTCCGGAGTATGGTGTCGTGCTTGAGTTTCTGCAGAGAGGTCTGTGCGAGCGCCTCACCCTTTTCTCTCCGCCGTCTACCTATCCTTCTGGATACTGATATCCTGCTGTTGTAGGTTGACAGGTAACTGCTCCTGAGAGCACAGGTCACAACTTCTTAGCGGACTGAGGCATACCGGTGTGCAAAAGGGAGGTCCAAACGAAACCAATACGAAACCACACGGGAGGACTCGCCACAAGGCTGAATATGGCATTGGCGAGATTAGCCAAGATCACGACAGACGTCATGAAACAGAATTCCGCTGGGCCGAGTTTCACGCCCCCTCTGCCGCAGCCGGAGTTGATGTGGGGATCGGGTCAATGTTGACACTGACAGCCTGACAGGTGAACCCTGTGTCGGGGGTTCAAACGCCGAGACAGCCAACATGTTCCACGTATAGGACATTCTGCCGCTGCAGAAATGGCGATGGTGCCTGGCTTGGCCTGGGGTAGATGGATGTATGAGATCCGTGGGTATATAAAGAGGCATGCGTTCGGATTGAATTCGTACCTCCATCCATCAGAACCACAGCACATCAAGTTTTCCAAGTCCAAGAACAGCAATTCACTCTCAAAATGAAGTCCATTGCCTTGACCTCTCTCTCCCTTCTCCCCGCTGCGCTGGCGCAGACAATCTACCTAGCCGGAGACTCCACCATGGCATCCAGCACCCCTGGTAAGTGCAGCCCCCAGCATCCAAAAAGACAGCATACCAACAACCGCAGGATGGGGCGACTACATCGCCGACAGCGTCTCGATCCCAATCTCCAACAAGGCGATCGGCGGCCGCAGCGCGCGCTCCTACACGCGCGAAGGCCGGTTCCAGGCGATCGCCGACGTCCTGCAATCAGGCGACTACGTCGTGATCGAGTTCGGGCACAACGACGGCGGGTCGCTGTCCACCGACAACGGACGAACCGACTGCCCCGGCAGCGGCGACGAGACCTGCGAGACGGTGTACAACGGCGTGGCGGAGACGGTGCTCACGTTCCCCGCGTACATCGAGGACGCCGCGACCCTGTTCGTGAGCAAGGGCGCGAACGTCCTGATTTCCAGCCAGACGCCGAATAATCCCTGGGAGGGCGGGTCGTTCGCGTACACGCCGAACCGGTTCGTTGGGTATGCGGAGTTGGCGGCTGAGAGGGCGGGCGTTGAGTATGTGGATCATGGGGCTTATACGGCTGCTATCTTTGAGGAGCTGGGTTATGATACGGTTACCTCGTTCTATCCGAATGACCATACCCATACTAATGGTGCGGGATCGAGTGTTGTTGCTGATGCGTTCCTTAAGGCTGTTGTTTGCAGTGGGGTTGCGTTGAATGATGTTTTGACGACGACTGATTTTGATGGTGAATGTTTGTAATGATTTGATGGGTATTGTGGCTATGTACCGAGATGATTATATTGAAATAATGTTGTACCCATGAAGATGAGTTCTATATACAGGAAGACATAATGTGATAGAGGCGATAAGGACGCCTTTGGACCCTGATAGTTCATTGTGTCCGTGTATGCATGTTGGTGGCATAACTCGTTTCATCGTAGCTGCAGAATCCAGTCCTGCAGGCGCCGAATGGGGCAGTCATTTCGCTTCTTCAAAGATTGCTCTGACAACACCGCGTTTTCCAACTCGGTTATAGTATTGAATTAGGGTTGGATGCGTCTTCTCTGAGAGGGGCCCTGAGCCCCGGACGATTTCTCTCAAAACTGGCCAGAGTGCGCAGTCATCGATCGCTATTGTGCTCCCACCGAGGTAATGTTGACCGGTTAGAGCTTCTTCCCATGGGGATAGTGCATCACAAACTACCTCTTCGCTGCCTCCGTGATGCTCCCGCCATTTCACAAGTAGGTCATCGATTTCGGGTAACTTGTCGCCACCGCGCAACACCTCTACGCCTGCTCGTGCTGAGTCAGGGGGACGCTGCGCCAGATAGCCCAATATCGCCTGATCACCAGCAATTTTCGTACCGTCAGAGTCGATAAACAAGGGCAGCCCCGTCTCGCCCTGTGCCCCAATGACATCAAGTGGCACGAGGTCGTATCTGATACTGTTTTCGCCTAAGCCAAGCTGAACCCGCAGGTTGGCTACCTCGTCCTCGCATAGAACCAGTTCCGTAGTAGTGGCTGTGACAAAATTGACCACATCAAAGCCTTTGCCATAAACAGCCTCCCAATCAAAGTCAGTGGTCCTGTTCTCTTCCCCAAAAGCACGCACCAGCTGCTCGGTTTCTTCACTGTTGCCATGGACCACGGGGTGCGGTTCGTCCTGGCTTTTGGACACAGCACCTTGACCCCATATCGTATCGCCAGTCGGGTCTAAGAAGGTACCGATTTGTCTGAAAGTAAGCGAAACTCTTTGGCCTCCGAAGGCGCGCTCCTCCATCGACTTCTCGGACTCCTGACGCTTATCGGGCTTGATGCCATGTAGCCAGCGAGAATTCGTCTTCTCGCCTAGCACAAAAAGCGACTCGTGCGGCATCGGCACACGTTGTGTGAGCCTGCCGTTGCCTTCTGCATTTTCAGAGCCCTTCCGACGGAGCACCATGACTCGCTGGGCGCCAAGGCTGACATTGCAAATGGATGAGCCACGGACAATGTCAAGCGTTTTATCCGAATGTTCTGAGATTCGATCTTGTCCGTCACGATAGAGTTGGATAAGGACATGGTTCAGGGGGTGACCAAGGATACGTTCCACAATAGCGCGAACCTGGTCTACCGTCGAAGTAAAAGGCTGAAGCGGAGGCGACTCATCTGCAGGATGACGGTAAATTGGTATGAATCCGCGTGGCGAATGTTTTCCCTGGACGGCAACGAGACGAGGCACCTGCCCGGACATATGGTACATCTTCTGCCAAGCAACTTCGTTGCGAATGAGTTCAAAGGCATTCTCTGGCAGATCCAACTCATACACAATGCGGGAGTCACCCTCTCCGATCACATCACCGGGGCGACAGATATTCATAGCGGGCTTCGACTTCCTCACTCGGCGTTGTTCTGCCCGCGCAGGATCGCGCTGGTTTTGATCAGGTCGTTTGCGGCGCATACTTCGCGCCGGACTTTCTGCCAACCCTGGCTTGTGGGATTGTGCATCTCGCTTAACTTGATATGAGCGTATTCGTCCACGAGTTAGTTCAGCCAGCTCCTTAAGATGACCATGGTCGTCGTCTGACATTTCGGCCAGGATATCCTCTAGTCTCTGACGTCTCAAAGGTGGCTCGGGACTATCCGGCGTGCGGTTCAAGGCGTCGTTGGGCTTCACGTCCAGTTCTTTTAAATCCCCTTCAATGCCAACCGGGCGTAACGGTCGTGCCAGTCGGGGCTCGCGTGCAATTTGATCGGTTTCGTCCCTGTCCAGCTGTTCTAGTAGCTCCTCCGAGGTAATGCCGTTTGCTCCCAATACATCAGCCATGCGCCGCATAGTCTCCTCGTGACGAGAGAAATTCCGATAGCCCAAACAGTCCTCTATCAGATACAGAGAAAAACCGTGACGGACGGCGTCAAGTGCAGTAGCGTGTACTGAGGCGTTAGATAAAGACCCGCAGAGATAGATTTCCGTCACAAAACGAGTGCGCAATGAGAGAACAAGCGCCGGAGACAGGGCCGAGTACTCTGATTTCTCTATCAGGATATCCGACTCGGTATCGATAGCGGCGAGTAGCGGGGCGGGGAATTGAGTTCCAGCAGTTTGAGGAAGACAGCAGCGGGGAGGGTCGGTCGAAAGAAAAGCCTCTTCGTGGACTGCGCCGTTCAACTCAAGATGAGTTTGCTTTTTGACTTCATCCTCGGCGCGGTTGATAACGACCAGGTCCTGGCCGTCAGCGCTGCGCAGCGATTGTCGTGACTCATAATACGAGCGGCCCCAGACGACATAACCCGTCCGACGGAAAGCGCTCGCAAGCTGTGGAAGGATCTCTATGACCTCCGCCGCGTTTGGCACATGGAGAGCGCCATTTGAGCGAACGAAGTCGTTCTGAAAGTCGAGAAGAAGGAGGGCTTGTCCACGTGTCGGCAGGTTCCCGAACGCGGAAAGAAAATCCATCTTAGCTGCTCATGGCCACAGAAGGGAAGCGCAGAAGTAGAAGGATATAAGTAGAGGATGAGCAGGAAAGCTTCTCACAGACTAAAGCTTTTAAATGAGGAGGATAGAAGCTACCGGAAAAAGGTTGCGAAGGAGACAACCTTAGCCAAGGCTGCAAGAGAAACTTTCGAGATTGGCGCTGGTGGCAGATCCTGCGGCACACATGACAGATTGTGACACATGCTTTTGGAGCGTACGGTACTTTGAAGCGTACTTCGGCCTTGATCGTGATATGCAGCGCGCCTTAAGAGGACTTGTTGAATCGACACTTGGGCGCCTGGAAGCTCAGGCAGAAACGTGGGGTCCCGCAACTGGAGAGCTTCCTAGCACAATTGTCTAGACTTTTGACACTCCAGAAATGCGGAGCGATCACAGAGAAGAATCATGGGAGGGTAGAACCTAGACGGTTAGACTAGCCCTCCGATAAAGTCCATTATTGAGGTTCCCTGGGTCATGGTCAAAGGCCGCGGAAGTAGAGGACGACTCCGAGACGGCGGACCGACATCGGGGCAGATCGGCGGCCTTCAGAGCGGCCACCGGGGAGCACGAGCTCGACTCCGGGTCATGTGCAATTTGCCTCAAGCACCACCACCTTATAAGCTCTCGCTGCCCGGCCCCTTGTCTGTCTCTTTTTCTTCCTCCTATCATCCTTCCACATTTTCAATCCTCCGCAATCCCTCCAATCTCCCCTCCTCCCCCTCAATTCCTCACATCTCACACAATGGCTTCCCGTGGTCTCCCTCGTGCCCTCCGTGCGGCCCGCGTTGCTGCCCCCCGATCTGTCATCTCCGCCGCCCTCCCCCGGCCTTCTCTCGCTAAGATCGCTGCCAATGCCGTCCCCCGCGTGGCTGCTCCCGTCGTCCCCGTCCGTGGTGTCAAGACCATGACCTTCGCCGACTCCCAAGAGACCGTCTACGAGCGTGCCGACTGGCCCCGCGAGAAGCTCCAGGAATACTTCAAGAACGACACCCTTGCCCTCATTGGTTACGGTTCTCAGGGTCACGGTCAGGGTCTGAACCTGCGTGACCAGGGTCTCAACGTTATTGTCGGTGTCCGCAAGGATGGTGCTTCTTGGAAGGAGGCCATCCAGGACGGCTGGGTTCCCGGCAAGAACCTGTTCGACGTTACCGAGGCTGTCCAGAAGGGTACCATCGTCATGAACCTCCTCTCCGATGCCGCCCAGTCCGAGACCTGGCCCACTCTTAAGCCCCTCATCACCAAGGGCAAGACCCTCTACTTCTCCCACGGTTTCTCCCCCGTCTTCAAGGAGAAGACCAAGGTCGACGTCCCCACTGACGTTGATGTCATCCTCGTCGCCCCCAAGGGTTCCGGCCGTACCGTCCGCACTCTCTTCCGTGAGGGCCGTGGTATCAACTCTTCCATTGCCGTCTTCCAGGACGTCACTGGCAACGCCAAGGAGAAGGCTATTGCCATGGGTGTTGCCGTCGGTTCCGGTTACCTTTACGAGACCACCTTCGAGAAGGAGGTCTACTCTGACCTCTACGGTGAGCGTGGCTGCCTGATGGGCGGTATCCACGGTATGTTCCTTGCTCAGTACGAGGTTCTCCGCGAGCGCGGCCACAGCCCCTCTGAGGCTTTCAACGAGACTGTCGAGGAGGCCACCCAGTCTCTCTACCCTCTGATCGGTTCCAACGGTATGGACTGGATGTACGCCGCCTGCTCTACCACCGCCCGCCGTGGTGCCATCGACTGGTCCAGCCGCTTCAAGGACAACCTCAAGCCCCTCTTCAACGAGCTCTACGACAGCGTCCGTGACGGCACCGAAACCCAGCGCTCTCTCGACTACAACTCACAGAAGGACTACCGTGAGAAGTACGAGAAGGAGATGCAGGAGATCCGCGATCTCGAGATCTGGCGCGCCGGTAAGGCCGTCCGCTCTCTTCGCCCCGAGAACCAGAAATAATTTCCTTGATGCATAAACCTGGGTTGGGAAAAGTTACGAATGTACCATGACTTGATTTTTCTGTTATTATAATAATACCAATATGAGCATTGGCTGGTTTCCATTTCACTCATCTTCGCCTTCCCCTTTCTCTCTTCGTAAAACTGCAAGCCCCAGTATCTTTGAAAAGACTCGTGACTCACATCCAGCCCCTGGGATGGTTCACCTCCAACAACCTCCAACTCCGCATCCACCCCGCCAAATTACTTCCAACTCGTCCCCTGTCACAAGAAAACCTCACCACCACACCGGAATAAATTCAAAATGGCCCCTCAACTCCCAACTCCGACATCCATCCAAGAAGCCCATGCCTTGATAACGCCCTACATCCACCGCACCCCACTCCTCACAAACCGCACGCTCAATGCCATCGCCTCAACCCCGCAATCGCCCGACGCACTCCTCGGAACACCCTACGAAGGCTCGACCCCGGCAAACCCCAAGATAAACTTCTTCTTCAAATGCGAGAACTTCCAGCGCATCGGCGCGTTCAAGGCCCGCGGCGCATTCCACGCGCTGCTGAGGCTGATCGAGCGCGTCGGCGAGGAGGAGGTGCGGAGAAGGGGCGTTGTCACGCATAGTTCTGGTATGGAGTTTCCAATTCCACCTACTTATTACAACTGCGTCTAGAACGAGTATGTACTGATACTGAGTGTGCCTGTTGCACAGGAAACCACGCACAAGCCCTGGCCCTCGCCTCGTCCACGCTCAAAATCCCCGCGTACATCGTCATGCCGAAGATCAGCACGCCCTCGAAAATCGCAGGGACACGGAGCCACGGCGCCGAAGTGCTATTCAGCGGATCGACGAGCGTCGAGCGCGAAGCTGTCGTCGTGGATGTGCAAAAGCGCACGGGTGCGATCCTCATCCCGCCGTACGACGACTTCGACATCATTTGCGGGCAGGGGACAACGGGTCTCGAAATGCACGCGCAGTATCTTGATGCTGTGCGCGAGACGCCTGCGCTGAGTGTACATAGCTCTAGCTCTTCTGGCAGAGAAGGACTCGATGCAGTGATCACGCCCATTGGAGGCGGAGGGTTAAATTCTGGCGTTGCGACGTTCTTCTCGGATAAAGCGACTAGAGTGTTTGGCGCGGAGCCGAGTTTTGAAGGCGCGGACGATTGTCGGCGGGGCCTTGATGCTGGGAAACGGGTTGAGAGCGTTAAGACGTTGACGATTGCGGATGGACTGCGGACGCCCGTGGGTGTGCTGAACTGGGAGGTTATTTCGGACAGGAGTAAAGTGGCCGGTGTATTTTCTGTTACGGAGGAACAGATCAAGGGTGCTATGAGGCTTGTTTTGGAGCGGATGAAGGTGGTTGTTGAGCCGAGTGCTGTTGTGGGGTTGGCGGTTTGCTTGTATAATGAGGAGTTTCGACGGCTTGTTGAACGGGAGGCGCCTGGGGGCTGGGATTTAGGGATTGTGTTTAGTGGCGGGAATACAACGCTTGAGGCGATTGGGAAGCTGTTTGGGTGAGGAGGCCGGCAAAGAGTATGGTTTGGACATATAGACACCCTAGCCATGTACATAGGGCATCTGCAGTAAATAGAGCTCAGGCAATATACTGTCCATCCAACTTCTTGTGTAGTTTGTTCCCTAGTGCTGCAGAGCCCCAGAAAGTAAACAGGAATGGCTTTCCCAGTAGATCTGGCAGCTCAGGAAAATGCAACACCCTTTCGGCCAACATTGAAAGAAAACTGCCCTCCTCCTCGCCTCTTCAGCGCCTCTAGTATCCGCTGTGGCCAGTCCTCCCGGCCCCAGCTATTCACTGACCCCAGGAATTCCCCTCGCATAACCACCTCCTGCCGCATGGGCGCATCTCTTTCCGCCTCTTGAACGGTCACGCCAGGTGGGAACGGCCGAACCGCCTCCCGCTGGAGCACCAGCCGGAGCGTAGGAAACAAACCCCAGGGAGACGGTAGCGGGGACCGAAAAGACGGAGTGTTAAGTGCGGTGTCTAACGGGTTATACGAGCCATGCGGCATGGATGGTTTCTCCGCTGATTTACCACTGAAGGAGGTAGCGGTATATATGACGGCGCAATCGAAGGCACCCTGTAACCGCTTCAAACTTGCGACCAGGTCTGCATAGAGATCTGCAAGATGGAAGGTCTCTCTCTCGCGGCGCCTGCGCTCTATCTCGGCCGCTGATTGGCCGATATCCTCAGTGCGTGCAACTTCATCTTGTAGCTTGTCTTGCCAGAAAAAGGCAGTTGCACTGTCAAGGACTATAGCGTGGAGAGCCCGGTTAGCTGAGGCATGCAGGGGAAGATTAAGTAGATATGCGTCCAGAGTTTGCAACGTAGCGAGTAGCGCCAAGGATGACTGTGGCCGGAAGACGTGGATGTGCTGCAGAGAGGCAAGAAGCATAGACTCAACTGCAGCTCGCAAGTCGGCACTAGGCTTATCCTCGGTGCGAAGTTTGTCGAGGACGATTCCGCGAGCGATGGCGTGTAGACGCTCGGCATCGAAGCGGCCATCAGCGTCAATGAAGACGACGGCGGAATTGAGTCCGCCGAGCGAGATCCCGTTGAACTCGAACGGAAGCACTGTTAGGGCAGTCAGATAGTACAGCACCTCAGATTTTCCAGCCGCAGAAGAAGTGCTAGATATCTCAAGGACGGGATACGGCCGACTAAGAAACGCTGGGTGAACAGACACTTCGAAATGTGTCGGGTCATGATCTACCGCGACAGGGTCATCATCAACCTCGTCAATAGCGTTATGTTCCCCTATACTGGGTATATGATGTAGAGACTGGGAGGATGGCCAAAAAAGCCCCAGGAGCTCATCAATGCCTGCGACACCGAAGCGAGTCTCGGTGCTGCCTGAATGGTCGCGATGCAGCACTCTCAAGTCATGTAGCAACTAAGGCGAGGTTAGCAGAGCTCTTTATAGCAAGGCCTATTATAAGCTGTCTGAAAAAGACCAAAAGAAGGAATTACCTCATCCAAGCCCTCCTCGTGCACTTCTTGCAGCAGTTTCTCCCCGAAACTAGCGGCCATTTCAAGGAGCCCTGTAGTCGGGTATCATTGACTTCATTTCATCTTAAAGCAGCCAGCCGATAACCAGTCAACGGTAGCCCACAGCTGGATTCATGAAGTCAATTGGCGTTTAGCCTGTAGAGTGGTGGGAGTGAATCGGATGATGGTCCAGTAGCGGCGGGCAGGCCGACTCCGACCATTGTTCTGCATCCACTCCATGCGGCTTCCTCTCCTACGCGCCTCTCCACGAAGACAACTCTACAGCTCCGAACACCTGACACCTTTCTCTATCTACTCCGCGAACTTTCAATCATCACAAATGGCGCCTTTAGTTCCCTTCTTCGACGTTGAAAAGCTCCCTTATCATGTCAACATCAAGGTCAAGAACTTTGATAAGGAAATACGCCGCAAGGGCTCGATAAACCTCGAGAAATGCAAGCTGATGGAAATGGTACAATACTCGTGCAATCCACCGTCAGGTCCTCATTATGGCTCGGGAACTGTTGTCTGCGAGCAAATCGTGCGGCTTTTCAGAAGGTAAGCCGTTGGTAGCTCCGTCGCGCACTCGCAGATCGCGAATGAGCTGACCTGATTGTATTAGATGCGCTGACGGCTTGACTGTTGAGACAACTTCGTGGGAACCCATTCGACAAGTGGAACAAGATGCGAAGCGAGAAAGCGAGGCCCAGAAGAGTTCCAAGACTTGATGCACAGCGAGAGCACGGAGCACATATCGCATTTACGGAGTTGGTTGGAGTTTGCCTGCTTCTACGGATACAATGCATAATAGCGGTTCTCATAACAATCTCAATTACAATTCACATGGGTATCTTATCGAATAATGCTAGAATAACGAATGCGAAACGCCCGACGCCGCTATGATGCTTCTCCTTTCCAACCGACCGCCCGCGCTTTTATGTGTCCATCCAATTCTCAACCTTTGATACTTCTGGATTGTGCTTCGAGCCTGCTTTCTCTTCCGGTCTTTGTCTCCCCGACGCCGCGTTGCGCCGCCAGAAATCACGTTCGCAATTGATGATGGGGGGTAGTTCCAAGCCAGCCAAGCCTCTGGATGTACCTTGCTCTCCTTCAGTTTCCGCGGCGTGACCAAAATCGATCTCCATTGCATTGGAACTGCCCGCGGGGACATTATTTGGTGCCTTTTCCGACAAGCTCGTGACTGTTTTCTCAAACATGCTCTCGAAACTCTCAGCCTTCTGAGCCCATTGTTTCTCATCGCGGCCGCCGGATCCAGGCTGATTATCCTTGAACGCCGCTCGAGCGAGCTTTCGCAGCGCTTCCTCCCCGTGTCGGCCATCATCCGCTGCTCGCTCACGGATCTTACGTGGATCTTGTTCTCGCTCGGTGTAGACTGGCGTGTGGCGGTATGTATGCTTGCTTGGAAACTCTGGGAAATGCTTTGGGATGTACGAGCTTCTGGCGCGGTCATCCTCGCCACTTAACTCCAGTGGTTCAAGAGAAGGCAGGATCTTAAAATCATCGTCTTCTTCCGGCGGAGGACTGGGTAGCTGGGTGGGAACTGGTTCGACCTTCGGGTGAGGTTGTAGATGCGGGATAAGGGAGTTGACGGGTAAACGATGGCGCTTCAGAGCGTATTCGAAATCGTGGGGAACAGGCTGGAGGCGTCGACATGATAACATAGATGTGCGCACGTATGATGCAAGCCGCAGAAGATCTAGCATAGTCGTCAACAACGCTTCCTAACAATACCCTACGCATAGCATACACTCCTCTGCTGCGTCGCGAAAACTTTCAACCGCCAGTGGATCGGCAATCTCGAAGCCACAACTTCGTAGTGACTGTCCTATAACACGACCCATGATCTGGTCGATATGGGCGTCATCGGCAATAGCAGGCTCCGGCAAGCTCGAGGTAACAGGTTCACGCAAACGATGGTGGTGATGGTAGGGGCGCTTGATGCGCTTGGCATCAGGCGCGGCCGTCTGTTCAGAGAATGTTGAGAAAGACCGCTTGACGGCCGGCTGGGATGGCACCATTGCGGGGATCAGTGAGGGCAGAGTGAGTGGCTTCGAGGTGACCGCGAGCGATGATGAAGCTGAACAGCAGATCCCGTTGCTGCACGTGACTCTAGCCTAAGGCATCATGTCAATAGCGGCCTCGAAACATGTGTCAAAAACATGGACGATCAAAAGGATTAACGGTTTAATTACTGCTCTATGAGTGAGAGCTAAATAAGAGTCACCCAATGATCTAATTTGGCTATTTCAAGGCCATTGGCGTAGTTCTTGTGGTCGCAAAGCATCAGGCCACTCAAAGCGGTCGCTTACTGTACCGCGCCGGATCGGAAAGCTTCACTCGGCTTGACGTCCAACATCACTCTCCTCTCTCCCCTCTCCCCTCACCACCACCACACAAAGCAGATACCCACTCTGCCGCTTCTCCTCAGGATAGACCCTATCGTCAAATCCTACAATAAATCGTCGCAATGGCCACCGCTATCGCTCCTATCACCGGCGTACGTCCTCATCCCACCCTACCTCTTTTCCCACGACACCTTCGCTCGCATCTGCTCTCCATTCAGAGGAATTGCCCGACCGGTCAATTAACATGGATGCGTATAGATTCTCCGCCGCGCTCTGGTTCTTGACTTGAGCACCGCTTTCGGTGAGCCTCTTCCGACCGCACTCCCATGAGCCCACGCTCGCAGCGGAACCCGACAAGCTAGAAGCGAGATATCGCATTGGAGCTATAGGATGCCGGACTGCCTGAGATCTAAGCTTAGGGCACCAATGCATTATCCAAGCTTGAATGACCATCTGCATCTTGTCGATTGCGACCTCCGCCGGCTACTTGCTTAGCCTGATCAGAACCGCGACTAATTGTTCCTTCTCCATAGGTTTCGGCACCACCTTCGGCTACCTCTGGTGGTACGGTAAGTAGAAGCCAATCAAACATTCATAGCGACTGCATTTCTATGAGCCTGTTACTGATATCATCGTGAACCAGGCTACCACCTTCCCCGCGTCCGCGCTCGTGACGAGTACTACAACCGCCTCGAGCAGGAGCGTGCCGCCGGCCAGGCGTAAACGCTTCCTTTGCAATATCAATAGCTCGATTAGCCAGCCGCCCGATCCAGAGGTGTAGATCTCCACGCCTGCGCCCACAAGTCAACGAGCTACGCCCCAGAAGGACCAAAGGAAGCAGGTGTCAGGATATATACCCGAGTTCTATTCGTCCTCTTCTGCTATCCTCTCGAAATGCCTCCCTTCCGAGGCGTTGCTTAAACTGGTCTGGGCTGTCCGATTGAGATTTCGTTGTGAAAGAGAAAGAAATGTTAGACTATCTATCTACCCATCGATTGTTTCCCTTTGTTCTCAGTTCTGCGCGTTAGCTGTATATATACGCTTGTGCTCTGAACCTAGATGCTGTATACTTTCATTTGAAAATGCGTAGTGTAGAGGGTTAATAGCAGTTGCCAAAACCTGTATTGCACAGTACTACAGGCCAGCCATCAGAAGTCCTTTGCCGAAGAACAGGAGCCGAAAAACACAGAGTTCGTATTCATTAGGGAATCTATCCAGTCGCTAAAAGTAGGTCATCAGGTAGTCAGTCATAGTGAGTCCGTATTCACGAAAATAACTCGAGCCGGCTTTCTTCCGTGTCCATTCGCCATCCCGTCCATATTTGTAGAAGATGCGATGAGATAGATGATCGCGGGGTCCCTTCGTATCGTATTGCATCACAGCCCGTCCATCCGCGTGTGAGGCTGTTCATTTGCACGTCCCATCAGGTGTCTAACGTCCCAGCAATCACGGAGGAGTTCCAACTCATCTCCATCCAACGTAGAGGCGAGACGGAAAAGCCCGTAAGATAAGCCTTCTCTAGTAGATGCCGCGCATCCACACCATCTATCGCGTCACTTTGTCGAAAGCGACGCCACGGACGTTCCCTCCGGCCATGGAGTTGCGGACATTGCGCTTGAAGAGATCGCGATTCTGCCGCAGGTCCTCCGCAGCCTCTTTATTCAGCGGATCGGAAGCGTTCGGTTCGAGGAAGAGGAACTAGTACGCACGCAATCCGTCAGAATCATGGCTTCTAGAAACACACTTCCTAAGCGGCCAAATACGCTGCCCAGAAGACAAAGATAGTAGAAAGGTGACATACCTGCATGCCCACAATAACGGCGTTCAAGTTGAGCACAGGCTTCCAGTCCTCGCGCAGGATATTCAGACAGACGTTCCCCTCCAAATCAATATTCGGGTGGTAGATCTTCTGCGTGCACTTGACTTTCGGCGGGTCATGCGGGAAGTTCTGGTTGACGGCGAAAGTGAAGGTAAAGGAGCCATTCTTGTACATGCCCTCGTCCGGCTCGATGGTCAAGTTGAAGTTGAGGATGTCGTCGGGATTCGGAAAGGCCATTTTCATCGTGCTCCCGAGGGTGAGCTCTTGGAGATCTAGACGCCGACGCCGAGTCGTGTGAGCATTCGCGGGGAGGACAGACAAGACGGCATGGGAGCGCATGCAGGTGCAGGTGCAGATATGGACATACCTCGCTGAACACGCAGCTGGGCGGCTGTGACCTTCTTCTTCTTCTTCCCCGCAGCGCCTTCAGCATTTTCAGCCTGCTGCTGCTGTTGCTTCTATTGTGGTGAGGCGGGTAGTTAGATGGGGTTCGTTGGAGTGACGGAGTAACGGTCAAACGCCTAGTCTGAGCTGTGGGAAGGGAGCGCGCGTACCATAGACCAGATTTTGAGCATGATGGATACTCCGTCACGGATACCGGTGTCAGGAGGGGAAACTAGAGTTGCTGCGGAGGAGAAGTTGGGCGTAAGGCGGCTCTACGAGGGGAAGTGAAGGTTGAGTGGGGTCTGGCGCGATTAGTTTCCTTGCCACTAAAATTAGGCCAACAGTAGCCTCTTGACACTGGATACGTCAACTGGCAAGTGTACTTGCAGTATTGAATGTGAGGTTGCGTAATGAAAAAATGAGAAAGCCCAGAAGCCAGAAAAAATAAAAGTTGCCTGAAGACAAGTTCGTATAAGCGGGAGTCGTCGCCTGACGCCATGCAAACAGGCTTCGATTCGCGCCATCTCCGCCAGAAGCTGCTTGATACTGGAGTCTGGAATTTGGAAGGATAGTAGATGCTGAGCAGGTAGGCGATCACGCTTCACGTTCCATTGAATCTAACTACTAAAAGTCTACATGATAGCGAGAACTGGTGCACCTATCCTAAGGATATGAGTGGACACAGTGGCTAAAGAAGAAGACAGTGACTGAGCATCATATGTAAAATACAATATCAAAACAAAATGTGCCAAGAATAACTCCCCGGACCCCATGCAATACACATATTTGCAAGGTCTCTCGTCCTTGGCCTTTTTTTTCATTAAGCAAAGAGAGTCTCTACCGGCGGGCGAAGCAGCAGAGAAGACCCGTCTTTCCAAGGAACCAGGTGGCTCCAATAAAGCGAATCAAGGCGACAACAGCATTGGACCACAGAAGGGCTTGGAAGAAACGTGAAGTACGCTCAGTTGATGTGTTCTGTAGAGTTTTGTTAGTTTTATTTCGAATCAGTAAACGGGGAGGAGTGGGCGTAACATACCGTAAAACCGAATTTATCCAGACCCTCGCTGGTGATGCAGACGGCAAGAAGACCATTACTGAAGAGCCAGAGTGTAACCAATCTAGTACGGAAACTCTTGTACGAGTCGTCTAGGGACTTCTCTTCCTTCTCCTCTGGTGCCACATAAGGAGTCAGGGCTCGCTTAACGGTGGCCTCGAACTGACTGTCAATATCGGCCTGGGGCTTGTCGATTTCCTCAATAACTGCCTCTTCACCCTTGGTTTGTGTAGTCTTGGCGGAGGGAAGAGCATCCGCTTTGTCGGAACCCTTGGTACCCCAAGAAACATCGTGCCAGTTGCTGAAAGCGTAAACGTTGAGAATGTTGATGTAAGATGACTGCACGGCCATATAGGCGGGGAAGGACGTGAACATATGCCAGGGATCGAGGTACATAAATGACGCAACGAAGTAAAGACCGAATGTGGCAGCAAGAGCAATGATAATAATACCAGCACCACTGGACCCGAAGAAGGAGCTCAAGAAGGCACTAACGCTGCTGGTGTCGAAATCCATCGGCGCGCCTCCGGAGAAAGCGCGGACAACAAGATACAGGGCATCGACGACAACGTACAGTTGGATAATACCGAAGGCGACGAAAGATGCAAGGTATGACAGCTTGGATCCCTTGGGCCGGTTTCCGAGAGCAAGAATGAACTGCAACAACAGGAATGCGAGGTAGATGTATTTCACCAAGGTGTTGATGATCGGAGTCGCCGATTTACCGAAAGGGAATGCAGTGTGGCCGTTGCTGTCACTGGGAGTTCCGACCAAATCCATAATAACCGAAGTCGTAAGCCAGTAAGATGCTGTAGTACCATATGTTAGGGCTGTTTTTTTGATTAAGTGGCGACTGCACGACTTACCGAGAGAGAACCAAGTCAGGAAGGTAGAGAACCAATTGTACAACATTTGAAGATGGAGGAAAAACATTCGAACGATGTTGTGTCCACTCTTGTACATACGACCGAAGTGCATGAGGGAATAGATACCGGCGGCGAAAGAACCGTTCAACCAACGACGACGCTGAGAGATGAATTCAGGAGCACCTTCGGGCACATCAGTTTCACCCTTGGAGGCTTTGACATACGAGAGATGCCATTTAGAACCCGCTTTGGCGACCAGCTCGAAACATAGAATACGATCTTCGGCCAAGAACATGTTCTTCTTGAAAATGTTCATACCCTCGATACCCTTCTTACCCAGCTGCTTGGAAAGGGTATGATCACCGTGGAAATACTGTTCCAGAGGACGTCCCATAATCGCACGGAATCGGTAAGCTGAGAAAGCACCGGGCAACACACTGACATAGCCAAAAGAACTCTCCAAAGGCTTGTCAAGAATGTTACTGATCTTGTACTCAAAGTTCTGTGCAGCAACCAAGGGATTGAGAAGTTTCTTCCAGCCCTTACCCAACATGGCGTGGATTTCACCACAGGCACCTCCAAGATCCTTGTCGTTGTAGAATGCCTCCCACAAGTAAAGCAGAGACTTGGGACCAGGCTTGGTACCGGCATCGAGAAGAATGCAAACCTCGGGATTCAGAATACGACCAAAAGCGTTGAACAGCCATCGATGGGAGTTGATCTTCTTGCTGTTCTTCTGCTTCAAACAGAACATCATCTGCACGGGAGGAAGAGTGCTGGGGCCATCATCCGTAGGTCGGATGAGCTGCTGGTTTGGAGTGACGGAAAGCTGGGTGGTGTACTCGAACTGGTAGTTGTCAGCAGCAGCTCGAAAAGAAAGCAATTGCAAAGATCAGCTTACGATGTGAGCCACAGTTTCCTTTCCGTCGACGTCACGCTTCATGACACCATCCTGGTAGATACCAACAGTGGCGAGGACATCCAATGTGTCCTTGTCGCAAGGGTCGATACCGTCGAAAACCAGACAAACGACAATTTTCTGCCAAGCGGGACCTCCTTTGTTCCAGAATTCTGACTTCTTCAGATTGACAATATCGCGAATATTTTGCATAACACCGTGCAAGGTACGGGCCGTAAGCGTTTTGTCTTCGTTGTAGTAGGTAATGGCGATCAGCAACTCGGTATGTCTGTTGTACATCGCCGGGCGAAGGTTATAACCGTTGTGGAGTGTAAACTCATTGGGATCACAAGTCGCAGCGGTGTCTAGTAAAATCCGTTAGGTTCGATGTTAAGCCGTTTAGACTGCTTTAAACGCGACTCACATCGCATGTGCGTGAATTCCTCACTTCCTCCCTCGAGATCATTTCGGTACTTGGCTTGGATAGCATTTTGAATGGCGCTAGGCACGGGGTAATCCACACTCAGGACGGAACCCTGAACCAGCTTGACTTTTCTGGTGGCATAACGACGAAGCCCGTTTCCACCACCGCCGCCGCCGGCGCCGCCGGCCTGTCGCTGCCTCCACGCGTCTGTAGACGAAGTTTCGCTACGAGCATAAGGCGATGCTACGCGTCCCGGAACGCCAAAAGCGGCGGCGGGGTTCTCCGACTGGCCCGAGTAGACCGACTGATTGGCGCTGTATGGGTCATGATATCCGGCGTCAGGGGCATACGACTCAGTCAAGCTGTACCCGGATGTTGGGCGTTGTATGGGGGAAGCCGTAAGGCCACGCTGCTGATGGGGATCATCGAAGGGGCCGGCGAAAGGGCTTTGCTGGCTGGATAGTAGTCCGTGAGAGGCTTCTTCTTCGTACTAACATGCGCACAGTACGTTAGCTCAAATGCTAAGAGGGCGGGGGACAGAGCCTACAGAGGTGTTGGAGTGGGAAAGGTCGCGGAGTTGATGGTTGTCATCGTAACTGTTGTGCTCGCCAGGCGACTGAGGGCCAGTGCCGTGGTAAGCCATGGTCACTTAATATGTGCGATTAAGAGCGCTGTATCTGCGTATTGGGCTTGGACGAGGTCAAGCAAACACAAGCTGAGGCAGAACGAGGAAGGGGTATCAGGGAAACAGAAACGATGAGGTTTGGCCCCGACTTAGGAAGGCCAAACAACACTGAGCGCGCGTTACAGGACCACGCGGCACGGTCAGAGAACAAAGAATAAAGATGGACTAAAGTGAAAGGGATTAAAGCGAGAGGAAAAGCGAGAGAAAGCGCTCAGAAATAAAAGGCGGGAAGTGGAAGCGTGAGGGTCCAAAGCTGAAGAGGGAGAGGCGCAGGTCGAGCAGGAACGTGGAAAAAGCCGCCAGGGCTGAGGGAGGAGGCCCTGAATTCGAAAAAACAGCAGGTGAGACACCACCGTTGATCTAGGGAAGTGGCTCCAGTATATTTAGTTCAGAGTTGCAACTAAAGTGCTCTTCGCCCGTGGTTTGAAGAAGGAGCGGAGGCGCAGAGAGAAAGAGTTGACAGAGAGGAAAACCCGGGGTTCAGGCAAAGTAAAAAAAATGCCACCCTTTTCTTAATTCTTTCAGAAGCAAGTCTCCTGGTGGTGAGCGAACCAGTGACTGAAGAGGGATGGCTAGGATTCCTTACCAGTCCCCAGTTACCACTGGCCCGGGGCTGGGTACAAACGCAAGCTACTGCACAGCGGCGCGACTGGTCTTGTTACTTTTGCATCAGATGCATCTATCAAACATCGGTGTTGCCTCCCTTCATTTTTGAGACTCTTGAAGTGTGTGAGTCTACTTCTATCACACCACTGCCCAATATTCCCTCCGCCCCTACAGTTGTCCTTGATGAGTCTTGACCTGATGCCCTTGATGCTCTTCCACAAAATGGCTGCCTCACCGCCAGGGGTACAAACCGAGATTTGCAAAATCTTCGAGTCCACTTCCCCATAACCAATGATTGACAATCTGATTGAGCAGAAAAGTGACATGGTAATTTGAAACCTGTCCATCCGCCTCCCGAGTCCCGACAGACTCAGAGAGCTCATGGCAGTCGGACTTTCTCACACCGTCTTCCTATACGGAGTATAAAATTCTGCTCGCTCATCTCATTTGTTAACCCCTGAACTGCCATTGTCCATTGACTCCATTGGGGCATGCCCATCTATTTCATACGAACACACTGCAGCTAACGAAGGTTGGGATGTCTTGGTCTTCTTGACCTTCTTGGAAGTGCAGCATTCCATCCCTGGCCAGCATCGTTACCCGGGCCTCCTCAGACACCAAATATGCGACGAAATGCCATTCCTGATTCTCACGATGTCCAGATGCTAGACTTCCGTCATGACATAGGTATTCCCACTCTTAATCCACTCCTGTTCACCCTCACTGGAGACCTCAATGCTTAAACTGACCTGTATACTCCGTAGACCTGCTTGTATTATCAGAACAATGCGGACGAATACGTATGTATTTCAGGGGGCGGGGTCATCTGGTTCTCCTGAGCAGGTTAGACGTCAGCCAAATATAGCTGTGGATTTGCACCGGACTCATCCGTGTTTCTTTGCCGTTGGCTGACCCGGTTATTCAGTGCCACAAAGGGGCGCTAGTCATGATCCCTAAAGATCTTAAATCCCCAATCAAAGGGATCCCAGCTTCTAGTGGTGGGGTGGTCAATGGGATCTGCGCAGCTAAGTGGCCAGCAAGCCGTCTATCACCGTTTCAGAGCGCCTGGGAATTGGACTGTCCGACTGTGGCACCGCCACCAAATTCCTCCTATACGGTATTGTGCTGTAATTTTCAAACCTGCTATCTCACTGGTACGTTTCCAAAATTCCGTTCCTCCCATTGTTCTTGTGGCTTAGCAGCACTAGCCGCCTTCTTCTAGTCGTCTTCTATTGCTATTCTTAGACCTTAGCGCGAGCACTGCTCAAAGATACAACCAGCCATCACCATTATTACCATGATTCAGGGCAATTCTATGATGCAGAGCCGCAGGATTTAAACCGTTGAATATGGAGACACTGCGCCATTGCCGACAGCAGTGTCTCACAGTGGCGGGTTTCCCGAAGGGGCGTTTGCATTGCGTCCGTGACCTTTGCATCTTGGATTGTTGACTACCCGATTATCAAAGGATTACCAAAGTGCGCTATGCCACGATGTACGGAGTAGTTCACCATACTCCGTATATGGTTGCGCTTTAGCATTGGAGCTGATGAGCTGAACTTCCGAAGGCTGCGTGTTAGACTGAGACTTCCAGAGAAGAGTTATTCTACTCTCGTCCACGTCTACCTCTCATGTCCTACACGACAGAGCGCAGTCATGCACTTCTCATCATTATCCAGATATCGTCCGAGACACTGTAAGTATGACGTTTTCTGGGCACATTCAAAATACCTGGATCGACTCAGGGTCCCTCTGCATGGCCTTGCGAAGGAATGTTTGTCCGAACCACGACGTAGCAAGGTAGAGTTCACAGTGATGAATTGTCTCAGCAGGATGTCATCTCTTTCATACAGATTATTGATATTGGTAACTTGCATGGATACGAAGTACATCATTTGCATATGAATGGAGGTAGATACTCCGTTGTCCAACTCTGCAGCAAGTGGCTGGTCTATGGCATTCTCGCAAGGTTCAGACTTTACCTATGCGAGTGATTGGCTTCTACCTTCAAGATATGCTTCTCCCGCAAGTTGCCTACTACGTACTATCTGACACAACATTGGCGTGGTATCTAAAAGGCGGGGCTCATGCATTTGGGGTCAGTATTGATGGGAAGCATCTACTCCGAGTAGGCCTAGCTTTCTTAATTCCAGGTGTATCTTAGCGGATGCTCCAGATATTTATAGTCGATTTTAGGTGCCTATAATACAGCCAACAACCTTGATTCACAAGGCCAAAGCGCTATGAGATTCTTTAACTGTTGACGGATGTCCCTGGCACCATAGTACTATATGAAACCTGCGGCTGTTGCTATAAAACATTCAAATGATACCCGGATTACTGCTCCTCTAGTTGCAAGTGTCTCGAGAATATATATCTCACACTACTCACAAAGCAAAAGCACCTTTGAGTAACGTCTTTCCCCGGCCAACAACAAGTCTATGGCCAGAACAAAAGCCCCACTGGGCGTTATTCTTCCGATGGCTAACACGACGCATTGACAGATCTAGCCTGCTGCCTGATGCTGGGCAACAGCCCTGCATATATTGGTCAGACCCAATACGGAGTAAATCCCCCATTATCGCGCATGTCGAGACATCCCGCGCGCATTCCTTGCTCTCACACAGCTGAATGCAAAGCAGGAAAACGGCTATGTTCATCCTACGGCCATCACACAGGCAGAGCAGAGCAGATGCAGATTCGGAGTCGACGCCCTCAACCCTTTGAGCAACAGAGTCAGTCACTGGACCACAACGCCGAGGCAACCCTTGAAAGAGCGACAGGATGCGGATTCGTCCAACCTGTTCTCTGATTCCAGACCAGATCTCCCCGCTGGACAAAGCGAGTGAAACCGCAGCCGTGAAGAAAGAGTCCTTGATCAAATCAGCCTCCAACTCCACCACCGCGATCTGGATGGCTCGCCCGCGGCTGCCAACAGCCAGAACGAGGAAGGATCGGAGATGAGTGTGAACGTTGGCGTGAGCGCCGCCGTCTTCATTGATTACCTGCCGTCCGTGCCTGAGGCTAGGACTCGTTGTGATTCGACCAAGCGCCCCCGTGTAATCTCCCTAATCTGCCGGAGGGAACGTGGGATGGTCCAGAACCACTCGAGCCAGCCTTCGGACACGGCCTTGATGCTCTCTCGCACACGGCCTTCCCAGCCGGAATCAGCAAGGACGATGGTGGGATGAGACAGCGGGCCACCGAAACATCATGCCAGGGGCCTGGGTTTGCCTGAACGGGGAGGCATGGCTGGTGCGCTGTGTGATCGTCCTTGGGTCGTGCAGTTCGTGCTGGGAACATGGTAGCACAATGGCTGGCTACTCCGTCTAATAGTAACAAAGGTCGTCACCGGCAGCCTGGTTTTATACTATTTCCGGCTGGCTCAGCTGCTCCTCTTAAGCGTCTCTTGAGCAAAGAACAGAGTTCAATAGTAATGCTGGCACTGTCACTGGCACCTGACATCTGACGGCTGCGAATTGCAGTTCTTAATCAATAAAGTACTCGGTATACGTAACATCAACTCAGGAACCTCATCTTCTTGATCACAACCACATCTGTGATACCAGTGGAGAGCCTGTGGAGAGCCCGTGGCGATAAGCAGAGTGAGTGGGCATAAAGCGCAGCCTGTGCCTTTTATTACTCTCTCCACCCAACCGCCAACCCCCCAGTTGAGAACTTGAGACACTTGGGACGGGCCTTTTCTCTTTCATCTCCTTCTCTGCCTCTTGTTAATATTCCCTTCTTTCATTTCTCTCTCCCAGCCATCCTCCTTCAAGTTCTTCGCCATCGATTTATCGCATCCTAGAGGGATATTTGTCCCTCACGGGTCGCTCAAACTCCTTGATCCGCCATTTGCGCTTGTACCTGAGACTACCTACCGCAACGCGTGTCCACGACGTCAACTCCTGACAACGACCACAGAAGGTCCATATCACGCAACAATTTATCCGGCTGGGAGGATTCGATCCAAATCTCGATATATTGAATACTCAACATCGCTAGACGCCAGACTATGAGTATCGCTGCCTATAGTCTCCCGTTTTAGTCGTCCAGCCTGAGGATATTCGCTCATTTCCCCGAAGATTTCCCCGAATAACATTGACTTGCTTCATGAATCGACCATAACTCACACGACTCGACGTCCAGAGTATCACTACACTCGTTTATATACCAACCATACGCTCTCTACGCCGTTGACCGGCAGCCGCTCTTTCATCTTTCATCTTATCGTTAGATACCCATCAAAGGCTTCATCCTTTCACACCACACTATCACCAGCTTGAGTTTGTTCTCCGTCCGATTCTTATCCCAAACATCTCACCATGGCGCCTTACAACCTCGACCCACACTCCCCACACGGTATGTACTATCGCCGCATGAACTACGCACTAGAGGTGAATCACTAACATGCTGAAGCTTTGTTTGCCCGCTCGGAATGCAAGCAATGCCCGCAAGAATCTCCTTCATGCGACTGCCCATCGGGCACGAAATGCATGATGACCGCCCAATCCTGTTCTGCATGTGCGACTATACAATGTGTCGAGACATCCAGCAGCTCAACCTCTAACAGTAGTTCCAGTGGGGGAGGAACCAACACGGGCGCTATAGCGGGCGGTGTCGTCGGAGGTCTTGCAGCAGTAGGAATCATCGTATTCCTCATTTGGTGGTTCGTCATTCGCAAGAAGCGCAACCAGCAGCGAGCAGAGGAGTCGGAAAAGGCCAGCTCGTACGCCGCCCGCGCCCCGCCGGCTTCCAGTGCTGCACAATCGAGGAAGTCCACCCATTCGATCGCATCTACCGTCTTGACTCGCGCCTCCAATGTTATCCAAATTGCGTACATTCCTGGCGTAACGAACAGATCTCCACCGGATACTCCTCTCGTCCCACCTGTCCCCCCTCTCCCTGGCGCTTCAGCCGACCAACATTTCTTCATGCCTGGGGATTTGCGCGACTCATCCTGGTCTGACATGACGACGGACCGTCGTTCTATGGCTAACACACTGCGAAGCAGTGTCGCTACGACTATCTACCGGAACGATGCCATTGTCAGCCCCATGCCTGCCCAGCAGGTAACGCGCACTCGCGCTGCAGTGGTCAGCATTCACAATGGGCCAAGCACACCATCCTCCCAGCACCTGAGCCCCGATACACCGGCTGTTCCTGCCATTACTCCCTCACAGCTCGCCAGGGCGGGTGTCACCGACGCAAACAACAACAGCTCAATTGTGGCTCGCACTGTCACCGCGAAACCTGTGATGGTAAAAACTATTGGAAAGAAAAACAACGCGGCAGCTAAATCACCCGTCCAACCCATCGCGGAGCAGCCGGAATCGAGCGCTGGATCCTCGTCTACCAGCCAGAAACCCACCAAAGCCTCCAGCGTCTCATCAAATGACGGAGGAGAACCCCCCGCTGCCGGTAACAAGCGCACATCCACAATCGCCGAGACACCAATCTCAGCCAGGAGATCTCAAGCTCCAACGGTGATCGAAGATTCACCAGCCATCATCCAGAGCCCGTTCACCGACGAAACACCAACAGAAACAGACAGGCGCAACTCAGCTTTCCTAGAAGGGGCCAGCTTAAGCTCAAAGCGACACAGCGGCGCACCGCCCCCGCGAGTCGAGAGCCCCTTCGCAGACACAAACGAGGTGAAATAAGCCTTCTATCACCTCTTGTCTTCTGTTTCAAAGTAACGACGTCTGATTCTTGCTTGATTTCCCTGGGTTGTTCACATTATTTCGTTCGGCACGGCGCACAAGGGGTGGAGCTCTTGATTCCATCATTTTTGCTATATAGATGCGATGTTGTCTTTTCCATTTACCCTATCCTTCTGGGTCTACCTACTCTGCCAAGAGTTCTTTCTTGTATATGATCGGCTACGCCTTTTCCATTCTCACCTTTTTTATATCCAGATCCAGCCGTTGGTGGCCGTGAACAATCATATCATTCCTTCTTTCTCTCTATCATCTTGCTACTTGTGGTGCTCTGATGCTGTAGTTCTGTTGTATTGGATGTAGCTTGGTGACGCACACTAATTATCCTCTATCGTAGCGTTGGTCTTGGGGGCTAGCTAGTTTATCTACCATGTACCTAAAGAGCCAGGAGAATGCCATTTCCGCGAGCTTAGGCTATCACAGACCATATACATCTGGAGTGCATATATATATATCCAATCTAGACCCAGGCCGACGGATACGCAAGACATCAGAGAGCTCTTATTCCTTGCGGTGGATTATTCATGCAACAAAAATATATGTGGATATAACCGCAAATGGAAGCGCAAATCCGTGACTCAAATGAATGGATAGCTGGAGCCATCTTCCAAGCCCATTGATATGTCATTTGATTAACTCAACTCGACCAGCGAATGGAGAGAGCAAGCCATCAGATGATACTACCAGATATCAACAACAATCAAGCGATTTTTCTCTTTCAGAAATATAAGAGGAATAATTCCACGTCTGGAGGTCAAAGTAGAGTAATGGATGGTGTATGCACTCATGTCATCATATTCGGAATTCTAGATCAACGCTAACATAGAACAAAATCAGTAATCCTCTAGCCCCATACCCTTCCCGATCTTCCGGATCAGAGCGCGCTTCAAGAACGCCTCGCGTGCTAGACCACGCGTATGGCGAGACCAGGTATCGAGGCCGATAACTCCCTTGACGAGGGCGGATTGGAGAGCATAGATAGCTTGCTGGATGCCTCGTTCTTCAGCCACAAGGTCGTAGAGCTGTTTCCCTACCACTGTGGGAGCAACAAGTATGTCGTCGATAGGAGGGAGACCCGAGGAGGATAAAGAGGGATCCGAGCTGGAGGATGGTTGGGTGGTTGAGACGCGTGACTGGGCGTCCGCAATGACGGCATCGGCGCGGTGAAGAGATTGAGTGAGCACCGAGGTGTTAGATTCGAGTGTTGAGTTTAAGGTTGTGAGAGATGAGATTTCGGTTTGGAGAGTCGCGATGGCGGCGTGAAGTGACTGGGATTGGGAGGTTAAGGATTGGGCGGCGGATTTGGAGTGGTTGATATTCGCATGGAGGGTCTCGGTAACGGCTTTGGAGACAGCCTGGAGGAGGGCATCTTTCTCCGGGTTTGGTGGGATTGGGGGCGCGGGCCCCGAGGGCGTAAACGACGGGAGGTCGAGCTCGAAGGGAGATGTGAGTAGATCTTCTGTTGCCGGTTTCGGTCTTGACTGAGAGGCTGGAGGCTGGCTGGTCGGAGCGACATGAGGTGGTCCATGATGCGGTGGATGTGGATGCACCTGTTGAGCTGGGGGATGTTGGCGGTGATAAGCTGCATAAGGGGGCACATGTGGACCTTGGGGGTGTGGAGGTTGGTGTTGTAGAGGTATACTGTGTGTCCCGTTCGCAGCCGGAAAGTGGGCGGGTCCTGGGGTATATGCGGGCCCTGGATAACCGTTGCGCTGCTGCGCGGGTTGCGGGGGTGGAGGATATGCGCCCACAGGAATGGCCCCCTGCTGAGGTAGGTACTGAGAGTCCCTGCTTTGAGCATTCCCTATGGAGATGTGTACCGGAGATATGGACTGTCGCGTGCTTTGCTCCTTGGGTGGCAAGGGAGGCAGCGGCGGCGGAGTATTGTGCTGTGCTGGAGCAATGTTCTGCTGCAGTCCTGCAGGGCTGGATAGCTGGCCTGGCTTGGGAGGAGGAGGTGGTGGTACCTGCGATGCAGGTTGAGGGGAGCTAACAGCGGGCGATAGGGACGAGGATGTATGGATCGGGGAATTCCCAAGTTCCGCGGGTAATGGAGGACGAGGAGGGGGTGCTGGCACCGTTGGCGCCTGTTGCGGTATAGGCTGCTGCTGTTTGTATTTGACGGGAGGCTCTTTCGCAAAAACATCCTGGAGAATCGAGAGAAGATCAAGCAGGGAGGCTCGCTACGTATGCAACAATTAGCAGGCGGACGCGATTGCGTGCTCATGATACTACTTGTACTCACCTCCCAAGCCCCGGCCCAATGCGCCAGATAATGGTGATAAACCCTCCCTTCCAACGTGACATGCTGGCCTACCCGAACGGCCATATCCTGAGTCGGCTTCACGTATACGATCGGTGGCTCGCGAGGGTACGTGTTGGGAATCCATAATGCGATGGGGAATTTGTAGACAGTGCCGCGGAAGGTGACGGGCAATGTGCCCGAGAGTTGTAGTAGTAGAGCAGAGAATCCATTCTCATAGGCTGGTGATTCGGTACGTCAGTAACCCGCTTGGAAGCGCTTGGAGGACCAAGACTCACTGTAGACTGCGGTTTCAGGGGTAAGCATGGGGAACTTGGCCAGGACGTTTGCGACATCGTAGTAAGTCCGGTTGGGGTCCTGGTATGTTTGCCTGGGGTCGTAATGGTCCTGGGAGATCAGCACGGGAGTTTGGCAAATGACAGTGCCGGAGCCTCACCCTAATCAGAACACTGTACAGCCAATTCAGCGTCCTCTGGGGGACCGACGCCATGACGAGGCAGCTCTGGGGGGGAAGATGGGGAGAGCGAGTGCGGCAGCGTCACCGCACAGGAAGACAGAGCATCCCCGCAGTCTTGGCCCTTAGTCAGTTCCACTGCTCTACCGCTACAACAACAACTACTACTGCAACCCAACCTCTACAGAATCCATTATCCAGTGACAATGCGATTATTGTGAAACGCTACAAACATACAGGCCATATCCCTTACTCGCGCACGAACGCCGATGAGCGAATAGTAGTCTACAATGGCTGCCTCGACGAGGGTACTCACAGCCGTCTCTGCATTAGCCCGCCAGGAGTACAATGGCGAACGAAAAGGTCAAACGTTGTTATTCCGTTTTGAGGCATTGTACGAGGGTTCCTGTAAGGGCTTTTGATGCAAGCGCAGCCGTATGTTGGTGCCAGAACCCTTCTCACCCTCCTTCACACTATGAAACACTGGGTCCCAAATCAACAGCGAAACGTGGAGAACATCCTTTCGGACAATCTATCCTGTCTAGAGTGAAGCGGAGGGGCGAAATACTGAATCCTGGCTAAAAGTGATATCTTCGCCTAGAGACTGGCCTGGTCTGGAATTCGCCGGTTCTCCTGGCTTCCCGGCTGTGTTGAGCTCGCATTGTCAGGGAACCCCACCATTGGAGGAACAGTCAGGGGAAATCTGAAAGTGTTGCAATCAAAATAGAGCATGGAAGACACTTTATATTAGCTGTGTCATGGCTAGAGCCGTTGGTGATGCAGGCGTCGTTGCACATTGTTCTGTGAGCGGAGCTTGGTATTGTCTGTCTCAACCCAGCTTCAACAACAATCCACCCCGATAATGGATTGACCCGACGATCATAATCGCCACACCTGAGCTTGGCCTGCAGCCTGCCCTGGCATTGTTACATCTCCACCTGGCCCGTTCTTCATATTGTTTGTCTCGCATGTTACACGAGGATGAGCAGTCATGGCTACAACTTGCCGGTCAGCGGCCGCAGCGTCAATGGTTGTCTTGAGAGACAATCATGACACATCGAGGGACGACATGCGTGCTTGAAGCTCTTATACGGACCTCCTTGTCTACACCATCCTCCATCTTGCAACCCTCATCCTCTTCAATAAGTCTCTTGCTGCGAGCGAACTGCAGAATCTTGCGAAATCGACCAACGAACCCGCTTCATCTCCCTTCGCTCTGAGCTGATCATTATGGCTTCAGATTTCGATCCCTGGAATCAGACTGTCACCATCCGTCTTGGTGACGGGACTCCCGTCGATGTACCTCTTGATTTCATCGACATGACGCTCCAGTACGCTCTTCGAGCCAACATGAGCTATGCCGCGCAGCTGGGAGCATCTCTTATACTCTTCGTCATTCTAGTTCTTCTGACTAGAGCCGAGAAGCGTGACTCCTACGTGTTCTGGCTTAACGGCCTTTCGTTGGTCCTCAACATTGCCAGATTGTTTTGTACGATGCTTTTCTTTACGTCGAACTTTTTCAATACCTACACACTCGTTTCTGGTGACCTATCTCGAGTTCACAAGCGCGAATATGCAACATCCGTCTTGGGAGCAGTGTTCAGCGGGCTACTCATGACAACGGCAGAACTTTCGCTGGTCCTCCAAGTGCAGGTTGTGTGTTCGAATCTCAGACGCATCTACCGACGCAGCCTTCTTTGCCTATCGGTCATTGTTGCTACCGTAGTCATGGCCTTTCAATACTGGCTAATGGGCATCAACTGCAAGTTCATCATTGAAGGAAGCGACCCAAGGCGCATCAACTGGCTAGAAAGCACCACCAACATCATCTTCACCGCGAGCATCTGTTTTTTCTGCGCAATCTTCGTGACCAAATTAGGGTTTGCCATACGTCTGCGCCGTACGCTCGGCAAGACTGATCTCGGGCCTATGAAAGTCATCTTCATCATGGGTTGCCAGACCATGGTTATCCCAGGTATGTCCTGATCGCCTCTCTACTAAGACTATGAACATCCCGCTAACACACTTTATCAGCCATGCTCTCAATCACGCATTACTTCGTCGAAGTCCCAGAGCTCAGTTCTAACGTCGTCACCCTTGTTATCCTTTCCCTTCCGCTTTCCTCCATCTGGGCCGGCACGGTCCTTGGCAAACCCAGCACGCCCTCGAACATTCGCAACTTCTGGCAGATCCTCTCTTTCTCAGGACAAAGGACCAAGCGCTCTACATACACTGCCACAACGGCGACCGGAACCACGACATCTTCCATTGCAAAGCAGTGCACTCACTGCTACTCCGAGTCGCGGCCGCTGACGGATAAGGACGGTGTCAGGAACCAGGAGGGCCCCTCGCCGGTCTCTTCGTCGAAGTACGGGATCGCCGTTGAGCATGACATCTCGGTTCAGAGCGCGAGAAGGGACTCTTTTGAGGTTTGATGCGATGAGCCTCACCTTCACTGTTCGTGGTTACACCCACAGACTTCGCTTCATCGTCTACTCGGCTTCGCCTATTCAAATCGGTGGCCTTTCTTTTCTTTTACTTTTCGTCTCTTGTTTCTTTCATCACATCGCATTGCATACATAATACCCAGTCCGCCACGGCTTTTTTTTTTTCTCTTGCTGCGACAGCCTTCACTTAGGTACCGATGGGTGCATGACTCTGTGGAACTGGCTGATGGATATCTTCCAGGTGGTCAGGGGCAAATGATAATATCATGCATAGCTCGCGAGACACAAGAGCTCTGAGTGCTTTCCTTTACTGTTTCGTTTTGTCGTTCCTCTTCCTTTACTTCTTCTCATAATCGATTCAGATTCCCCGACTTCTTCACCAGAGGTCCACTGATGTCGTCTTTCTTTCTTCTCGGGTTGGTAGATTCTCTCTGAGTGGCTTCATATTGAGATGGTCATGCTGGGTTCGTAATTCGCGAATACCAGCCAAGTACATAAAGAAGCAATAATCCACCCACCTCTTTATTATCGAAAGCATTTCGAACCTCCGTAGGCCGACTAGAGCTGAAGAATGAAACGAGTAAGAAGAGTAAAGGTTATCCCATCCATAAGTCAAGCTAACCCACCAAGGCATTAATTAATAACATGTTTCGAGAAAACAAATATATCATAAGAGCAAACCCCCATCCACTCATCAAGAAGTAGCCAAGCTAACCCTCCCTTCCCAATTTCGCCAGTGACTCAGTCAGGAACTCATTGGCATTCATCAAGTCCGTACTGCCGTAGACGATTCTCCGCCTTGGACCGCCGAGTGATTCGTTCCCAACGCGGGAGCTAGTTGCCCCCTCGTGGCCCTGCTGCCCACTTGTGCGCTGCACCCAGTCTTGCAAGTTGCCGTACTCATCCATGCTGCCACCGCCAACAGTAAAGACAATGGCTTCATTAAACGCTTGACGACGCTGGCCAAAGCTAGCCCCCGTACCGGGACCGCTCGATAAGGAGCCTTGCTGGGCATTACGGGCCGCCGACGCCGGGGGGATGGTTCCGCGGGCGTTGGTGCTCCTAGGGTCGAAGTAGAGATAGTTTTCTGTTTTTGCGATAGCAGAGCTCGATGCCGAGGCAGGATCCATGATTGACTCAGTTATCTTGGTGAGCGTGAGGTCTTTGTTGGCGGGGAGGAAGTTCTTGACGCCGGAGATGAGGGAGTCAAAATTTGCGCCTAAGGCGCCGGAGGTGATGCGGTCTGTGAGACGGTTGGAAAGGGAAGAGAAGCCGCGGAAGAGATCGGAGGATTGCTGCTGCGGCGCGGCGGTGGCCGTGGTCATCATGGTCATGCGGGTGAGTTCGCGGACCTGCTTGACATAGGCGATGGGGGTGACGTCTTGGACGCCTGTTCGGGTAAGGGCTTCTTCGAACTGGGTGATGTCGGCGCGGGAGAGTTCGGTTTCGGTGCTCAGGAACCAGATGAGGAATATGCGGAGTTTGTCTGTGGGGTTTGCACCCTTATTAGGGTCGTTGATCAATTCTAGGATTTGAGCTTTGGATTGTTTGGTGATGTTCTCCTCGAGCTCAAAGAAGTTATCGAGTTGGCGGTCTTTGATGCCCTTGAGAAGAGCGGTTGCAATGTTCATATGCATGTCCAGAATTGATTTCCGTTCCCGCAGTTCGGGCAGGAGGGTGATGGCGGCTTTGAGATGCTGCGCGGAGGCGCTGGTGTCGGCTTGAAGGTCTTCAATCGAGGAGGCTCCCGTCTTTCTTGTGATTTCAGTCGCATCCTCCTTATACCGTGTTAATTCGGCGTCGATATCTTCTGCCACGTGGGGGAACGGAGCACCGGCGTTACGCTTCCAGAAAAAGTCATTACTGCCAAGGTCATAGGCCTTCTTTGTGACACCACCGGCAGGGTTTGATTCGTCTAGAGGCGATTCTACCGTGATACGGTTGAGCCGCATTTGGAGAACATCTTGTACTAGTGATTGGTAGGTCCAAGAGTGGGAGAGCATCGGGACTAGATCGACGTTGCGGTCAACGATAATCAGGACCGGCCGCGCTGAAGGGACACCGGGAGTGGACTTCTTGTTGGTTGAGAACAAGTTGTCTTTGGAGTTGAGAATATGATCGCGTAGTTTGCGGTCTAGCTTTGTCGCGATGAGCTCGGCCGCACCTCCTTTGGGACAACGGATGATCGGTATGGCACCTAGTCCTGGTCAGCATGGGTTACTGTGTCCATACTTGTTACGTACCCATTGTAACGCTGACACTGAAGAGCCCGCTGACAATCCTATCGACGATTTCGTCGAGGTCGGCATCGCTCGTCTTTGCGCTGTTGATCCTCCAGTAGGCGTCGTTTCCTAGACCAAGGCTGAACAGATCCGGTTCGGCGACAATAAAGTTCAGATACTGATCATAGACCTGAGCGATATGTTCGGCGGTTCCAGTTGTTGCTATTTGAGTTGCGAAGTCTTCGAGGAGAGGTCGGGGAACGGAGGATAGGAAATTGACGTAGGCGGGGGAGTAAAGGCCGCGCTGGAGATCACCCGCAATCATCTGGATATTGGAAGCGGTGGGCTCGACGAGGTAGACAACTGGAACATCGGGAATAGGGTATCGGGTAGAGTTGATGCTCCTATGTAGCCTTGGTCAGCCACGTTGACACAGGGGACAGGAGATGCGCATACAGATGGATGGTTACTCCCCAAGCTCTGAGATCATTGACCCGTAGCACACTGCTGATAACATCCCGCCCCAGATTGTCAAACACCAAAACCTTCCAGATCGGGTCGCCATCCTCGTTGAGTATAGGGGTCGAGATGAGGCCTTGCGCCGAAGCGTCATGGGCGGCATCCTCCGCGGGGTGCGGCTCGTGGTTTAGGTTGAGTATCTTCTGAAGAGAAGCTGGAAGTTGTCAGGCATACGCGGGCGATGGACATGATGAGCAATTTAGACCTACCGACCTGACGGTCTCGGAGAGACATAGGTTGTGATGCCATTGCGCGTTCTCTTAGTTTATGTAGCTCCAATACTGGTCATGGCATGAAGTCACCGAGGCCGCAAAAGCAACTGAGCGGAAGCTGAGGTCGCCGGAGCCTGGTCGCCGCCACGATCTTGAAGCGCAAGAGGTCAAGCAGGAATATAAAGGCTTAGGTCGAAGGAACCAAAGGTCTAGATAGGACTATCTACTATCTACACTCCACCTGGCCTCCTCTGGGAGCTTCCCGCTGGGGGAGGAGCGGCTGACATAATCGAGCGAAGCCACTTCTGAGGCAGCAAACAGAGCAAACTCATCACGTGTGGCTGCGGTCCGGCCGGGTTGTCGCTGGTGCACGCAGGTTCCTCCTCAGCTCCCAGTCTTTTCCAGCCATCCCATCCGTCGTCACCGTTCCCCCTATCCCCTTCCCTAACCACTCAACAATCCTCGTAAAGCACAAGATCATGTTGCTTAATTGCAGCTTGGAGCGGCTCCTGTGATTAGGACCATTTCTTTCCATCTTTTAAGGAAACATCAATACTAGGAGACTACGTACGAGTGAGTCGTACGAGCAGGAAAAAGGAGTCAAGAGTCAATCAAGACCGACGGAGAGTCTGAGAGGCCAAATAAAAGGGTACTTTGAAGCGCAGAACAGAGGAGAAAGTGACAAGAGCCCCAGAGAACAGGGAACTGAACTGAATTATCATACGTCTATCTATCTGGACGGACAGTACTCCAGCTTGTGCATCACGAAGAGGCCCTTTTTTTTGCTCTGATTTTCTATTATTAAATAAGGAAAGGGCAAAAGGGTGCAGCAGCTTCGTGGAACGCGATTCGCAGGATTCTACAAGTCCGGAGAGACAAACGACCGACATTGTACCTTAAGGAACTGAGGCCACGCCACCTGGACATCTGAAGTCTCTCCCCCCTTCGCACAGAAACCCAACCTACTTTCGCCCCCAGTTCTTGGAACCTGCTGAGCTCTGCAGTCTGCACCACCGTTCCTTTGCCGCCGTCGCCCGGTCGCGGCCAATCAGAACACGCGAAGTCATTGATTTTCCAACGGCTTAAAGCGGCACTGCGTCCTTTCCTAATCTGGACAGCATCACGTGCGACGTCGATACATTCAAGTGTGATCCCAGTTGTCCTTCAAGGCTCCAACTACATCACGGACTAGATAGTATCTTAACTTGGATTCCACTGCAAACTGCATTTCAAACTGCATTTTTGAGCCAATTCGGGCTGGCGGAGGAGCGGCGTCATCATGGACCCAGTAAACCCGGCCTCGTTGCCGCCTGAGTACTGGAGCAGCCTGGATCCGTATGTGAATCCAGACTCTTCACAACAACAACAACACCATCATTCGCATCCTCCCCAGCAACAGTCGACTCCACAGCAAACACAGCATCAGCCCCTTGGAATTGGCTGGGATCATCCTGTCCTGCATTCGCAAACATCTCACCGTGATTCAACCCATGGGCTGTATCAATCGGCAACACCGCAGGGATGGCAGCAAAACTCACTACATCACCAAACCCTGGCCCCTCCAACACCGCAGGACCTTGGGATATCGGCTCAGTATCGTCAGGTTCCACAATATGCTCAGGGGCAGGTGACCTTCGATTCAAGAGCAGTCCCCGCGCCGGAGAACCCTCACTATCAGTCCTACTCGTTCACCCCAAACTTCTACACTCCTCAACACATCTCTCTTCCGGACCCCTTCCCACAAACACATTCACCACAGCCTGCCCAGCAGCCATCGCGCCCCGCGTCCTACCAGCCGCAGCAGCTTCATCAAAACTCGTTGCCTCAATACGCGATTCCTCCCGGATTCCCTGATGACTCCACGGTAAGCATTGGTCAGGCTATCCAGGAGCTTTTTGTCTGACAGTCACAGCATACTTCGCTCAGCTTCTCAAATGACTTCGCCCAGCCCCCACCTCGTGTTCCAGAGCAGACGATCAACCCGCAGTTTATCAACTCCCCGCAGCCGGCAAGCCAAGATCCTCCGCTCAATAACACTCAAAACCAGTTTGTCTACGTAAATCCCGCCGAAGATCCAAAGTGCGTTCATTCTCTTCATCCCTTTTCATTTCCTTATTTCTCAGACTCACGCATAGTACAAATAGAATGTTCAGCTATTTCCCGGACAATGTACAGCTACAATCGATTCTACCCCATACCGGCGTCAATAGCCCTCTCGCGCCCGGTCAATTTTTAAGGACTGGGGGAGCCCCCATAAATGGTATGTTAGTGCGAGAGTTCTGCTCTGTAAGCTATTAACCCAGGGTAGGTCTTAAATCAGTACCAGCAATTGCGCCAGCTAAACCAGTGCTCTTACGGGCAAATCAAACGGGTGTTAAAAAGCAAGCTCTCCCCAAAAAAGTATCTGTCAAGAAGGCAAATGGGAAAGGCTCCGTTTCTTCAGGCTCAGACAGCTACGAGTCTGACTCAGACCTTGAGATTCAGGAACCCGAAGAGCCATCGCCCTTGCCGTTCTCTCGTCCTGCTGAACCCGAAGCTGCAGCAAATTATGATGCTCTTCGGGCTGTGTGGTTTCCGCGTAATAGACGGCCCAAGGTCGACAAAGTTAAGACTGCATTGGTTTCTTTCAAAGATGTTGTTAAGAACTACAGGGATTCGTGGAAAGAGACCGCTCAAGCTCTGAAAGCGGCTGAAAATAAGGGCGAATCCAACGATACGATTCTTTTAAGGAAGAAAGTTGCTCTCCAACGACGCCTCATGAGTGTCGTTGTGAGTGCCACTCTTGACAGGGGCCATCCCCTTATTGTCGAAAAGTATGTCCTACCCCTTCTCCTTGCCTCTGCATACCTGGTATATCGTTGCCATGGCCATAGAAGTCAGAAACGAATTGAGAGCGTCTCTCACGTAATCTTCCTAATATGGTTGTCATTATGTTTCAGAATCTTTTAGAGGACGGGTGAACTTTACTCTGAACCAAGCGACGTCGTCCTTGGTAGCTGCGTATGAAGAGAGAAGCAAGACTGAGACGTGGCGTCTCTTTTAAAGCTTATCGCTTGAGAAACAGCAGTGGTTGCCGCATGAATTGGCAAAGCCACCAGCGGATACAGCTTTTCACCTGCGCCTCTAGATTCTATCCCTGAATTATCCGTCCATCTTTTTTAAATCTGGTTTGCAGAAGCTGACTGGAATCTTAGACTTGGCGAACATCCGATGGCAGTGTCAGCCATATATTCGTTTCTTTTGGATCGGCATCAAGCTTCCGATATTGACGGTTCATTTACTCTCAACATTCTCAAGGTAAATTTTCGAATCCTTTCGCTAATCTCCAAATTTATCTGACTGAAGTATCAAGCTGCTTGCTCGGTTCATCACCATGGATGAAGAAGTCCTTCAGAAAACAAATGTCGCGAAACTGCTCCCAAGATTCGTGAAAAAGGGCAGTCCAGAAGTCAAAGCTCTTGCGCAGACTATACTCGATAACGCCGCTGCATCCACCAAGCGCAAACAGGAGAACAGCAAGCCAGGGTCTAAAGAAGGCTCGCCGGCTAAGCCCCCGGTTTCTGGTGCTACAACTGTAGATGGCGCGCGTAGAGATGTCTCTGGGTCTAAACGGCCTCGGGATGGAGAGGCCAACGGGCAGCCGGCCCCTAGGAAGGTAGTAGTGACTTCCAATATAAAGCCCGGAGCTAAACCCAGCGGTCTCGCCACTAATGGCTCAGTGAAACGCACGCCAGAGGCTGGTTCAGAGAACAAACCAACAGGAACTGCGGCCTCGACTGTCTCCCGCCCGAAGGCGAACATTGTCGCTCCTAAACCTACAAATCTGTTTGGATCTTTGACTTCAGCCTCTAAGAAGCCAGGGACATCAAACGCGGAGAGAGCTGCTGCCGCTGCTGCTGCTAAAACAAGGTAAGTAGACGGATGCTGTTGGATACGCTGTATATAACCTTGCGGACTAACCCTATGGCAGTACCGAAAAGAAAGAAGCCCCGCGGCCGGCATTCTCACTTGGAGATATCATGGCGGATCTTGACAAGCAGAAGGCACCTCCTCCGAAGGAATCTTCCGAGAGTAGAACCCCTGAGACGGAAGAAGAGCGGACGAAGAGGCTTCGCAAAGAGGCGCGGAGGAAATTGCGCGTTACTTGGAAGCCTGACGACTCGTTGACTGATATTCGCTACTTCACCCACGACCCTGACGAGGAACTTGGGCCAGGCGATCGTTCCCGTCAACGAGGCGATGTCAAAGGTGAAGGCAGCATCCTCAAACTGCACAAGAACCTTGACGAGCTGGAAGAGGATGACGATGGGGGTATGCGGGAGGAGCAGTTCTTCAACTACTATGTTCCCTCTGGTAAGGACCCGTGCACATCGAGGCGTGTTATCCATAGTCTAACCGGCACAGAAATTGACGACAGCGAAATATCGGCCGAAACTCGAGCTGCAAATCACATAAAACGCGGCGGCACGCAACAGCCTACAAGCCCCGAGGCAAAGGTTCAAGAACACCGGGAAGCTACGACACTCATGGTGTTCCATACATCACCTGCGGACGTACCGCCATCCGCTAAGGAGCCACCTGCACCTGATAGCAGCGAAGCGGAACCAGAAGTTCTCCCGTTCGGAGAGCTGCCCGACTTTATTAAAGTAAGTCGCGCAGGTACTCGAACAGAAACATATTCTAACGTGAATGCAGGATCGACAACAAAAGTACTACGCAATGATCAGGCCTCAGCCAGCTCCCCAGAGCCAGCCCAACAGTATCTTTGACCTGCTCAAATCGATACAGAATCCAGGCCAGCAGCAGTCTACTCCTCCTCCCCAGGCCCCTCAACCAGCCCAGGCTCCCGCATTTAATCTGGAACAAACCATCAACATGCTTAGCCAGCAGCCCCAAGTACCACAGGCCCCGCAGATCCCTCAACAACCCGTGATCGACCAGCGGCTTTTGTCTATGTTCTATGGTCAACAACCACAGCAGACCCAGCCACAGCCGCAGCCGCAGCCACAAATACACCAGGCTCAGCCTGGAGCCATAGCACCAAACCTGCTCGCCATTCTGTCTCAGTTTAGCAACCAGAATCAAAACCAGAATCAGCAGACGCCGCCGGTTAGCGAAGCCCCTCAAACCTCGGGCCACTACGAGAACCCCGAGCGCAAGCGCATGCGCGAAGCCGGTGGCTTTGACGACGATGACAAATGGAGGCGGAACAGGATGAACGCTCCCAACAAGAAACACCCCAAAGCCGGATCGGTTCCGTGCCGTTACTGGGCTGAAGGGAGATGTCTTAAGGGCCAGGACTGCACGTTCCGCCACGACCCTCTCTCGCCATGACCTTCATAACATAGCATGCTCGACGAAGCCCCATGATACCCTGACGCATTGTTTCATTGCCATCAGTTCAATGTGCCCATACACCTTGCATCACTTTCGCATTTACAGCTACAGGCCTCGTGACTTGACTTGGACTAGTACTCGGCTACCTGACGGTGTTCGGCGTTGTGATTCGCTTTCCCACATATTCTCATACTCTTCTCTTCTACTTTACATTGTTTCCCCTGCATTATTCCTTCTGCATACCATACATCATCACACGCATAGTGGTTTCCCATGGAGTTCGGGACGGATGTTTACATATCTGATTCTGTGGGCGGCCTTGCATGCCTCATTTACAGCGGCCCTTCCGGCATTTCAATTCGGTTTTCGTTTTGTTTGTTTCTTTGCATGGGAGCTCAGTCGGTCGTATATCGGAACAGAGAGCATTGTATATTAGGTGCCTAGGAAGGCGATTTGCCAGAAATAAACGGCTTTGTCTTCGATTATAACCTTTTCCGCGTTAAGTTGATGGCTGCGTGCCTGCTGCGCGCCGGCAGTAAGATCGCCAGTAACGTGACTGCCCAATACAAAAGCAAAGGCGACTCACACCGACGGTATCATTATATTGCTCTGTTGCTGCACCTTTGGCTTATAATAACTGGATCGTCGCTCCACTGGGTACGTGATATACCGGGGACAATGCCCTCAAAGCAACTTATAATACAATGCTGATATTATTATCGCCGAAGGACCTACAGAAGAAACCAAGACAGAGAACGAGTGCAGACTATTCATGCTGGCGAAAGCCAAGGCAAGGGGCTTTTCCTCTGGGAACTCTGAACAGGGTCAGCCGACTTGCTATAGGTGAATATGCGGTGTGCTTCCAGTGATTGACTTGGCATTCGTGTTGTGTGTTTGCTTATTCCCTAGCTGCTCTCTTTTAAGTACGGGTGATGTCGTAGTGAAGTTGTATCCTGCACTCACCAGTCTTCAGCTGCTATTGAATCTGGCCATGATATTCAATCTTGAAGAACGGAGTACGATGGTACCCCTTATTGCAGCTTTTGTTGTTTTGCTGGCCGTTCTAGTGTCGCGCTGCATCCTCCCTCCATCGGCGTCGACACGAGGCCCAATTCCCGCAGTCCCATTTTGGATGTCACTTTATGATGCCTGCCGGGGTGTCAATAGGCTCCGATTCTTCGAGACTCGCGTCCAGCCTTTGATCAAGCAACATGGAGCAGTATATGTCTGGAGCTCGGGACATTGGTCCGTCGTTATAACCAAGCCGGAGTATCTTTTGCACATGTTCCGCAATGAAAGTATCGTCTCCAAAGGCGGGTTCTACAAAAAGGCTCCCGGGAGCTCGTTCGCGGCCCTGTTTGGTGAGAATATCATTGACTCCAGCGGACCTACATGGGCCCATTTTGCCACAATCATCAAACCCGCGATCCGAAAGCCGAAAGATATCCAGTCACTGCGTGAGAAGTCGTCCCAACTTGCGGAATTGCTCTTGAATGCTCAGGCACTGGCACCTTCCGGACGAGGAGTGGCGATAGACCGGCCCATACAGCGCTGGGCGGTGGATATCTATGGCGTAGCGTTCCTCGATTCGGATATAGGATGCTTGCGCGACCCAACAAGCTCGCTGGAGATTGCTCTTGCGGAGATGAAAGAGAACTTTCCTAGCATTTTATTTCTGGAATTTCCATTCCTCCAGAAATTTCCATTCCTCTTTCCCTGGTGTCGCCGCGCACTCTCCTCCATCCATAAGTTCGAAGACCTTCTGGTCGCGCACATTGACGAATGGACTAGAGCACGAGGCGGTCGAGAGGAGAAGGGAAAGCTCGTACACCGTCTGCTTCGAGCACGGGAAAACCTCGAAATATCGGAGTTTCACTACCGCTCCAATCTTAAAATGCTCATAACGGCGGGTCATGAGAACGCATACGCCGTGTTACTGTCTGCGCTGTGGGAGCTCGCCCTGAACCCGTCAGTCCAGAATAGTCTCCGGCACGAGATATCCAGACTTCCATCGGACTATACTGTTGACGATTTGGATCAGCTGCCGTATCTCACAGCTGTCGTTTATGAAGTCCTCCGTTTGTACCCGCCACTCCACCAGTTGGTAAATCGGATGACCGTCGAAGACTTTACAATGGACACGGGGATCCGCATTCCGAAGGGGACCTGGATGGGATGGAATGCCTATGGCGTGCAAACCAACCCAGAAATCTGGGGCAAGGACGCGAAGGAGTTTCAACCTTCACGTTGGGGCGATGATACAACTACCGTTAACAACCTAATCCGTCTCTCACAGTCGAAGGGGCACTTCATCGCATTCAGTGCGTACTCCCGCCGCTGCCTCGGAAGCGGATTTGCCCTCACGCAGCTCAAGGTAGCCCTCGTGGAGATCCTTCGCAAGGCGTCATGGGCGAATGATTCAACTTATCATTTCGCTGCCACCTCGGTATGTTGAGACCAATCCGATTCCTAAAAAGTAAGCAGAATACTGACAACGATGAAGATCGCGGGAAATTCACCCCGAGGATGTCGTTTGATCTTCACTACAACGTAGTCTGTACAAGCCTTTTAGGCAGCCTCCGAATTGGAAGTCAGGAAGATTGAGAGGTTGATGTTCCGAAAGCCCGATGCACGCCCCTGCGTTATGTGCGTTGGAGTTCAAACCAGGGCTACACCTAGACCAAGATGAAATCAGATGGCAACTCCGTAGAGCTTCTAGCCAGCCCAGGGCCGTTGAGCATTATTCAAATAGTGCGATAATACATCTGCCATGTAGACTAAAACAAATGGCAACGTTATCCATTCGGGGATCGGCAGAAGTAGAAGAGTGTTGACTGGAACGGAAGCCTCCGCAAGGCCAGTCACGAGTCATGGCACAGCCACTCCTTAGCCCCTCTTATGTCATAGACAGCAGCCCGCCAAGCCACACTGGGCTAACCGCAGCGGTTCTTGGGCTTGGGTTCGTAGAGTCAAGGCACCAGCAAACCAATTCTCACGCCCTCCCCCACTTGCTCCTCCGACACTACGACTTCCTTCTCCTCTTTCCCCCTTCCCTCGCAAACAACTATCTTCTTAGCTAATTCCACGACCGCTTCACCCATATTTGAGAGTTCCGCCACAGCCGAGTCAGCAGCTGCGAGATGAGTTTAAAGGGTTTCCAGAAGAGCATTGTCCGCGCCCCGCAAACGTTCAAGGCCAGGTTCAACATTGGCGAGAACACCAAGGACGCTGTCTACACCGACGCCGAGCGCCGATTTCAGGAACTCGAAAAGGAGACAAAGAAACTCCACGATGAGTCCAAGAAGTATTTCGACGCCGTTAATGGTAGGTTTCTTCTGCAAGTCGCCCTCCGCCTCCAACTCGGCTGACTCGCCTCTTAGGCATGCTGGACCACCAGATCGAGTTCTCCAAGGCCATGACAGAGTTATACAAGCCCATTTCCGGCCGTGCCTCTGACCCGAGCACATATACGATTGAAGGAAACCCCGAAGGCATTCGGGCTTGCGAGGAATATGAAGCAATTGTGCAGGACTTGAAGGAAGCACTAGCCCCGGAGCTGGAAATGATCGATTCCCGCGTTGTTAGCCCCGCGCAACAGCTCCTAGAGGTTATTAAGGCGATTCGCAAGGTTGCGGTCAAGCGAGACCACAAGAAACTGGACTATGACCGCCACAGGAACACTTTGAAGAAGTTGCAAGATAAAAAGGACAAGTCGCTCAAGGACGAGAAGGCCCTCTACAAAGCGGAGGGTGATGTGGAACAGGCCACTCAGGACTACAACGTATACAACGATTTGCTCAAGGATGAGCTGCCGAAACTTTTCGCCCTTGAAGCGGAATTTATCCGGCCGCTCTTCCAGTCCTTCTACTACATGCAGCTGAACGTCTTTTACACATTGCACGAGAAGATGCAAGGTATCAACATCGGGTACTTTGACCTCACGCGCGACATCGAAGAAGCCTATGAGGAGAAACGCGGGGACGTCAAGGAGCGCGCGGAAGAACTCACTATTGTCCATTATAAGACCACGGGTGGTCGCCGGCCAGGCTCGAAACTGACCGGCAAAGACAAACTGGCTGCAGAGCACAAAGGACGCTTTGGATCACGGCCCAGTGATCCAGATGTTGTCGAAAACCCACCGCCTCCGTACTCCCCTGGCTCCAGTGGAAGCGCCCTTGCTGCTGCCGCAGCCAAGAAGCCGGCGCCCCCTCCGCCAAAGCCTAAACCCTCGCAGTTCCGTGCGCAAGTCGAGACAGTCACGGCGTTGTATGATTACGAAGCACAGGCTCACGGTGATCTGAGCTTCTCGGCCGGAGAAGTTATCGAGATTTTACAACGGACAGACAACCAAAATGAGTGGTGGACGGGCCGTGTTGATGGACGAGAAGGGCAATTCCCAGGTAGGCATTTCCCGAGATTACTCTTATACTCTGCTAACGTTTCACAGCGAACTATGTCCAGTTGAATTAGGTGTGTACACCATACATAGTATACAGTCTTTCTCTGCAAGTTTATGTCGTCTTGTGCTGTTGGAGTCTTGTCAGGCTTTTCCTACTTGCATAAACCTTTGTTTCTCGCGTTTGCCTACACTGCTGTGCCCATCCGGCATTGTTGTCGCCCGTGTATATATACCTTGAGATGTTTAGCAAATGATCTATGCACTGCATGTTTAGCCAGCGGTGTTAATGCTCAAGTTTTTCTATCTTCGAATGCTTCAATGTATTTTACGAACACCTTTGATTTGAGCCAAGAAAACCAACTTTAGATTATCCGTCAATCGGTTCATATCCGTGACTCCGTTCGTACTTCGTAAGGCTTTAGATGATACAAGCAGCCCGCCCCACCAGAGTCCCTCGCCGATGATCTCATCTGTATAAGTACTCCAACTCCCCATCATTCAAAGCGCCACTTTCGACTCTCTACAACCCATGAAGCAACTATGGCTGCTCTCCAGAGTCTCCGCTCCACATACCGCCTGAATTCGGGACATGAGATCCCCATCCTCGGTTACGGCGTAAGTAATCGCTCACAACAACAGGCAACAAACGGCTAACAGGATCCAGGTCTATCTAATGTAATCCACCCATCTATACTCTCAAGTCTCGGAAGCTGACGTCGCCAGTCCGTCCTCCAAGACCGAACAGACAACCCGAGAGGCACTGCGCCTCGGATACCGCCATGTACAGCCCAATCTGATCACCCATCTTGCGACACAGATACCCTAACAAGAGCATACAGGTCGACTCGGCAATCATGTACCGCAATGAGAAAGCCTGCGGGCGTGCAATCGCAGCGTCGGGTATCGACCGATCGCAGATCTTCTTTACCACCAAGATTCCCCCAGAGTCAATGGGGTATAACGCTACCAAACGGGCCATTGACTCGAGTCTACGGACTGCGGAGCAGCAGTACTTTGACTTGTACGTTGCGTTGTTCTCTCACCTCCGCACTCCGTCACCCAGCCGGCCTCTACTAACTCCAGTGCAGAGTCCTCCTGCACGCCCCCTACGGAGGCAAAGAAGCGCGCCTCGGCTCATGGAAGGCTCTCGTGGAAGCGCAGAAGGCCGGGAAGACAAAGTCCATTGGTGTCTCAAACTACGGCATCCACCATCTCGACGAGCTGGAGGAGTACATCCAGTCTAGCGGTGACGCCAGTGTGAAGGACAGCAAGATCGATGTTGGGCAGTACGAATTGCATCCTTGGCTCGACCACTCTGATATCGTCGAGTGGTTGCAGAAGAGGAACATTGTTGTTGAGGCTTATTCCCCGCTTGCGCATGGGACGAGGATGCGCGAGCCGTTGTTGAAGAAATTGGGCGAGAAGTATGGCAAAAGCCCGGCGCAGATCATGATTCGGTGGGGGCTGCAGAAGGTAACCTTAACCTATTCAAATCTGTGATTGAAATATTTTCTAGGAAGGTATTGACTATCCCAGGGATTTGTCCCGCTGCCGAAATCAGTTACGCCGAGTCGCATCCAGGAGAATGCCGAGGTGTTTGATTTCGAGTTGGACGAGGAGGATATGAAGGTCTTGCATACGGGCGAATACTCGCCGACGGACTGGGACCCTACCCAGGATTATGACTAGATGAGGACAGCTGTAGAGATAGAGTCGGGGGTGGATGGAGCCTATACATAGAGAAGGGTAGATTGGCCCCGCTGCTTAGCAATCGATCATTTTGACATCTCCAAGTCCAACCCCACCACCAACACTCCTCACAAGCCGCAATCACCCAGATCTCTGCTGCGCCGTGCATAGCAGACACGAATTACTAGAGAGCAAAACTTCTCCCGGCCCTTCATCGCATCCTCTGCCACAATGAAGTTGATTCTCTCCACCTCGTACGTCCCGCTGCCCCGCGAACCTCCCCACCCGACTCTCAAGACAAGCCGCACCAGCCCAGATTCGCTAACGATCTTCTAATAACAGGAATATAATGACCGCCGGAGGTCCTTCCGTAATCCGGCAACCGTCAACCTTCAAATCAAACGTCGAGCTAATCAACTCGCTGCGCGCAAACTTCCAAGCCGCGCAACAATCCATCCCCGCGGAAACCACCACAGCCAGCGGCGGCGGCGGCGGCAGCAGCAGCAGCAGCAGCAGCTCCTGGACAAAACGCGAAGACGACGCCCTCTACATTCCCGCCGTGGACTTCTCCCAGCGCGGCCTCGCCGAAGAACGCTCGCAATATGACATCACAGTAAAACTATTCTACCTGCCCGGCATCCCCGTCTCTCGCCGCTGCGCGCACACAAAGCAAGCGATCGAGCTGGTTCTGAAGGAACTGCACGTCGACTCAATCGATCTGCTGATCGTCTCATTCCCGGGCATTACATTCGACGCAGAGGACGACAGTGAAGAGGAGGAAGATAACTCGGGTGATGGCGGGAGCAGCTACGAGCATGAAGATGATTTCGACAGCCTCGTACAGACATGGAAATGCCTTGAGTCGCTGCATGAGCAGGGGAAGATCTTGCAGCTGGGTGTTGCGGAATTCGGCAGCGAGCGATTAGCGCGGTTCCTGGAGCATACGCGTGTCAAGCCGGCTGTCAACCAGATCAATCTCAAGGACTGCTGTGTTGTGCCGAAGAGTCTGATTCTGTACGCGAAGGAGCAGAAGATTGACCTTCTGACGCATAATGATTGTAATGATATTTTGCCCAAGGGCACGATTCGGGAGCTGCTGGGGCCTGGGGAGAAGGGGGCGGGGATTCTCGCTTCGGCGCCGGGACAGGAGGGAGATGAGGATTTGGTCAAGGGGGATATTGAGACGCAGTGGGTGGTTAAGTATACGGCTGTTGTGAAGGACCGGGGGGTTGTTGAGAATAAGGGCTATTTTGCGTTGGCGGATGTTGGGAGCTGCGTTAAGCCTTGACCTTGACGGTTTGACTTCGTTCTTTTTATATTCGTTTATTCCTCTTCTTCTTCGCATGTAAAAGCGTGGCGTTTATCATTCAATGCGATCATTCATAGCCTGTACATAGGTAGACTACCCTACCCAATCATACTCCTCTTCCTCCCTCTCATCCGTACATCCTCCAACCGCTTCAGCGCCGATACAGATCCCTTATAACTCTCCTTATACCCGACAAGAACCTCCTCAAAGAACCTTTCCGTCCGAGGATGCGAGCTCCCGAACGCCCGCTCAAGGACATACAAATCAACAGCCCGATCCTCATCCTGCGCGCTCTGCATCGCCAGCCCAAAATCAATCATCACAATATCCCCCTCCATAGACGGCGACCCCTCTCCCTCCTCATCAACTGCTGCCTCCGCAGATTTCGGTCTCAGCATAAGATTACTCGTCGTCAAATCCCCATGAATAACGCCCGCCCTATGCAACCCACCAACAGCACCCCCAATCCTCCTCATCAACCCACGCACCTTCTCCTCCTCACTCTTCTCAATCCCCTCCCCCATAGCAAGCCCCCTCTCCCTCTCAACCCCCTTCAAATACCGCTCCCACCTCTCAAGCTGCACGCGCACAGGCCCGCCCTCAACCCACTCCATAACAAGCCACGAGCTCCCATTATCCGCATTCGGCTCCCAGTCGACGCCCAGCAGCGCGGGCACCGAAACACCCTCCTTAACGAGTTTCTGCAGACAACGCGCTTCCTGGAGGATGCGGGCGCGGGTGAGGCGGCGGTCGAGGATGGGATGGCGGTACGGCTTTGAGGGGCGGATTTTGAGGGCCGCGGGGGTGGTCGATGATAGGAAGGTCGTTCTGTATAGGTGGGCTTCGGCGCCTTGGTAGATTGGTGTTAGGTCTGTTGGTGAGGGTTGCGGTGTGGAGGAGAGGATTGTGCTGAATGGTGGGGGGTGCGCGGTTGGCATTGTGGTTTCGGTTTTGGCTTCGCTATGTTGGTTGGTATTGTTGGGTGTGAGTTTTATTCTTTTGCAGTCGGGGGGCATAGAGAGCGTTGCTTTTGGTTGGGAGGCTGCGGTGTCTCTGAGACTTGGTGGGAAGAATATGGATGGAGGGGAGGCTCGGAATGCGATAAATTTGTGGCGGGGAACTTTAGGTACGGTATCGCAGGGCGGACCTCCACCACTAGATTGACAGAGGATGGGACTCAATAGATCGGGGACAAGGAGCTCTATTAGCTATGTATTTCACGGTAGAATTGCGTGATTTTTATCATGTTCGAGACAGGAATTGATTGATATAACCGCCACATAAGCCATCCATCAATCGTACAATCCAACGCTAAACGCCCATAATGCTACTGTACTTTTCTAGTAAGAAATTAAATCTATGCCTTCCTCTTCTTCGTCTTGCGCTCGCCATGGACATCGTTCCACGCGTCCTCGAAGATGGTCTTCCTTGCGCCGATCTGCCCTTCAAAGAAGTTCATCTTGCGAACAACCTCCATCGCACCCGTACCAAGGCCAACGGTCTTACCCATGATGATACACTCGGAGACACCCTCGATCAGATCAGTTCGGCCTGCTCCACCAGCATCAAACAGGTGGTCTGCCGTCTTTTCGAAAGAGGCAAGTTGCAGAACAGAGTCACGCATCTTCGCAAGACCGAAACGCGTGATACCGAGAACTTCACCCTTGTATGTCATGACATCGGCAAGAAGTTGCATGTGACGCGGATCAATGTCCATGTCCTTCATGACTTCGCTGATTTCTTGCACGATGGTTGACCGGGCTGCCTCGATACCCAGCACGTCGCGTGCTTCCATAACGTTGTTGGTTCGGGTGCGTAGGCCGTCGATACCCACTGTGTTCATGCACTGGCGTAGACCGTAACCTTCGACCAGAAGAGTATTTGTATCGTTCTTGTCGTCGGTACGAATGATTGCACGGTAAGCTTGCGGGTGACCGAGGACTTGGATGTCTGGAAGCAGGCGCTTGAGGGCCTTGAGGCGGAGGAAGGGGTCCGCGCTGGTTGCGGCGATTTCGGTCTTGGAGAGCTTCTCCTTGCTTGCGGGGTCCAGATCGATGTGAATGTGGATGTGAGAACGGCTTGACCTCAGCTTCAAGTCATCTGACTTGAACCGTCGGTGATTCTCGATGGCGTGTCGGATTCTGGCGACTGTCAGATCGAGCTCTAGGGCGCTGATTGTCTCCCAGTTGATCTTGACGGTCAGGAAGGCTTCCTTTCCTGTCCATGTTTCACGGACGTAGTGGATGATATCGCGTAGGAAGGTCTTTTCGATGCGACCCTTGGCCATTCGAGCGGCGACAATGTTGTGCTTCTCAACCAGCTCGCAGGCAATAACTGGAGTACTGATCTCCTTGGAAGCGTTGATAATTTCCTTGATACGGGGCACACCCTGTGTGATACTCATACCGGCGACACCAGCAAAATGGAAAGTTTTCAGCGTCATCTGCGTACCGGGCTCACCAATAGACTGCGCACCGACGGCACCGACGGCATGTCCTGGCTCCACTTGGGCTTTCTTGTACTTCAGCAAACAGCTGGAGATGAATGTTCGAAGTGTGCGCTCAGTCAGCTTTCCTGTGTGATTCAAACCCTTGGCTGTCCTCTCGTCGTTTGGATCGCTGTCACCACCTCGGGAGATCAACCTGTCCGCCTTGTTTTGGACATATTGCTGCACCGAGTCGAGGAAGTCACGAGCGCTCTCGAATTGGTCAATACCGTGGTCGCTACGATCCATGTAACCAAGCTCAACACCCATCAGGTCTTTTCGCACCAGCTTGGCACGCTCCTTGGAAAGCATTTCCTCGCATACGTCCATAATCTCACCAGGGGACAAACTTCGCTCATCGTTCTTGTACGTCGTCGTCTCGGCGTGGATGAAAGTTCGATCGAAGTGGACGGGCTTGGCTTTGCCCTCCATATCGAAGGGGTCCAGTTTATCGTCACCATACTGGAACTGGACGATACCCTGAGACGAGTTCCGAACAGTGTCGTCGTAGCCGGTAGAAAGATCTTCCAGAGACTTCATCAGACGACGGGACATGTAACCAGTTTCGGCAGTCTTGACCGCAGTATCGACCAGACCTTCACGACCGGACATGGCGTGGAAGATGAACTCGTAGGGTAGAAGACCGGAGAAGAAACTGTTGCGCACGAAACCCTTGGACGGGGGCTGACGGGCGTTCTTCGGGAAGTGAGGCAAGGTTCGATCCTGGAAACCGTCCTGCACACGCTGACCACCAATAATTTGCTGACCGACGAGGGCAACCATCTGAGACACGTTGATACTAGAACCTTTGGAACCGGACGTAGCCATGATCAGGGGAGAGTTCCATTTGCTCAGCTGAGCGATACATTCGTCACCAGCTTGCTGGCGAACTTTACTCAGAATACCAGAGATTTGGTTCTCCATAGTCTGCAGTTCGTCACATCCAGGATACTTCTCAAGCGTACCAGCCTTGTACTGGGCAATGACCTCGTCACACTGTGCATAGGCAGCTTCAACCAAATCGTTCTTCGACTGTATCAGCCTATCACTGGGATAGACATCTGTGATACCAATAGAAAAGCCCATATTTGTGAACCAACGGGCTGATAACTTCGACAGACGGTTCATACCCTCGGCAGCTGCAGCAGGGCCAAAGTCACGAAGCATAATATAGAAGACGTTATCCTTCTTTCCGGATCCGACTGTGGACTTGTCCATTACACCGCACATGACCTCAGAGTTTCGAATAACAAGCCAAGCATCGTTGGGGTCCAGGTCTTTGGGTCGACCCCCCTTTGGCTGCTTGAACTGTCTGCACGCGGCGTCAAGATTGACCAAGACCGGGTCATCCTTGTTAGGCCGCATCAGGATATTGAAAATCTGCTTTCCGGTCCAAAGCATCTGCGGCTTGAGCACCGCAGGGGGTGGCAGATCGAAACGGGTTTGCGGGCCAAGCATGTATAAGCATATCTGGGTAAAGCTACGTCGGTCGAAGAAGTTATCCTTGCTACTGAGCAGAAAAGCAGCACTGATGAAATCTTGGATGGCACCAATGATAGGCTCTCCGTTCTTCGGGGTCGCCAAGTTGTTCTTCACACCCATCAGCTCCATAGCTTCGGCTCTCGCCTCTTCCGTCTGGGGCACGTGAAGGTTCATTTCGTCTCCGTCGAAATCAGCATTGTATGGGTTGCAAACACACTCGTTCAGTCGGAATGTTCGGTGAGGGCGCACTTTGGCAAAATGAGAAAGGATACTGAGTTTGTGGAGCGAAGGTTGACGGTTGAACAGGACAATATCGCCGTCTTCGATGTGACGCTCAACGATATCTCCTTCCTGCAGCTGGTCGGCAATGAACTTGAGGTTACCGTACTTCAGCATAGTCTTCAGCGGATTTCCCTTCTTGACGATATAGTTGGCACCTGGCCACTTCTTCTGTCCATTCCGAACGCATTGCTGTAGCTTTTCCTTATTGTACCTGTTGACCACCTCGGGATAAGTCATGTTCTTGGCGACAAGTTCCGGAACAGCAACCTCATCAACTCGCAGGTTAGGATCGGGCGAGATAACAGTTCGTCCGGAGAAATCAACACGCTTTCCAGACAAGTTACCACGGAATCGACCCTGCTTACCCTTCAGACGCTGCACGAAACCTCGAATGGGCTTCCCAAGATCTGCCTTGTTTAGACCGGGAACATCACTGTTGATGTAGACGGCAATCTGTAGTTGCATATAGTCCCAACACTCCATGATGGTCTGCACCGGCGCTCCCTTGAGCAAAGCATTTTTGAGATTAATGTTACTCTGAACAATATCTCCCAGCTTGGCTGTCAAGTCATCCTCAGTAGAGGAGGCGTCTTGACCGACGGATGGACGAATACACACGGGTGGCGCAGGAATGAATTGCCAAAGGAACATCTCCGGCCTCGCTTCCTTAGGATCCAGACCTATTAATTCGCAGTCACTGTCCGAGATGCGTTTGAACAAGTTCAACACCCGCAGCGCATTCAAATCGTCTTGGGCCTTTTTGTAATGTTTCTCGACCTCCGGGTTCGCACCCCTAGCTTCTTCCAGCGACCTGTCGAAAACAATCTTGCTAGGTGGTGGGATCTTCTTTGTCGACGTCGAAGCGTTGAACGCACGGAATTTGTCGTGCGTAATCTTAAGAGAGCTGGTACCGGTCTTTTTCACCACACCGTTGACAGCACCACAGTTCTCGCAGGTTCGGGTCTTGCGGCAGCGGTCGTTGACTCGTTTGGCGATCTGCGTCCGTCGCAGGTTATCCAGCCGGGGGCGGCGCATCTCACGAAGAAACGCACGGCGCTCTGCCTCGGGGAGCAGAATATGCGAGCACTCCTTGCAAATTTCTTGCAGGATACCAATCACGCGTTTGAAGTAGCCAACGTGGAACGCAGGCAGAACCAGCCGGACATGACCGAAATGGCCGTTGCAAACCTGGAGTGCTCCGCCGCATGTCTGACAGGTCGAGGTCTTATTCGAAATACCCATGCGCGCGTCGAGCGGGCCATTGGAAACGATAGAACGGTCATTTTCGAGGTTGAAGAATTTTCGGTCGGAGACTTCGACTACACCCTGGCTGACGATGTCGTCGTTGGACCTGCGGAGAAGCCGGACCGTTAGCCTGTCGCTGGCTGCGCCGGGAAAACGTGTGATAAGCCAGCACTCACAGCACACCAAACTTCAGCTCCTTGATCACTTTGGGGACACGGTCGATCACCTGGGCCTTGCCCAGGTCCGCCTGCACACCCTCCATAGGCTGCATCGCGCTGTCAAGGAATGACCATGGCAGGGCGGGATGACTCAACGGGTTGGAGATCGGGGGCGCGAAGGCTCGGAACTGGTCGCTTCAGAGATAATCGGGATGAGACGATAGTTCAAATGGGCCAACAGACCTCTCGTGCTGTTAGGAGCCTTGCGAGTTCCTGGAGGCGAGCCGTAAATGCTGAGAAGGTGAAAGAGGGGAGACTGCAAGTCCAGATTGACGGCGGGGTTGGCGACGAAACTTTTTTCGCCGGCCAAAGGAGCTCCCCTCATCTCGGCCAATCAGCGACCGTACAAGTATACCAGTCCCAGGGTCAACGCAGAGACCATGCATGTCTATACTATGCAATATGCAAGTTGCCATGTCAATTCATTAATTTACATATCCAAAGGTGTCTATATATTGTGCAAGAATGAGACCGCTACTTCGCCAGGAATGCTTGGAACGCCTTATGCTCAATCACAACATTTCCCACGGCTCGGAGCCTCTTTCGTCCCTCCTTCTGCTTCTCCAACAACTTCCTTCGCCGACTCACATCACTGGCGTGGAGCTTGGCCAGGACATCTTTTCGGTATGGCTTGACGGTTTCACGCGCCACGATCTTTTTGCCCACCGCAGCCTGAATGATAACTTCAAAGAGCTGTCGGTCGACGTGCTCCTTGAACTTGGTCACCCACTGCCTCCCCAGCCTGTCGGTCTGACTGTAATGCACAAGCCGGGCAACAGCATCGACTGGAGCTTTGTTGACAAGAAGTTGGAGCTTGACGATGTTACTGGTTTTCCAGCCCGACTCCTCATAGTCCAGAGATGCGTAACCCTTTGTACCACCCTTCAGCTTGCCAAAGAAGTCGTCGACTAGCTGGGCCAAAGGAAGTTCGTACTTGAGGATGACCTGTGTCGCGGTAAAGTATTCAATACTCTTCTGCTCTCCGCGGTTCGCTTCGCACAGTTCAATGACAGTTCCCAGATATTCATCAGGGAAGGTCAAAGTGGCCATCACGTAGGGTTCTTGAAGTTGCGCAACCTTCATACGCACGTCATCCTCGTCAGGAAACTTGTTAGGGTTGGTAATGACATCTTCCTTCCCATCCTTCCAAATAACCTTGACTGGAACTGACGGCGGGGTAATAATGATACTGGCGCCATGCTCCTGGCGAAGACGGTCCTCAAACACCGAGCAGTGCAGAGTCCCTAAAAATCCAAGTCTGAATCCTGCTCCGAGCGCCTCGGACGACTCTTTCTGAAGGGTGATACTTCGGTCGTTGAGTACGAGCTGGTTGATGCTGTCCTCCAAGTGTTCAAAATGGTCTGCATCCACAGGATACGCAGCGACGAAGACCATGGCCTTGGGCTCCTCAAATCCAGGTAGAGGCTCCACGGCCTTCTCTGATCCGACCGTTGTGAAAGTGTCACCGATCTTGGCTTCTTTGCTTCGTTTCATGCCGGGATTGAAAAAGATGTATCCGACTTGACCTGCGCGAAGGACAGTTTGTGGAGTTTCGAGCGGATACTGGATACCGACTTCGCCGACGTAGTACTTAATGCCAGTTGCGAAAGACACGACTTGCTGACCAGCGCGGAGCTCGCCGTCGAAGACACGGACCAAGCATATGACGCCTTTGTAGGAATCGTACCAAGAGTCAACGAGTAGCATACGGAGAGCTTTCTTACAATCGCCAATCGGACTAGTCTGTTGTCAGCATCTCAATAAAATCCGAATCGACAATAGGACATACGCAGGAATCTTCTCTACCACCGTCGGAAGCAGCTGCTCAACATTAAGTCCAGTCTTGGCTGAGACAAGCACTGCATCCTCCGTATCAAGTTCGAAGGACTGTTCCAACTGCTCGAGGGCCCGCTCCGGTTCGGCCGACGGAAGGTCCACCTTGTTAATGACGGGAATCAACTCCAATCCTTGCGAGAAAGCAAGGTAGAAGTTCGCGACGGTCTGCGCCTGGATGCCTTGACTTGCATCGACTAAAAGCAGCGCCCCTCCACAGCTAGCATAACTCCGCGACACCTCCGCGCGGAAATCGACGTGACCCGGTGTATCAACAAGATGTAGCAGATAATCCTCTCCCTTATGGTTATATATCATGGTACATGTCTGAGCCTTGACTGTGATTCCTCGTTCCCGTTCGACATCGAGCTTGTCCAAAACCTGCTTGTTCATGCCCGGTTTAATCGTGCCGGTAAGCTCCAGGAGCCGGTCGGAGAGCGTGCTCTTTCCATGGTCAACGTGCGCGACAATACAGAAGTTGCGGTATCGCTCAATCGGGATCGCAGATATCCTCGCTTCGAGATCGGTCATAGCAACCTTTGACGGTCCCTTTGCATTGTGGGGGGAAGTGGTGGTAAAAAGACGAGTCGCGTAGGGTGATCTGGGCGCCTTAAGAAGGCTGGACGCAGGCCATTTCGGAGCCGCGCTCAGCCATCTGGCTAACTGCAGGCATCCTCGCATTGGGATTGCTGCAGAAGCATGGGAATGACTTGCTTGTCAAGTGGGATGGGTCGTAGGTCGCGACAGGAGACGTGACCGGAGATTGATCGGCAAAAAAGTTGACTGCGGAGAAAGCGATCAATCAACCCAGCGGGCGGTCGGCCGGATTGCTGCGGTGACTATCGCGAGTAAACAAAGCTGGAACTTCTTTTCATCCAAGCATCCTCTAACAATTAACACGCAGACGTCTCTATTCCCGTCAGATTAAGTCGCAGGCATATACGATCGAAATGGCAACCTCAAAGGACAAGTCCAAGGTCCACAAGCTCTCCATCAAAGGTGAGCGTTCTTCTGTCCCCCGCATCTTCAAAGACTCACAAGCCATAGGATCTTCGAAGCTGGTGGCTGAATTTGTGAGTGCAGCAATGCCTATATCGCAGCAAAACTAATATATCTAGTTCGAATACTCGATCAACTCAATCCTGTAAGATCGGTTCAGCGAGAGGCCATGTACAAACTGTTAACGTGCAATTGCAGTTTCCAGAGAGGGGTGTATCCTCCGGAGGACTTCACGACGTACGCTATTGTTCTATTTGCTCCCTAGATCATGACCGTACTAACTCTGCTTAGTGTAAAGAAGTATGGCTTGAACATGCTCGGTTAGTCGCCTTTCCTCCTTCCGACGACTCTCGTTGACCGATCCAGTTACCGCCGATGACCAGGTGAAAGCGTACATCAAGAAAATCATGTCTCAATTGAACAAATGGATGCTGGGCGGCAAAATATCCAAGCTTGTCGTGGTGATCACAGACAAGGAGACTGGGGAGCACGTCGAACGGTGGCAGTTTGACGTGCAAATATTCGGCAAACACAAGAGTCAGTCGACCAAGAAGTCGGGCGATAAAGAGAACGATTCCCCTGGGTAAGCTTCTCACGAGGATTTCATGCTATGCACTAGCTGATTCCTGCATTCCCAGTGACGCCGGCCAGCCCGAAACCGTGGAGAAAACAGAAAAGCAAATTCAAGAAGAGATCCAAGCTATTTTCCGACAGATCACCGCTTCAGTCACATTCCTTCCTGTCTTGGATGGAGATTGCACATTCAACGTTCTGGTATATGCAGATGCGGATTCGGATGTGCCCGTTGAATGGGGCGACAGCGATGCCAAGGATATTAAGAATCCTGAGAAGGTTCAGCTCCGGAGCTTCAGCACCAACAACCACCGGGTAGAGACGATGGTCAGCTACCGTCTTGCTGATTAGATGAGAAACGGTTAGGTCAGGCGTTTAGGCGGAGTTCTTTGTCCTTGAGTTCTACAACATTTACGGGTATGTGGAGATCAATATCGCATTCATAATGATATATCATCAGTTCGTCAAGCTTTGCACCATGGCAACTCCATCATTCGCGGAAACCACTGATTCCCGCCATCTCCCCCATCCCAATAAACCAACTGTTCCACCACGGGCTCTAACCCAACGCCCACCCACAACTCATTCTCTGACCCATCAACCCACCCTCGCTTCATCCTCTTTCCCTTCAAATCCGCGCCAACACCATACGCATCCTTCCTCCACAGCCCAAGGCCCCTCAGCTCCTCCCCTTCTACCAGCTCTCTCAGGGGTGTTACCTCTTTTGGTGGATTAATGCCGACCACGGCCGCTTTCCCCGGCCCATCCAGCCCCACAGCAGGGAAATGATACTCCATGAACCGCTTTCGCTTGAATTCGTGTGTCACCACGGTTACTCTTTCTGGGTATCTGCCTGTGTATAGCCGAAAGCGGAGGATCGAGAATAGCACGTTCTGGTACGAGTCCGTTGCGTGTGTTTCGGCTGTCACCCTTCTTGAATCTATCCTTGATGCGTAGCCAAAAAAGGCATTGTCCCTTGCGAGACTCTGCCGTTTATCAGCTCAGCCTGGTCTTCATTCCTCGCAGGGTCTCTTGGGCCACGGTCTTACCAGGTACGAGTTCCCCTCTGTTAACTCCGTAGCAGGTCGTTTCGTTGCCCCTCTATGCCGGTATCTCGTGTCAGCACTGTCAACCATGTTATATTACCAGTTATAAGAAACCCCTGTCCACCAAAAGTGTAAGAGAAAAACCGCGACCCATACCCGGAAAAAACAAGCAACGCCTCCTCATCCTTCGCCAAAAGCCGAAGCCCAGCCTTGACATGCTCCGTGAATGTCGGTGTTTCTCCGCGCTGAAAACACTCGACTAACCTGGACAGAATATGACTCAAGTGTCAGTGGCACTTTTTTGTGCATTCTACGGCTGCTTCTGCGTAGGGTTGTACCATTCCCCCTCGTCAATTCCTTTGCTCGGACCTCCAAGGTAAATTGCGTGGCAACAGACGACGATCAGGTGCTCTAGTGCCTGCATCCTGATTTTTGTCCGTATCTTGCCTCTGAGGGGTGAAGTGTGGAGTGTTGAAGAGGTTGGATCCAAATACCGGGCTCTACGCTAGGTACCGGTATGCGGGTAGTGCCGTGGTCCCCGCTATCATGGACTGGCCTGTTTGCCAACTCTCTCCAGCTCATTTGACTGCTTTTGCAATTGATAGCTTCGTCTTTCCTTCTAGATACACATATATTCACCCCTTTTATACTTCCTTCACCCCAGATACTGATGCTTTCGCAGATGCCTGAAGAGATGAAGCAAAGTTTCTTCCGGCTCTGTGTCACTGGAGCAGTTTGCAAATGCATGGGTGTGACACGAGGGAGGTCCGAAACATGGCCGGAGAGGTCTATCGGCGAATGCTGGTGATGTTCCAGTCTGAGCAGCGTGGGATAAGGTCCACGTAAATCAACGGCAGCTATTTACTTCGTCAGCTCTTGTTCTCAGCAAGTCCCCCGAGCAGTAGGTATTGATGACGTGGCTAAACTCTTGAGGTATCCCTGTACTCAAAAAGCCGGAGTTTGAGCCTCTTGATATCTTCCGTGGTCTCCTTGGCAGCTGCTTGGACGGTTAATCTTACCTTGACAAAGACCCGAGTACAGACCTCCGCGAGTCCGCCTCTGCCGCTGCGAGCACTGAAGTCATCGGCAGGATTTGGCGAGCACTCGTGGCCAAATTACGCTGCAAGGGCCAACCTGCCAAGCAGTGGACTGTCCGGGTGCGTACGACTCGGGGAATATATCCTAGGGTACTTCCACTGCGCAACGAACATGGTCAATACTGCCCAACGCGAGGGAGTCAAGTGGAGCCAACTCTCAGGGACCTCGATATCAGACAGAAGGACTCAGACAGCGCCCAAATGACCAATGGACCTAATCATTGTGGACTGATGGCATAGGAAAGGAGTAGGTAGTGTAACAATCATGAGCTGGTCTGTCCGGAGTTTGTCCAAACTTCCTTACCTAATGGTTAGACAAGGGGCTAGTATCGCGAAGATAAGAACCAAAGCACCGCACCTCGTTTCCATCAGAGGACTCAAACTTTATACGCACATCTCGATTGCACATATGGCGCCATTGAAGATCATCGGAGCAGGATACAGCCGCACCGGCACCCTCAGCCTCTGCCGGGCCCTTGAGACCCTGGGGTAACTAACAACCTCCAATTTCCATGGCAAGATAATTGCTGATTCAATTGAGAAGGTACTCCTGCCATCACATGGAAAAAATGTTCTTGGACGAATCCCAAGACCCAAATCTCTTCGTAGACGCCTACCAGTCCTCGCCACGCGGAGAAGGCGCAGACTGGGACCTCATGTTCCGCGGATACGACGCAACCACCGACTGGCCCGCTGTCGCATTTTGGGAGCCTTTGCTGAAAGCGTACCCCTCCGCAAAGGTGATCCTGACGGTCCGAGACCCCGAGTCCTGGTACGCCTCCGTGGGGAAGACAGTCTACGACCTACCGGTGAACGAAGACGCGGACTTCAAGTGGCCCAAGAAAATCATGGCAACGTGGAATATGGCACGTACGATCGTCAAGGAAGGAGAGCTGAGACTGTACGATGATAAGCAGGCAACGCTCGAACAGTACAGCGCGCATATCGCCCGCGTGCGTGAGGTTGTGCCTAAGGACCAACTACTGGTCTTTGAGGCCTCGCAGGGATGGGAGCCCCTGTGCAGGTTCTTGGGAGTTGAAGTGCCGGCGGGGGTCCCATACCCTCATTTGAACCAGGGAACTTTGTTTCGGGACCGGGTGTTGAAGCTTAGAGAAATGATTGCTGAGGGTAAGGGTATTGTGGATCTTGAGACCAGGACCTTCCAAGAATGTTGCTGAGAGTTAAGGTTGACTGTGACTGTTTGAAGGTTTGCTTTTGCCACCTGGGGCGTCGCTTATGGCTGCTTGAGAGGGCTGTTTATCAGCTTCTTGACCTTTCAAGGGCTTGGATAAGCATGTTGGTTTCCTTTTTGGTGGAGAAGACGCGCTCTGCGTATACTGCGGACGCGGACTGATATACTTTTCTGAAGTACTTGCTCAATCTTCTGTTGCTGCTGATTTTCTCTTGATAGGCACCCTCAACTTGCCAACAGTCTCTCTGCATTAACTTTGGATGACTAGCAAGGGATTCACGAATTATTGAAGAAAGCTTAAATGGTGGCCATGAGGCTCTAGGCGTAAGCGGATATTCTGTATAGTAAATCCCCCGATGCGCTTACATTATTTCCACTTGGCCCTTGCCAGCACAAGCTCGTAGACAACCTGGATGTATGTTGGCAACCTGCAGTCAATTAGGGTCTCCAACGGATGGAGCATATATAGTGGTGGGATGAAACCCAGATCAGCTTAATCAATACCCTCCAGATCAAAGTACACTGAGGTCCTGCCCGTGCGAATATTCCGTAAGACAAAGGATGTGAAATGCCCGTGTAGATAACTCCTAGAAATGAACAATAGGATGCTAGGAGACTGAGATCGGGGTATACGCCGGACGTCCGTGGTCGGACATAACCGATCGGGGATAGCGGCTTGGCATGATATAACCGTTGAGCGTTCCCGACTTTTTTCCCACGTCACCGCCAGCGCCTCTTGCCTTCTCGACCTTCATCCTCAAGCTCTGCTGAGTCTTTATATGTGGAGGCTATAAATCGCTTTCCAACATGTCTAGCGTGGCTCCTTTCGCCTTGAAACAGGCCTCACGAGCCTATGCCCGCCGGCTGGCGGCGGCACAGCACGCCCTTCCGCGGCGGTCGCTCGCCACCCCTAGCTGTCGGACCTACGTCTCCGAGAGCAAGGCTGGAAATGCCCAGGTTTCGGTCGACACGGCGATCAAGCAGGAACAGAAGGAATTTATGAAGCAGACCGGTGTCAAGCCGCAGAATGCTGAGCTTCCCGCCTCCGGTTTGTCCGGCGATACCGCGATGAGCCCGGCCGCGGGCATCCTCAAACAGGCTACGATTATGGATCAGGGAACCCGACCGATCTACCTCGATGCGCAGGCGACCACTCCGACCGACCCTCGTGTTCTGGACGCGATGCTCCCGTATCTCACCGGTATCTACGGTAATCCGCACTCACGGACACACGCGTACGGATGGGAATCGGAGAAGGCTGTTGAGCAGGCCCGTGGACATATCGCCAAGCTGATTGGCGCCGATGCGAAGGAAATCATCTTTACGAGTGGTGCGACGGAGAGCAACAACATGAGCATCAAGGGTGTGGCGCGGTTCTTTGGCCGATCAGGAAAGAAGAAGCACATCATCACCAGCCAGACGGAGCACAAGTGTGTTCTCGACAGCTGCCGACACCTTCAGGATGAGGGCTTTGACGTGACCTATCTTCCTGTCCAGAACAACGGTCTGATCAACATTGAAGATTTGGAGGCCGCTATGCGCCCAGACACAGCTCTTGTCAGTATCATGGCTGTCAACAACGAGATTGGTGTTGTTCAACCGTTGGAAGAGATTGGAAAGCTTTGCCGCTCAAAGAAGGTCTTCTTTCACACCGATGCCGCCCAGGCTGTGGGCAAGATCCCGCTTGACGTCAACAAGATGAACATTGATCTGCTGTCTATTTCCAGTCACAAGATCTACGGTCCCAAGGGAATTGGTGCCTGCTACGTTCGTCGTCGACCTAGGGTTCGTCTTGAGCCGATCATTTCTGGCGGTGGCCAGGAGCGAGGTCTGCGCAGCGGTACTCTGGCTCCTCACCTGGTAGTTGGATTCGGTGAAGCCTGTCGCGTGGCTGCAGAGGACATGGAGGTAAGCTGCCCTTGTCTTACCTATGGTTGACGATGATTATTTGCTTTTGAATTTGCTTTCATGAAGTTATGGGGGTAGCTACACGCTCTGCGTGTCCCTTGGCGTATGAAGAATATAGCAGGGGTGATGAGTCGCTTTTTCTCCTTTTAAAATTGAAGGGCTTGATCAGCAAGAACCATGACTAACGAGTGCTTAGTATGACTCCAAGTACATCACACGGCTATCGAAGCGCCTCTCAGACGGTCTCCTGGCCATGGAGCACACCTCACTCAACGGTGACCCCGAGCGCCGCTACCCTGGATGTGTCAACGTCTCGTTTGCCTACGTTGAGGGAGAGTCTCTCCTCATGGCTCTCAAAGACATTGCTTTGTCATCCGGTAGCGCGTGTACCTCTGCGTCCCTGGAGCCCAGCTACGTCCTTCGTGCGCTTGGCAGCAGTGACGAGAGCGCTCACAGCAGTATCCGGTTTGGCATTGGGCGATTCACGACGGAGGCCGAGATTGACTATGTGCTAAAGGCTGTCCGGGAGCGGGTGGACTTCCTGCGGGAGCTGAGTCCGCTGTGGGAGCTGGTGCAGGAGGGTATTGATTTGAACACGATTGAATGGAGTGGACACTAAGGCAAAACTGGCGTTGTCTTTTACTTTTAGTGGTAGTATATGGCGTTGGATGTAAGATACACTGTACAGAATGACCAATGATATCCAAATAGTACTCTCCCTCTACCTTGTTCCTGTAATCTTGTCAATCTACCCAGCACTCGACCGATCACGTGAGACCGATCACGTGAAACTGCACTCCGTGCTCCGTGTCCGTAGATCGCCCCAGTCCTCCCATGGTTAGCCGCTCCACCAGCTCACCGCAGACCGCAACGGGGTGGCGTGGGTGGCAGCGAGACGGGCTAGAGCTCGCTTAAGGCTCGGCAGTCGAAACCGCACCCACAGCCTGCCTTCCGGTTCATTCTCTAGCACTTGCGCTACCACTCACCCTCCATTTGACCCCTTTCGCTTCCACCCAACGCCTTGCTGGTGCATCATGCAAAGAGGATCTATATCTATAACGCCTCTGGAGAAGCTTTGTCTGGAGAAGCTATACAACACGGGGTCAACAAACTCGCCATTTTGCCTTCAACCTGCCATTTCCAGCTTTTCATGCCTATCTCCTGGGTCTTCCCAACGTTCCTGCCTTTGAGCAGCCATTCACGCAGTGGCCGTCACCCCTCTAAAACTGCAATGGAGGCAAATAATGATCCCGTGCTCGCCTTCCTACTTGGCCCACTTGCTTCTCGCAACTGCTCCGACCAGAGCCTTTTCCTCGGTCTTTGATCACCTTTATTAATCAATAATGCTCTTCTGAAAGCCTCTTTTACCCCGGCACCGGCGGAAGTCTCTTTTCCTTGTACTTATCTTCATTCCTTCGCCTGGTTCCCAAGACCTCTCTTTCTGACACTCTCTTCCAGCCTAGGTATTTGCAGTGTTGCTTCATTTTTTGTGCTCATCACCGCTTTTCGCTCCAGCTTTCCGGGAACGGACGGCTTGTGCCATTCTTGTCTTGTCCTGCCCCGCGCTGAAGGGCTATTTCCACGCCTCCCGAGGTCTACCCCGTTGTCGGAGCATTGATCTTTCTCGAATTCCGGATCTCATCAAATAAGCAACACGCGTCATATTCTGCCCCAGTTCGAAACTGGCAGGATCATTGATTTAACCTCCGGCCACTCGCTACCGTGGTCGTCTTCGCTACAATTTGCTCCATTGTCTCTCACCACAGTTGCCAGACTCCTTCCGATGAGCTGTTTCTGGCAATTGTGGTAGCTTTGACCTTCTAAGACATTCCTCCACAACTCCATTGTTTATCCCTTCATTTTCCAAATCCTTTTTCTTCCAATTGGGTTTCATCGCAAGGAAGTGAGGTCCTTTTTAACCGTACACGTGAGCTTGTTGTACATACTTATACCCCAGTTTGCTCACTTTCAACCTCAACTCCGCATTCATTCATCTCGCCATGATTCCTCCAATTCCGATCCCGGCAGAGTACGGCATCTCCCCAGACTCTGGGTTCCTTCCGAACGAACCGCCACTTGATCATCTACCTGATCCATATTACTTCAAGTGGGAATGGATCGTGGCGAACATCCAAGCCCTTCTGCTGAGCAGGAGAATGAGGGGTGTTGTTGATAACATGCCTATACTTTCCACATCATACCTCCAAACGGAACCTGAGTGGAGAAGGGCCTACTCTATCTTGGGATTCATCCTTCACGGTTATGTATGGGGTGGCTCTAGGCCAGAAGAGGTATGTAATCCCACTTGCCCTTTGATGAACTGTGCTGATAAATACAGAGAATCCCGCCTCAGCTGACCATTCCCCTCTTCGAAGTGTGCGATCACCTTGATTTACCTCCCGTTGCCACTTACGCTGGCTTAGTTCTCTGGAACTTCAGGCCCATCTTCACCGACGAGCCTATGGACGATTTGGATAACCTCGCTTGTATTAACACAATCACTGGAACTTTGGACGAACAATGGTTCTATCTCGTCTCCGTCGCTATTGAAGCCCGCGGTGGCCCGGCCATTTCGCTCGTCCTGCAAGCAATCGCCGCTGCTCGTGTTGGAAACAGCGCCGTGGTGACAGAATACCTGCAGGCCCTTGCAGAGATGATAGATGAGATTGGCGCTCTGCTTGAAAGAATGTATGAGCACAATGACCCATATGTGTTCTATAACAAAATCCGGCCGTACCTGGCCGGAAGCAAGAACATGGGCGATGCTGGTCTTCCAAACGGTTTGCTTTATGATGACGGCAAGAAACCAGAGTATCGGCAGTATGGCGGCGGGAGCAACGCTCAGAGTTCACTGATTCAGTTCCTTGACATCGCCCTGGGAATTGAACACCGACCCACAGGGGAGACACGCGGTAGTTCGTCCGGAAAGGACGGAGTTGCAGGAGGCCCGCGACACGGGTTCATCCAGGAGATGCGTTCTTACATGCCAGGTTCCCACCGAAAGTTCCTTGAACATATGGGTGCTGTCGCAAATATCCGCGAGTACGTTGAGGCTCGTCGCAAGGACAAACCACTCTGCCTTGCTTACGATGCATGCTTGGCAATGCTGCAATCAATGCGAACGAAGCATATCCAGATGGTTTCGCGGTACATTATCATCCCATCGCAAAATGCACGAGAGAAGCCCTCACGCTCAGCAAGCCTCAACCTCGCCACTGCCCGGCAAGGCGAGAAACTGGACGGCAGCAAACTTCGTGGCACAGGCGGCACCGCACTGATCCCGTTCCTCAAGCAGGCTCGAAACGAGACGGGTGAGCCAATGATTGACGCGTGGGCACGCCGGTTGCTGACGACAGGGTCTGTGGAACCCAGCTGGGCCTCGCTGAGCAAACTCGGTGAGCAACCCGATGGAGATTTGAAAGTGGTTGGCCTGGCTGGTACATGGACTGCGGCTGACAGTGAAGGGGGGATTTGCCATTGGTAGACTTAGATTCAACGATACCCGAGAGCGATGCTAGATTTATTTTCTCCAAGACTTCACTTTGGGCGTTAACTGCGTGGTTTGTGCGTATTGTTACATATCCTGCAGTCTAATCATCAACTGCTTGTCAAGTCGGATGATTTGGATTCCGTCTGCCGTCCCGAGTTGTAGCACTTGCTCGCCACAGTGGTACATGAAACTTGACCCGTCCATAGACTGTTCCTGGAGTCTCCAAACCCCCGCTTGGAGTGTTTAAATTCCGACTGGGGATGGCGCTGGATTTGGTAACCGGGAAAAAGCAAAAGGCGTCACCCGACCAAAGAACAAGCACATCCGACTCTCTGAGAACCCCTCCGGTTCTCAATTGCAGGGTCATGCCTGCATAGGCTTCCGCCTCTCGAGTCTGGACTCGAGTTCAGGCCCAGCTGACGCCCTTACGACGCCCGCGACGCCCACGACACCTGTGACCTGTCGAGTCCAGGCGCACTGCGCCGGGGGATGCAGGTGCAGCTGCGTTCAGAACTTCAGCCCATATGACTCGGGCATTAGGGCGCAGATTCGAGGCCATGTCCGACTTGGACTGGAGGAGACCTGGGCCAGGACCCGGCTTGGTGGGATTTATCGTTGCTTACTCCCTACCCTAAGCTTCGCCTGAATCTGCCTCGGATTCCAGGTTTTGGATAGAGACACTGGCGACTGCCAACTGGCCACCAGAGTCCGGATCTCACAGATGCGTGTGATTATCGACTTGCATATTCCTTAGCCATACGGATTGGATCCTCGAAGCCCGCGCGGTCGGAGCCGGCTACTCTGTCCTGCTGGTGGTACATCGACTTAAGTCCGAGCCCTATGTTGTACGTGTTTGTACACACTGTGCCCGGCCCAGTCTCTTATTGCCACAGCTTCTACGCCTAGACATCTCATATGTGAGGACGGAAATTACTCAGATCTCAATTACGTACTTTGTACGGGAATCTCAGTGGAAACATCGACGGCCACTAGTACAGAGTCGCCTTTTGCCTCAGGCAGAACCATCTCAGATTAAGGCATTCACAGCTGGGGTTCCCTGGAACTTGGGCTCCTCAGGGATCAAGAGTCATGTTTCTTCAAGCCCTGCCACATGAGCTGGTCATTGTCACTTTTCGAGAGCCAGACTTCAATGCTCTCAGTGCCCCTCTGCAGAGCAAATCGTTATTCTACCACATCGCCAATGGCTACTATATCTTCCCGACAGCGAGTCCGCTCTTATCTGGGCAGCAAAGCATCATGTCGAGGAGAAATTGCACCGGATCCCTGATGCCTGCACAGAGCTTTGCTCGAGACTCTGTATTGGGAGTATACAGTGGTTTGAGCTAGCCGGAAATACAAAGAATTTCCTGTCACAGACGAACTCGAGAGGAGGTAGGCAGATCGATGTCCTGGTATGAGCAATGACAGTCCATAACCAATGAATGCCTTATCTTCTTTCTCGTCTTGATAACTCGTTACTGGTAGTATAACCGTCTCCTGGTTACGGGGCCTGTACAGAACATTGGTGACCGCGGCAAGTGCCTCATGGCTCCTGCTGAAACGGAGTCAGTCGCGTCTATTTCCATACTTTATTCGATGAATCAACAATGAAGGGCCGTGAAACGACAATGGCACAGAAGGTGAGCCCAGAGTTGTTTGTGATCTTTGATCAAAGTGGTCCGGAGTCTTTGTTCCCTGCACTCAGCCCAAAATTAGGGCTACGATTGTTTCATGCGCATCTCACCTTCCTTTGTCTAGACAATGGAGTCCCTCGCCGCGATCTTTATACTATAGAAACTGCCTGACCATAAGTTTCAAGGCCAGATGAGAATCGGAAACACCAGAAACGAACTAATTATAGCGAGCTTTGGTCTTGACTTTGCCATTAGCCATGGAGCAGACGAGATATAAATCTCGGGCTGGAGCTCGACCTGGGCACTCGATGGACTTGCACATTTTCAATCACATTTTCAATCGTCTCATTCTATTATCTTTATCAAGCTACAGACTTCAATATGGTGAGTTCATCCGCGCCCCCCCTGCCGAGTGCGAAGTTAGACCGTTGGCTGACATTAGTAGAGCGCACCCGGTCCTGGCGATGGTCCTCCTGCTGGTGCTGCCAATGCAGAGCCCGTACCTTTTGAGGTTCCCCGTGGTGATCTTCCGCTAGGTTCTTCCCATTCGAACAGCATAGGCATCGCGAATCCCCTAGGTGACAATGTCTGCTACCGGAACGTCGTCCTCCTCGCCCTCCTCCATCTCCCTGCTTTCGATGAATGGCTCAACTCACCATTCAATGACATAGAAGCACATTTTGACTGTAAGGGCCCGATGATCCACCCTTCTAATGCGGGTGATGTCATCTGCAATTTGCGTTGTATCTTCGACTGTTACTGGAAAGGGGATCGTAAGGTGCTACTAAGCATAGGTGGGCAGAAAGCCGTGAAAGGGGTCTATCACGCGGCAGTGTCGTTTTTCTGGAAGCATATAACAAAGCTAGAGCATTGGAAGGAAGAAGTTGGAACACAGCAAGATGCTCTTGATTTTCTGGATGCTCTCCTCGAGGCTCTGGCTAAAGAGACTCTAGACGAAGACCCCAAGAGTCTATTCCAAAGCCTTGTGCAGCATTATAATAGATGCGAGAAGTGCGGGAAAGTTACGCCTTCTCCTGGCGCTGTTTCGCATTATTCGAATATACTTTTCAATCTACCACCGCGTGAGGACGGAGTGAACGCATTGGTGCCCAAGTTTCAGGATATCATCGAGCACAACTGGTGCACCGGCTATGATCAAGGTCCTGATGCCACCTGTGGAGAATGCGGCGAATCTGCAAAGCTCCTCTGCACAGGACGCTTAGAACTTGCCCCAAAGGTGCTCACATGCCAGATTAATTTGTTTGGCGAGGTCGGCAAGAAGAACATCCGCATGTTCAAGCTCGAAGAACAGTTCGAGATTCCCGCATGCGCGCAGCCCACGCCACCCCCCAGCGGCGAGACAGACTCCCAGCCGGAGAGCATCAAGTACAACGTCAAGGCAGTCATCTTCCACCGCGGCACCGCCACAAACAACGGACATTACACCGTCGCCGTCAAGCAAAAGGAGGGCGGGCTATGGACGCTCCTAGACGATCTCAGAAGGCCAAAGACATACAACAGTCTCTGGAAGCTTGTGAGCATGCACCAGGGATATGGCGACGACTCGTTCCAAATCTACACGGTCATCGCCGAGAAAGACGAGGGAAAGGATCCAAAGCACACCCCGCAAGGCGCTTCGGAGAGGAATATCGCCCGCTCCCAGCCTCTGCTGTCGAGCTTCGAACTCGACGTGCAGTTCACGGCGAAGCACAAGGACCTTGGCTACCTCACCGGGTCATCGAGGATCCAGCTGACGCAGAGCGACGAACCGCCCGAGAACCCCGCGAAGCGGAAGAACGAGGAGCTCCAGGGAAGAATCAAAGTGCTCGAAAGGGAGCTGAAGAGGAGGAAGACCGAGGACGCAGGCAAGACTGACCCTAAGACTGACCCTAAGACTGACCCTAAGACTACTACTGACACTGGGGCCAAGATAGGGAATGAAAATAGGCCTGCTGCTAAGCCTACGGGGGCGTCCGCCCCGAAGTCTGCAGTGCAGACTCCTCAAGTGCCTAGTCAAACTTCCCAAGTGACTGGTCAGACTTCCCAAGCGCCCGGTCAGACTCCTCAAGCGCCTGGTCAGACCGCTCAGACTGCTCAGCCGACAGTAGAGCAATACCTGTGTTTTCTAAGTGGCCGTATGGCTCGTGAGGAACTCACCGAAAAACAACTCAATGATGTAGAGAAATGCGGGCTGATTATATATGGCGAGATGGCTCGTGAAACGGAACTTACACCCGACCAACTTGAGTTTGCAAAGCAATACTGGGATTTTGTACTTCGGAAGATTGTTCGTGGAGAGAAACCCACCAACAACCAAGTCAAGTTTGTACAGCAGCAAAACATGCGTTCTCTACGTGACCAGATGGCTCGTGGCGAACTCGACGAAGAAGAAGTCAAGTCTGCAGAGCAATGCCTGTGTCTTCTAGATGAAAAGGTCGCTCGTGCAGAGGGACTCACCACAGCAGACCTCATGTTTATAGCACAATGCCAGCGTTTCCTACTTGACAAGATGGCTCGTGGACCACTCAGCAAAGCAGAATCCGGGTTTGCACTGCGATGCCAGGGTAATATAGACATCAGGCTGCGTCATGGATGGATATTCGGCCAAGAAGAAACGGAATTTTTCGGGAAATACATGGATTTCCTAAAAGACAAGGTAAATCGTGGAGAAGCCAGCCAAGAAGAATACAACTATTATCAGGATAACAGGAAGTTTGCAGAGACAGCTCCACCAGAAACTACGCAGGACGATACAATACCTACGGCAACCACTGATCAGGACACTGCACAAGGAGCTGCACAAGGAACTGGAGGGACTGCAAATTCTGAAGATGCTGACGCCCTGTTCACAAATATTGGTGATATTGATGACATCACGTGGCCACTTGCTGCACAAGCCACTGCACAGGGCACTGGAGGAATCCCAGATGATTTTGGTTTTCTGACAGGCTTCCCGGATATGGACTTTAACGATGTAGGGGACTTGTTTGTCAGCGCAAATTGGTCAGCTGCACAGGACACTGCACAGGACACTGCACAGGACACTGCACAGGACACTGCACAGGACACTGCACAGGACACTGCACAGGACACTGCACAGGACACTGCACAAGCCGCTGGTGGGAACCACAATGGTCCCGAGCTTTACCGCAGGAAAAAGAATGGCGAGACTCTCACCCCTGAGCAAGAAGAGTTTTTGGAGCGGTGGCTTGCACACTACGATGGTAATGAGCTTTCCCGCAAAAAGATGGCTGGCGAGATTCTTAGCCCAGGGGCAGAAGAGTTCCTCAATTGGTACAATGGCGCTTGAATGGAACCAGAGTCTCCAGAAAGCCCTGAGCTCTACGACCAAGGGTTTCCAGGGTTTCTTTCCACACCAGCCCATCTATCGCCTACCAGCACCAACGGGTGCCAACTCCTCGACCACGGACTATCCGGAGACTTGTTGCGTACGGAAGCAGAGCGCATGGATCGATGCCCGAGTATCGCGAATGAGGCCACTGTTTTGGGGGTCAGTTAGTTGGATCGAGGCGAGGTGAGATCTGTCCTGGGCCTGGATAGCCGCTGGACGGCTCTCTGTGGCCTGGTTTGATGGTTGTTATTTGGTTTGGACGTGATAATTGTATACATATCTTGTTTTGTTGTATATAGCAGTGTTTGAGTTAATTTAGACTAAGAATTCCTAACTCATGAATGACTCCGTCAGCAGTGAAAAGTAATTGTTTCCAGAGCTGTAAGTGATGAACAGCTCCCTAGTTTCGGTAAACGACGGCTACAGAGAAAGCAAAAGCCTATCGCCTGGGCTATGGCATAGATGTGAGATACAGCAAGTGCTCTTACATGCCTCAGGGCTAGAGAAGTAGAGCCCTAACTCCCAGCCACGGCCATCGCCATCTGCGACACAGCAGCCCTGATTCGACACACCACACCAAGATCGATGCTTGTTAACAAAACTCGACTCTGATACGCATTAGCAACACTACCCACCTTCCTAATGAAGATCGGAATGGCCTTCCCAATCGAGCACGAGCACGAGCACTGACGCCAGAGGCCAGCATGATAAGCGACTTGCAATCCCAACTCCAACCCCTCCCCCATCCGACTTGCATTTCTCACTCTCAATCATCAAAGCCACTCTCAACATCGCCCACCATGACCCGCATCTTCCTGTAAGTGCTGCCGCCAAACGCTGCCTTGCACAGGCCGGGCCGACCTAACCAGGCCAGTCTCGGCGCGACAGGATACATCGGAGGCGAAGTCCTCCACGCTCTACAGCACGCGCACCCGGACTACGAGATCGCCGCGCTGGTTCGGAGTGCGGAGAAGGCGGGCAGGGTGGTTGCTGCGTACCCTCGGGTCCGGGTGGTCAGTGGGGATCTGGACAATACGTCGCTCGTTGAGGAGGAAGCGCGGAGGAGCGATGTTGTTATCCGTACGTCTACGCCGCCAGTACTAGTTAGTTGATTTGTTGGCTAACTCGCATGTGCCAGACGCCGCAAGTAACAAGCACATTGGCAGCGTGGAGGCCATTGCAAGGGCGCTGAAAGGCAGACGCGACGGTAGGCCTGCTCCATCTATTAATATCAAGTATGCCCGATAGTAACAAGCGGCAAACAGCATACTACATCCAGGTTACCGGTGCCAGTGTCCTCGGGGGTCCCGAGATCGACGCCAGTGCCTACGGCGAGGCTTCGGATAAAGTCTACGATGACCTCGACGGGGCCCAAGCCGTCCGTGACCTGATCCTTGCGTACCCCAACCGCCGGGTGGTGGACAACTTTATCCTCAAGCTTGCGGGCAGCGGGCCCAAGACTGCGATCATCTTCCCTCCTATTATCTTCGGCGCTGGCAGCGGACCCGGCAACCAGCGCAGCATCCAGGTGCCCTCCATAGCGAAGAATGCGCTAAAGGACAAACAGGCTGCGTATGTCGGCCAGGGCCTGAGCCGCTGGGGTGCCATCCATGTCGCGGACCTCGCGCAGCTGTTTGTCAAGCTCGTTGAGAAGGCTGCCGAGGGTGGAAACGGTGACATCTGGGATGAGAGCGGGCTGTACTTTGCCGAATCTGGTGAGATGGTAAGTGGCCATGCTTTACTCCTCGTCTAAGAGTCTTACTGACCACGATCAGTCCTTCAGAGACATCGCGAGCCTCGTCGCCAACGAGGTATACAAGCTGGGCTTTACCGAAAAGCCGGATGCCACCCGGTCCATTACGGCTGAGGAGTGCGACCGGCTGTTCTTTGCTCACGGGGCTGTGGTTCTCGGTACGAATGCACGCGGGAGAGCCCTGCGTGCGAGAAAGCTGCTGGGCTGGCAGCCGGTCAAGGGGGCGTTGGAGGATTATATCTCCGAGACGGTTGCTGCGGAAGCAAAGCAATTTGATAGCCTGTAGATGTCATCGTTCGGAATACTAAATATGACAAAGTTCCTATGACGCCCATCTTGCAGGATCGAAGATACGAGATCTACCAAGGGTGAAAGGCATGATAACCCTCTCTGCCACTCCGCTGGGTCGCCCTACTACAGCTAAGCATACTCCAGTAAACGAACAGCCGTGCTAAAAGACTGCAAGGGCACTCTAGACACCATGGAGGCAATGTCCCCGCCCGCCATGGGTCAAACATCTCAATCCCTGCCAGTCCCAGATGCCAATCCAGTCTCTGGAATGATCCCCAGGTTTACATTCATTGTCTTTGTCTGCAGACCGCCATGTCGAAGGAAAAGTCCCAGGTCCAGAGAATGATCTGGCCACAGCGCCGCCTTGCTTTAACGGGTAGGTACCACTCGCGGTCGAAGGGAGGGTCGTTCTTCCACGCGGCGCTCTGAAGACAGTCAGAGCGGCCTGGACGTGGCGTCGGCGGCTTGAACGGTGTCGAGTTGGATTCGGGCCTGGAACGATCAGCAGTGGTTGGGTGGACAGTGTCGACTCGAGCGCAGCCACCTCTCAGGGGACAAAGAGAACGACGTTAGCGATGTTACGGAGGACGGAGGACGGAGGACGGAGGACGATGGCTGGCCAGCGCACTGCAAGCATGTGACTTGGCGCAGTCACATGGCGGTTACGTAAGCTGGATAGTCTGCACTCTGCATTCTGCAAGCATGTGACTTGGCGCGGTCACATGGCGGTTACGTAAGCCACCAGAGTCGTGACTCGTGACTTGCTCCGTGTGGACATACTGCACACCTCAACTCTGACTTCCATCGATCGTCAAGAATCGCATCTTTCCTCGATATCATCGCTGAAGTCCCAGCTCTGAACTAACCGGTTGCATCAATGGACTGACCATAATGCACATCAAGGAACAATGCCAGCGGCCAGCACGGCTCGTGCTGACTAGATAACGAGACGCTTTGTCTGATTCCTCGGCGTACTTGGCGGATGTCCTGACTCGACGCATATTCGTTGGAGAACAGGGGGCGACGAGCGCCGATTGAGAACTAGAGGCTATCTGCGTTTCTGTGGTATTACTACGACACTGCCCAAACAGGCCGGCCATGTTCGACAATACAGGAAAGAATTGGGCGTCATGGAGAGCATCGTAGGTGCGACAAATCAGGCACATGCACAAATCGAGTCTTCAATCGATGAGAGGGGCCCAACCTGAAGATGCGTTGTCTCTGCTTCGAAAAGCAGAAACAGTTGTGTTCCGTTTGTCAATGAAAAGGCCCATGATTCTGTGGTAGGCCATCAAGACAATAGATGTCGTCTAGAATGAGAATTACGCCTCTTCGGTAAGTGAAGGAGCGGGAATGGCGGCATGAAGCGAGGCAAGGGTACCGTTCCACTCGACAACCGTCAAGGAATTGACAGCTGCGATGGCTTTTCAGATTCGGAGAGCGACAGAACACCCTTACAGTCAAGACGAGATCGACGGGCAAGCTCCTCTTGCAACCGTTACTCGCAGGAATGGGGTTCCAACAAGCCATTGCAGCTGACGCCCTAAGCCAGCAAAGACGTCGAGTTCGTTCACGGCGACAGCTGTGGCCATCCGTTTCTTCTTGACCAGCCAAGAATAACCCATATGATTCGGCTCTTGTCACCGCGGAGAGAGAAAGCTAGTGGAATCCCTCAACCAGAGATCCCTTCTCCAAGACAGACTAGATCCGGGGCTTCTCATATCCATGGATTTGCGCCGCTGAATGGGATCCATTGAGTAAGGAGTACTCTATTGAGCATCGGTAATCTTGGCCTTTGATTGGCTTTGTCCATATTCACATTCCTGAAGTCGGATCTATGTGGTGTTGGGATGAGTGTGGCTTGCCCTCGTGCTATCATGGTGCAAAGCATCCCACCCCACTTGACGAAACCCAGGGTAGTTCTTTCCGTTCAAGCTCCTCTGATCAAAGGCGCCTGACCGCTAGTTACTCAATTATCACTCTACTAGCCGAGGACCATGGTCCCCAAGTTCAGGACAAAGACTGTAACCCCCTTCGTGGAGTCTTGGACGTCGACCATTCACCCCGTCAAGGATACTCGAACCGACCCAATCCGACGATTGGAACGTCCCTGGGGTATTAGAAGCACGTCGATTCCGTCGAGTCCGTCAAGTCCGCCGAGTCCACAATCGTCAACACCATGACCGACTACGTCGTCCCCAGTACTCCGAGGTGGCCCGAGACGTATCGCGAATACACGGGCCCTCCAGTCCCATCAGCCGTGCCGGGCCTCACTTTCCCCCAGGGCCCAGGATTCTACCTCGAGTCCGCAGTGGCCAAATTGCTCGACGACGCGGGAATCCCCAACTTCATCTGGGGCGAGTCTGTCCTGGCCACCTTAGGCGTCGATACAGCCACGCTCTTTGGCGGCTGGGTGATTCCAGACGAGCACATCGAAAGGGCAGCGCAGGTGCTCGACCAGGCCAAGTTCCCGCCCTGCACCCAGGGCCGCAATCGCTGCACCATCTTCTACGATCTCAGACCGCACCCGTTCCCAGACTATCACTGGCACACCGATCTGGCCTACCCAGAGGAGCGTCACCTCCCCTATATGACATGCGGCACCTTCCTCTACCGCAAATCCCGGCTGTTCTGGGCAATGCCGGACCCCCCTCTAGGACCCCCTGCACCGAACGACAAGAACTACATGCTCACCTGCGACCCGCGCATCCAGCAAAATCGGCCTGATACATTGCACATCTTGGGTCGGGGCCCCGCACCAGCCGACAAGGGCCTCCACCCGGTGAAGATGCCTACCCCGGCTCGGTACACCGAAGCGATGATCCTGCTGGATCTGCGCGACACGTGTGAGCCGAGGGCCTGCGACCATTGGAGTGTCGAACTCAACTACCTCTTCACGTTGATGGAAGAGGGCGAATTCAACGTGAAGATCAAGGACCTCTCCGAGCCGTTCCGCGACTATGCCATGCGACAATCGGGCCAGCTTGAAGAAGAAGGCGACTTTGGAGGGTATCGAACGGCGATGCTACTGTACCTTGATATGAAGAGCAAGAATCAGCTGCCGCCGGCCGAGCTTCATCATAGGTCTCCCATGATGCAGGCGCCGCTGGAAAGAGTGCTGCAGAGTTTCAATATCCCACTGGACAAGATCCGCCACAAGTAATCCAGACGTCACGCACTGTTTAGCTCTACGCACAATTTGGGTATTCTTTTGTTGAACCAATCGCATTCTATTTTTATGAGCTACCTCATAATTCCCGCACAATGATCATAATTCTCATCACATTCATAACATTCGTACCATAGTGATCTCTAACTTCTCTAGACCGGCGGCAGATTCTCTTCCCACCACCTGTCTTTGCCCCCGTAGTCCAAGAGAGCCTCACGCGCGAGTTTCAGCACGCCAACCTGGTCTCGAGAGAGCTGGGCGAGATGGGCGGCGGCCGGAAAGAGCTTCATCAAGGCCTTCACATCCTCGGCGTCCTTTATATTCTTCTTTTTCGATTCCCGAAAGCCACACACAAACGATTTGAAGCAGATAAGGTCTAGTGGGTTGGCAATTGGTAGATTCTGTGTATCGACGTCGACAATACGCTGCAATCCAGAGGGTTTGTAAGGGAGCTATAGTCATATATCCTGATCAGTATCTGCTGCGACCATGATCATGGTGTGGTGGTAACAGTAACTCAAAAGACGACGTACATTTTTGATGGGCATAATATCAACTTGGAAGTCGTTGCCGCCCTCATCGATGAAGTAGTAGGCGTCGGCTGGGCGCTTCCAGGAAACGCTGTGGTGTTTGAGCAGGACCCGTTTCAAAGGCTCCACGAATTCGTCGGGGCTGACCGCAAAGTCAATATCCTAACCGTAGAAGGTAGTGGTGTTAGTAGGTTTGGGTCCATCGTAAGGCTGGATTGCTTGTACTTGACTTACCTTCGTCACTCTATGCGAAGTGTGTTTTATGACGGCCGCGCCTCCAACAAGCATGATCTCCATTTCCGCGTAACCCGGGATCTGAGCGACAGCTGCCGAGCTCTTCAGGAGAGCCATGAAGTCGGCGGCGGCGCCAAGGAGGCGTGCCATGCTCTGCGAGACGCCGTGGGGGTTCATGTTGGCGAAGGTTGAAATGTTGAAGCTAGCAATCTTGCTGATGCCAATAGCTATCGAGATGACGAGCAGGAAGGAACTGATGAGAGCGGGAGGATAAGGAGAAACTGAGGAAGAGGGAAGATAGCTGAGGAGGTCCGGAAAGCTGACGCCATGTTTATTCTAAGCTGTCTTTGTATCTTCATTCTTTGTCGGGAGCTGCTTGTCTTCTGGCTTTGTTTGCTTGTTGAGAGGTCGTGATCAAAGAGCTCGGATTCACAGCCTTCACGAACGCCATGTTCCACATCGAAGAACATGGGAGTGGCACACATCTTCCAAGCACAGAGAGATCGTTGAGGGCATGGGGGTTGAGGGGCTGTTAAGGGTAGCTTATGCTCGGCCCTTATCGAAATGTCTCCTGCGAGCTGAAGTTGCACTTTTGCACGATCATGCTCCAATCCAATGTCTCTTCAGGTGTTGAATAAAAGGCAGCCAAACATGGCTTTTCCTTCTGGTCTGGATAATTCTGGCTTTTTCTTTGTCTGGCCGAACCTTCAGCTTTCTGCGGGGTTGTAGAGGCAAATCACTTTCCATTTCCTCCCAGAGGAAGGCATCCTCTTTCCTTCAGTGGCCCATCTAGGCCTCTGATTCCAAGAATGCTCTATCATTCTTGCTCCGGGGGTAAGACGTCTGGGAAAATCCATTTGCGTAAGTGCCACTTTTCCAGGAGAGGTCCGCAACAGCTCAGGTATCAGCACACTGGGCTTCCTACAGCCAACACAGTGTAAGCTTTTAGCACGGCCTGCTTTCAAGACCAAGGCAGAAGATCCACTGCGTCAAAAAACAGTCTGCCACAGCTGCAGTCCACACTCCTGCTTCCTCGTTGCTCCTACTCATTCCTCGCCTCTCCCACCAGCATCCACTCCGACCCGCGCCTTCTCTTCAGAATATTTACCTCTTTAGGTGCATTTACATGCATCTCGCAAGGTCTGGGAATGATCAATTCAAAGCTAGGCAGGCTGACATGCGTGCTCACGCGTCCATCTCCGACACTGATCCGTAGGCGGTTAATCTGGCGTCGGAAGAGAGAGCAGAGTGAAAGTGTTCTATGCGCCAACGAATGTGCGACGATCGAGGCAAGCTAGCTCCTTTGCTCTAAATGGCATATGCGTGCATGGATTTGCAGATGTGGGACGGGGACTGATGCATCTGTAGACACGACGCTTTCCCCGGATAGGAGACGCTTCGCACCTCTTCTGTTTGTAGCCGCAAGTCTGGTAGGCAAGCAAACAGCTTTGTTGCGTAGCGTAAACATACACTGGAAGGAAATAGATTAGTAGAGCCTCTTCTGCGTTTGCCGACGGGCTTTTCCTCCCGGCAGCTCATGGCCTTCGTCTACCTTACCTCCTATCCTACCCACGGCCAGAGCTGGTATCCTGACCCTTCCACCCTGAAACCGTCAACACTGTATCAACAACAATATTGACCATGGACTCCCATCCCTTGACCCCCTCTCTTTTTTCAGATGAGATTATCAAATACCACCTCGGCCTCCTGGACTCCCATACCGGCCAGAGCGAGAAGCAGAGCCAAATCGACGAAGCCGCTCTCGCCCCCATCATCGCAAGCTCGGCGCTGCGCCGGATCCAAGAGAACGACCACAGCCGCTCAGGTGCAAACACAGGGGAATCTGCTGCGGGCACCACAAGTCTCCAATACGGCCTCCTCGCAGGATCGAAACAGGAAATCCACTCCGTTCAGATCCAGCAAACAGTCAGCTCCTCCAATGCCGGCAGCGATGGCGGTAGCTCAACTGCAACCCTCGCTCCCACTAGCATCGATGCCGACACCGATCCGCGACTCCTCTTCAATATCTCCGCCCCGTCAAGCACATTCATCTGCGGGTCGCAGGGCTCGGGGAAAAGTCATACGCTCTCGTGCATGCTTGAGTCATGCCTGATTCCGTCAAAGCTAGGTCGCCTGACGAGCCCACTTACGGGCGTGGTGTTCCATTATGACACGTTTATATCGGATGCGTGCGGCTCGCCGTGCGAGGCTGCTTATCTGGCTTCGAATGGGAGTGTGAAAGTGAAAGTACTGTGTGCGCCGACAAATGCTGCGGCGATCAAGGTAAGTCAACTCCTTGCTCGGACATTCGTGCGTGCGGGTATTGTGGATGTGGAGTGATAGCTGATTTGTATTGTTCATAGAAAACGTACCAACACCTCAACGTCACCGTGGAGCCCCTCGCAATCGATCAGAGCCACCTGAACACAAAGCGCATGATGGATCTCATGGCGGTGAATTCCGACGACGTGCCGCTGTACATGGAATCAGTGAAGCGCATTCTGCGTGAGATGCGGATGGTTCAGCAGAATGTTGACGGAGGGTTTGACTACGCTGATTTCAAGAAGAGAGTGAATGGCTGCGGACTTACACCTGCGCAGATGGGGCCGCTACAGCAGCGATTGGAGACGCTCGAGAGTTTCATGCCAGGAAGCCAGACCAATATTTGGGGGGTGGGGAGATCGAATGCCGAGGCGAGAAAAGGAACGGATTGGAGGCCTGTGGTTAGTATTGGCCAACTACCAAGTTACCCGGCGGATAGAAGCTAACAAAGCGTAGCCAGGACAGCTGACGATTGTCGACCTCTCCTGTCCTTGCGTGTCCCCCGAAACAGCATGCGGATTGTTCAACATTTGCTTAGGTATATTCCTGCAGCAGGATGCCAATGTCGGGCGGGTATTTGCCCTAGATGAAGCACATAAGGTAGGCAACAAGATGTTTTCCTTCTCTTCTCCTTGACCAACAAAGGATTCCAGGAAATGCTAACTCGGATAGTATATGAACGCCTCACCCGAAGCCACCGTCTTCACAGAAACGATTCTCTCGGCGGTACGCCTTCAACGCCATTTAGGCGTTCGCATCATCGTTTCGACGCAAGAACCGACAATTTCAACTGCACTGCTCAATCTCTGCTCTGTGACAATCGTTCATCGGTTCACTTCACCAGAATGGCTGAGGGCTTTGCGACATCATTTGGCTGCTGCAGCCGAGGAACATGGAACTTCCAGAAAGAATAGGGCTATTTCAACAAATGGTTCCGGCGAGGCTGGATCGCAAGAAGATGGAAGGAGGACAGGTACACTGTTTGACCAGATTGTGAGGCTAAAAGTCGGTGAGGCGTTACTATTTGCGCCGAGTGCTGTCGTTGGTGTCTATAAAGAGCAGGATAGAGGCCTCGCGCTTGAGCGACTTGGAGACGATTACTTGGCGATTAGGGTTAGAGGACGGCTGACCGAGGATGGGGGAAGAAGTGTGCTTTCGCTGTGATGGCCAGGAAGTCAGCTTGTATAATCATTCGTGTCGCATCCCCTAGTAATCGGAACTGTTCAGCGGAGAAGCGGTGTTTGAATATAGAGATCAATAGTCAGTACGGGTTGTGATGTCATTCTTGGTGTTTGCTACCGCCGCCAGGATATCGCAGGCTGGCAGCCCAGAGCATTGTTGCCATATAGACACTGTACTGCGTAACGCGAATCGGAGTGCTCAAGCCTCGAGCTTGTATGATCAACTTTACGGCAGCCGCAGCAGATGAAAAACAAGTACCTCGAGAACGGCCTGGGATTTCGATTGGCATTGGGGCGCATTAGTGGCGGTAACAACGTCGTCTCTTGCTGGCAAACAACGGGATTTTGAAGTCATTATGCGACAGGCGAGTGAGAAAGAATGGGAGGGAATGTTGGTGGCCTGATTGGCGGGGACGGACGACTTGACATAGATCGCCGTCATGGATCGTTGATGTCGGCAGTCTCACAGGAAGGAGGATAGCTGAAGCTTGTTCCAAGGCGTCTATGCTTCCTGGAGATGTGGCGTAATGTAGTCCTGAATAGAAATTTGGTTACCGGGGTACCATCAGGGTTCTTGCTAAGTTTTCTTCTAGAAGTTCTAGAAGCATTTCAGGTTCTGGAAACTTGGGGTTAGACTTCTAGAATGCTTCTAGAAGTATGGATTCTGGAAACAGAAGAAACATCGAGAGAGTCTCTCGATGCAGAATGAGGGGAGGCATTTCACCCGGGCTAACGCATGGGCCACTGTCTATGGAAGGCCCGGGATGATAATCGCTGCCGGGTAGGTTATCCAGCTAATCGCATGCTTGACTCGTGGCATTCGTGGACCCTCCCCCTGCGGGTGTCTTCTGCCAAGTAACACAGGCGCGAGGCTGTGAAGGTATGTACCCCTCTCACTCACTTTGGCCATGGAAGGAACAAATGCCTGCGTTGCGTTTCTTTGTTTGGTTGCCTCTAGACCTGGACCGGCCTAGAATTGCGGCCATGGGGTGATTCCTTGGTGAAAGCAAACAACTACAAGGGAGCCTCGTAGGATTGCACCACAAACCAGCAAACACATGTAGGTAGTGGCACTGTGGCAGCAAGGGTGACGCCATGACTCGTCCGAGCAACCCCGCATGGCCGTCTTGTTCAACCTTTCCTGTTGTACGGTGTCACGCGCGTTACATTTGGAGGTCCATCTTGAATTGTCAATTGAGGAGACCTTGCACTAATCAAGGCCGCCATATCCTCTTGTTACCCGAATAGAGATGGTCCGAGCTTGCTGCGAAAGAGCGCATGCACCGGGGTAAGCGGATTCCATAATCTGATACAGGGGAACAAAGCCAAGGCAGCCTATCCCGGAAAAAGAAAAGGTACAGCATGTAGCTTACTCCGTATGGGGAGATAAGAGCAAGAGTTGCGGTGATACGAAGTCGAGCGTCTTTGTGTTTTTTAGCGTTGTCAGATCGACACTATCCCGTGAGCTTCCTGGGATAAATAACGCGACCGGTGGTCAGCAGTTGCCGATAATAATCACAAGACCTGTGAGGCCTCCGATAGTAAACTTTGCTGGTACTGTGGGCAATCAAATGGTGTTATCGAGGTGCTCAGATGCGGTCAAGCATGCAATGCAGCCTTGCCTTGAAATACCGGCTGGCAACGGCGATCCTCTTGAACAGTCCGTCAAGCAGCTCACAGTCGGAGAAGCGCTGGCTGCTGTATGCGACTTATAAGAATAGAATCAGAGCATTGTTTGCCACGGCCTGAGGTCAGCCTCGTCAATTCCCCTAATTGCCACCGGTGGCTGGAAAAAGGAAGCTGGACGGACAAGTAGGAGTAGAAGGTTGCGGCTCATCAACAGGACAGCAAATGGAAAGTGAGATTGGAAGAATGATGAGTTAGGCAAGGCTGAAGATGGTTGGGAATGGCGGGGATTGGAGACTGAGAGAGGGTGAGAAGGGAAAGGAGCGAAGAGCCGCATCCCGTCGAAGGATTCACCGACACGGCGACACAGACCGGAGGCCAAAGCTGCTCCACTGCTCGCTCTCTTCCTCATCACCCTCCGTCATGCTCTATTTCGATCTCCACCTTGAGCCTCATCTCACTCATAAAGCTCAATGCATTCCTTCGTTATCTGCATTCCCAGCACCCCCACAACCCAGCCTGGGCTCAAGTGTTACTCCGATGTCTAGCACTGCCTCACGGCTCCGGTTCGTCGCTCCCTCTGTTCGTAGGCCACCTTGTCCGCTTTCTTGGTCATAACAGAAAATGACCAGAAATCTGGACTCCATTCCCTACGATGTCTTCTATCAAGTCGCCTCGAAGCTTGATTGCCATGACTACATCCATCTCAGCAGAGTCAATTGGGCCCTCAATACATTAACCAAAAGCGATTCAATCGCTCGGAACACCGTCAGAGTATGCCGCAACCCTTTCCATCTACAGCACGAACACTAATCCAATCTTGTCCTAGAGCGATCTACTTCACACAAGAGAAGGCAGGGAGGCCGACCGGACCAAGACTGGCTACCGCAGGGCTGTCGGGCGTTTGTACGACGTCAAAGAATCCTTTGCCACTGCACAGCCGTATTCAGCATCGGTCCTCGGCTATGGGAGCTCGTTCCTCTACGCTGGCGGCTCGCTCTGCTACATCTACAACGATGAGATCCGCGCACTGGACGTGCGTGGTGCCAGTCGCGTTGAGCAGGTCTTGAATCTCCCCAACGTCCTACGTCGTGCAGTGCCCGAGTGCAACCCGGAAAATGGAACGACGACCATTTCTCTTTTAAACTACAGCAATTGGGTCATTGCATTCTTGGTGGCAACTCCTGAAACGCCTGGTGGTTGGATCCTCGCCGTAGACCTCCAGCGCCGGTCAACGTACGGGAAGAGCGGCCGTCTCAGGCTCAAAGTCCATGTTGACGCAACAAATCGATTGTTTGTACGACACAATCGGTCACACCTTTACTATGGGACGCACTCCGCCGTCGGCACTCGCGGGTACAACCAATGGGAAGTGAATTGTGCGGATCTCAACACCGGAAAAGTCTCAAAACCCAACAACATCGTTTTGGACAACTTTGCCGGCAATGAGATCGGCCAGACGGTGTGTTTTGAAGTCTATCAGGACCACCTATACGCCATCTCCACGTTGGTCGACTTTGAAGAGGAAGAGGTGGACTGGACCTCATACTACGTCTGGATCTGCCTGGACCCCAGTCTCAAGTTATCCAAGGAGGGTGTCAAGACTCACCGCACCTGGCGTCGACAGCACCGCGAAGGTCCAATCAATGACACTTGGTCAGATCTCTCGCTCCGGGAAGACGAAGCAACCGGGCAACTTATGATCCTAGAGTGCCGCAGGGAGTGGCGACTTGGTGGCAGCGAGAACTGCCGGACATACTACGTTCAGCCCCTCCCAGCACCAGCGGATGTGGACAAGCAACAGCCCACATCCGATTATTATTTGAAAATACCTCTACCTGACGAGCCTATCACCAAAACCCTGGATCCGTCATGCAAGCCCAACTATGAGCCACCACGGAAGCGACTTCGCAGACACTATCACCCCGAGTACGAGGAAGGCGTCGAACCGAAACCCAAACGGGACTTTATTCTAGCAAAGACCAAGTTCCGCTCATACAATGTTCCCGCATCAAGTTATCTCGACCTTGTAAATGACCCGCTTCCAAGAGGCGTCGGCGGTGGCGGCCTCGTACCTCGGGATCGAATGAGGGTGCGTGTGGTTTCTCGGAAGCGAAAATGTCCTATTGACGAGGAAGGCATCGAAGGAGGTCCCGGGTTCCTGTTCAAGCGTGAACTTAGCGAAGCAGACGGCCGTGAGGTGGAAAACAGTGAAGAGCGGTTTGAGACTCGGGGCGTCCACCTTTGGCCCCCAGATGACGCTCCACCGGAGCTGAACCACTTACTCTGCCCTTCCAAGCGAACCGGTCAAGTCCATGCCATTGTTGACGATCGATCGATTGTGTATTCCATCAACCAGGACGGGCTCAGTCCTGGTGACCAGGCAATCATCCTCATCAACTTTGACCCTGCCTTGCGGCTCCCGGGTCTCAGGCGCCTGAACTTTGGCAGCTACGCTGACGCCCCAGAGAAGGCGGAAGCCGTTGGCATCAAACGGCCCCAGGCGAGCGACGTCGGACAACAAGACCGGGCAGCCATGCACACAACCGTTTCGGGGAAGCGGGCGAACCAAAACGTGCCAGCTGTCCGCGAAGAGCGTGCAATGTACCTTGACATAAGCCGTGGTTTTTGGCTCCGGTGAAGACAGTCCGCCTTGCGGGCTGAGCCGATGAGACGCTGACTCAGGAGGTGAGGAGATGCAAAGGATGCACACTGCACAGCCACCCAGGCAGCAGAATTGGAGTAGCGGATAGTGTCTGGTAAATCATAACTAAGTTACAGGCATTCGAGCCACATCATTACTATCTATGACACCCGAATGAAACGCATATACACTTCATAGCCGCCGATGCAAAAGACCAGTCAGACAACTGAAGTCAAAGCACGCAATCCACTTTTTAGCCCCTGTCAACGTCTTCCTGAATGATAAATTGGATACGAAAGCCGCGCGGATTACCGGACTGAAACAAGATCCCACTCAGCCTCGTTGCGCAAGCTAGGTCCAATGAGGTAAGTCAGTTCGAAGTCAACAATCATATGCGCCTTTACCTAGAGTTCGTGGCCGGTCTCTAACTGCATCTGGGCAACTTTGTATGGAGTGACATCCCCACTCGATATCCGACTACTAAGATCACCTGCAACCACTTCCCAACGGCGTTGGACTGCAGTTCTAAAGCCTCTCGTCCGAAGTTTCATACAATCCGCCACGACAACCTGTCACAAAGCGCCATCGACTTCAGCGTGGCAAGAAACGCCAGGTACGCCACAAACAGAAAATACTCTGCGCTCTTCCGAGACTGGCCCTGAAGCTCGCAAAGACGCAAACATCTCACGTCACGTCAACTATCTTCTATTCTAGTATTTCGAGACATAGCGGTGACACTACAAGCGTCAAGCATTATGTACCTTATGTCATCAGCTCGGAATAATTACACAGCATGCGCCCTTCAATCGACGGTATGCGCCGTCAGCATATCCGGATCTCGCCGCCTATGTAAGTTGCTTACTCGGGCAGACCTCGTCTTCGGCATTTGAGACTACGTCGCAGCTGAGGCTGAGGCTCAAGCCAACTTCAGGGAGACAAGGTAGTAGAGGGATTTCGCAACAAAATTACACAGAGGCGCTAGGCTCATTGCTTTGCTCTAGAGTGGGGTTTTAAGTGGGTATTTTGTATTAAAAGATGTAATTTTTTTGTACACCGCCTAAATAGCTTACCATACTTAACTTTAATATTAAGCCTTAAAAAATTAAAATAGGCTTAGTTTATAGACTAAGGGCCTAGTCTCTAGGCTAAAGGTCTTAGCTTAAAAGCTATTTACAGGCTAGGCCAGCCTAAGCTAGCTCCCGTGGCTTAGCCCCTAAAACTAAGCCTTTTTTGCTTAAACAAAACTTGGCATTTCCTAATTTAATGAACCAACTGACACCGTGGAATTCCACGGTGTCGGTTGGTGTTTTGGCGACTGTGTAATAGGTATTTCACCCAATTAGGCGGCCCAGTGGGTCCACTATACCTAATTTACTTGAACAGAGGCCTTCAGCGCTCTTCAGAGCGGTTGCGAAATCCCTCTAGTGGGGCACTTGAGTCATGCCTTGTCAGTGCACTGTCATCAAGCGGTTCTGGCAAGCAGAGGACAAACCGCAGATCAGGATATGGAATACTCGCGGAGTATCCAGAACTCCTCCTCCTACTGGCTATCGCACGATTTCCGAGGTACCATGGCCTTGAACCCTCGGCTTCTCGCGGAGTGTCAGCGAGTGCATTACATTACAGTAGGGCTGTCATTCCGTTCCCCGCTTTGACAACAACTATCGTGAACGAATACGAGCTCCAGTTGCCTATGGCTACGTGTATTGGCTATGGCATCAGTATACTTCGTAATTAGGCTCAATGACGCAAGCCAGTTACAGTTCTGTCTTACCCTTTTTTTCGAGAGAGAGCCAGTCGGCCCTGGAAAGATCCATCCAATCTGGCTTGATGCTTGCTGCGATCAAGTCTAGACCACGAGCCCAAGCCTTATCTAGGTATTTCAACGCGCCTTAATTAATGGAGAGCCTCAATGAGGCTGTATCGATCGTTCAATATGCTGTGATTGGCTAATGCCAACGCAGTTGTCAATCCATTCGTTGAAGCTTCCAGACCGTGTCTTGCTTCTTTATCGGCTGAACTAAACCAGACGGACGAACTGCAACAAGGGTCGCCGTTGTCTTAAGCCGCGCAGCTTCTCAGCCTCACCGCTATTACAGAGTAGTCTACATACCAAGCGATTGTGGCAACGCAGTCTTTGTCTTCGTCTCTGCAGTCTGCGCGGATTCCAGAGTCAAGGCCGCTAGCTAGCCTCACCCGCATGGACGGTTGGATTGGTGGAGCTGGAGCTGGAACTGCTGCCCTGAATACGCACATCTTTTGTTCTGTGAGTACGCTGATACAATCTCGAGCCTTGCCTTCCATTGGTATCTCGTCTCTTCCAACTGTGGTTTCGCAGCTCTGCTCTGCCAAGACGAAACCTACTCGGTAATCGACGTATCGAATGTGTTTGGCCTCCAATGCAATTGGTTTGTTTGGGCTTCGGAGATGCATGTTTGGTTCCTGTATTCGACCACATGCAGACGAACCTTGAAAGATCTATCGCATCACTCGTTCTGACGGTTGCTGGAAAGAGACGCAGCACACAAAACCACAGGCCACATATCCGCCACATGTCCGAATTTATAACCAACAGCGTTCAACAAAGCCCTGCGCGATTCCACCCCGACTTCCAAAAGGGTACGCTCTGTCTGGACAGTACGTTATTGCGCCCGACCTCTTTTAAGTAAATACTTTCTATATCCGACAGTCTGCTCTGCACTCGAAGCCGATGCTCATCAGCCTCATATTTATACTAAAAGAATCGGCTGAATCAGATCCGGTGTATTATCTCCATCCTAAAGCTCATTTAATTGTGCCCCATCAAGACACATAGATGGAATGAAATCAACCACGGGATTTGTCATGCCAATCTCTAGAGGGCATTCTCTCTTTTGCTTTACAGTGTGCAGATGCAGGGGTGGAAGGACGGCGTCGGACCCGGGATAGCGAGCATTCATGGTATATCGCTTATCTAGTTTTGATTGTCACAACAGAAGGAAATCGTCTATCCAAATGGAACCCAAGACGATTGAAATAATAGGTTATCACATCGTATCAAGCAGCCCAGGGACGAGCGGATCGAAACAGAATCCGTACGTTGCAGGTGCATAAGAAGTAGGGCCTGCAGGGGCAATCCAAGTGCACGAAACGAAATGAAAGCGCCAGGGCACACTCAGCCAGCCAGCTAATCCGTTAACCTAAAAAATGCTATAGAATTTCTTCGAAAGCTCCTGGAACCGCTCGTCGGGTTCCCCGTGTCTGTGGGCAGACTCTTTGTACAGCTCCTCCAGCTCCTTATACACATGCAGAAGCTTGAGGCCCTCCTCCGCAGCTTCGATATACTCCCCCTTCAACTCTTGGAACAACTCGTGGTGGACCCGGCAACAGTGCTTCAGTGTCTCGCTCTCCCTCATCTGCTCCTGCAACTGCAATGTGAGCGCCTGATTGCGAGACTCCAGCTCCTGGACCTTTTCCTCGGTGGAGGTTCCATTCTCGGCTTCGAATTCCGTCGCGGCTTCACTCGTGGTTTCTGCTCCGGTGGCAGGCGCATTTTCATTCGCGCTAGAGTTCCCAGGGCCTTCAACTTCGTTTGACGGTACGTCATCTCCAGGAATAGTTGCATTTGCGGCCTTGATCTCGGTGTTTGTCTTTGCCTTGCCTATGTCTAGAAGCTCGTCGACGGCATCGTTGCGCTTGCCGGACAGGATCCACTGGGAGAGGGCAAAGAGAAGCTCGCACTTCTTGATGGAGATGTAGGTTTCCACGCGCGCCGTGAGGTCTGCGGAGACTTCACCCGTTGTTGCACTCGGGTCGAAGATCTTAGGAATAGATGGGCCTTGGGATTCGGTTTGAGAAGCAGGAGTGGAGAGATTGTCTATTGTAGCAGAGGTCAGAACGGAGGTTTCTTTTGCAGGCGGAGTACGAGCGGCGGAATGGGTGGTTTACGGGTAATATCTTGCGCGATGTCAGATGGGGAGGTCTTGATTAACTTACCCTGATAGTTCCCTATCTTCTTGAGACGCTCCAGAATTTCGTGTTCACGGCTATCGGAGGATGGCGCAGGAGATGCAGAAGCTGTGGTTGAGGCCTTGGGTTCGTTTTGTTGCCCTTTCGAGGCACGTTTTGCTGAGCGCTTGGGACGTTTTCCGCGCGCCATGGGTGTTGACTAAATACCAATACAAGGTTCTGGATGGTATTCTGAAGATAGAGATCGGTAGACAAAAGAAGGAAAGAAAAATAAAGTGGGGAAGAGGAAGAATAAATAAGGAGACGGCGGAGAGGGTCAAAGGAAGCAGTGAATGGTGAGGTGAGTGACACCGTTTGGCACCTCTGGCAGCTTGGTGCTATTGCATCACAAGCCTTCACTGGCTCAATCTGTATCTGGTGTGGTCAGATTAAGCTCTGCCTATAGGAGCTCGATGCCCGGTAGAGAGCGAATATGCTCTGCACAGGCCACGGTGCATCTCTTCATGATGTTAGGGCTCAAAGCATCTCTTGATGGAACATGCTTTGCGCCATCTTTGCAAACAGGAGCCACGGCATCCCCTTCACAAGTACTACTCCTGGCTGGCAATTCGCTCTCCATCCACCACTCCTTTACCTGCGTTCATCTCCCGGATGTACTCGCGCAGCCTCGCGGTGTTCTAACCTCGTTTCCCTCTGATGCAGCGATGGTCTCGCTGCGCTTGGAATTCTCGAGCAGTCCCCCTCGTAGAGGCAAGGCCGTCGGTGCCAATCAAACTGTTTGCCCAGCTGCCGCCACTGCATATGTGAAATATCCCTATGCCACTTAGCTCATCGAGGGCTAATCACGGGGCCTTGACTAGGCCGTGAGACTCTTTTCTTGTAAGTACTTTTGCTCCTCGATTTGCCGCAACTGGAGCTCGAGCAATAGAGCAAAGCATCGCCAGGGATCTCTCGGAACCAGACGGCGACAATCGATGCAATATGGAGCCTGGAAGACGCGGTAACCACGATGCACTGTACAGACAGCAGGCGACCCAGACGAATTGAAGAGAGACCAACAAAAGAATTCTTTAAGCAAGAGAAAATGTCTCCCACAAGCAGGCCCATACGGAGGCGCGCCCGCGCATATAGGAGCTGCCTCTCCAACCGACAGGAGCGACTGGCATGGTACCCACCTAAGCATTATCCCCAGCCCGTTCACGATACTGCCTCCCAGCAGAAGCTCGATACCTGTCGGCCGAGCGCTCGCGAAAGACCTTCCCCCAGCGAATAAACACGCCAAAGCCAGACAGAATCACGCACGCGATAAGCAATATCGTGACGAGGACATACTTGAGGCCTATTGCGTCTTCCCAGGGCGTCAGCGCGAAGATGAAGGCCGTGCTGAAGGCGTTGCGGATGAGCGTTACGGCCACAAGAGCGGGACCAATTATCTATGTGCGTAAGATTACAAGGTTAGTTTATTGTCGACTCTATTGAATGGATGGTGCGCTCACTCACCTCCCTATAAGAGTCCGTCAGGTACGTAACGACAAGACTGTTGATGGGTGTAACGCCGATATTATACAGCGCCAGTCCGACCGCGATGATTATCCATGGGAGGCCTCTATCTAAGCCAATCCCGAACAAAAGGGCTCCTACTGGAATGAACGGGAGGAATGGTATGACGCACCAGAGGCGGCACTCGGGCTCGTAGACTCCGTTCCGCCGGCGCGAGATGTATATGATCCACCAGTCGCTCAGGGGTCCTGTGATAAGCGCGCCGATTGTCACGCCGATCATGCGCGGGAGGTGCATGAGACCGACTTGGTCTGAGGTGAAGTTGTAGGGGCTTGAGGGCAGGAATGTGGACATTGTCGTTGACATGACGTCGCCGAGGCCGACGAGGATGCCGTAGACGAGGGCAGCAAAGGTTATTGCTGGGATTGTTGCTAGGAGGAAAAGAGGCTGGTATGTATACTGGAGGAAGGAAAAGCTGGACTCCGTGTCAGAGGATGTGGGAGTTGTCAAGGCGAGCCTTTGCCAGTATGTTTTCTTCGGGATGGTTGGATTTATAGCCAAGGGCGTAGCTTCGAGTGCGGGAACAGAGGCAATCTCAATATCATTGTCATCTTTCGTCTTGTCGACCACTTTCCCATTTGCCAACGTATCGCTGACTTTGCTTGCTTCGCTGATATCAGGCACAGGCACAGATTCCAGGGCCTCCGCTCGGGGGGAGTATTTGGTCTCCTCATAACCAAACGCAACAACCAGCACCGCAACCCCAAAGACAACCACATTCCACCACCAAACCCACCTCCAGCCCTGTCCCTTGGCCACAAAGCCTGCAATCAACGGTCCCAAATACGTAGCAAACAGCCAGACCCAGACGTAGATCGTATTCATCCTCCCGCGCTGATGCACGAAAAAGACATCCGCAATCGTCATCTGAACAACGGTCTCCGCCAAGCTCGCAAAGAAGCATTGTATGACATTGACCAGCATCAAGTCGGTCACCGTCTGCATCTTAGCAGACCAGACGCTCACTGCCAGTTGGATTACCGTGCATATCAGGTACAATGGCCGGCGCCCGAACTTGAGTACGAACGGGATGAGCACGAGGGATCCAACGCCCAATGCAGCGCAGCCGGCCGCGTAGCTATCGTTCAGTACCTCGTCGGTATATCCGAGCTCTTCTTGCATGGGTGACCATGTTGGCGTGGGCGCATTAATGAATTCGGCGACTAGGGCGACCCAGAAGCAGACGAGGCCTAGGTTAAGGTACTTTCGCCAGGTAGGCCAGTTGAGGGGGTCGTTTGGGTCGTTTGTCGGCCGGGGTTGGAGAATGAAGCTGTTTCCCGAGGCTGTCTTCTCTTCAAGGAGGACTGTGCCTGGAGGCCACATAGTACTGTTTACACCAGAGTCAGAGGAGGGCATTGTGATCATTCACGGACGAAAGAGCTGGAGGGGCGGAGTGACAGGCCAGCGTCAGCTCGACTTTATATCATTGCGATAATGGCCCGAGGTTGGAACTCCCCAATTGGCTGTAGTTTCAGCCATATCTTTGAAGTGATACGCAGCCAGTAGCTTATTTGCCCAAGCCTTGAAGCTTGTATCTAAGCAGCGTAGATATCAATGCGCTGGGCTTGGAGTAGTATAGAGCAGGCGAGTACTCCAACTGATAAGGCCGTTGTTCGGCAGAAGCCGCCAACTGAGGGGCCTGCATACCTTCTCCCTGCCGATCCGCCAATCGTGCAAGCAGGATCTGCTATAATCAAGTGCAACACCTCAAGTTGGAGTATACGCTATCGAAGAGGACAGGAGTGGGTAGAGATTGGAGACTAGATCTCATGGCGTGCTCCGTGGTGGGGTCACCGTCCCCAACTCTCTTTATAAGCGTCTTCGTCCTTGACCGTAGCATCCAGCCAGCGACAAAGCGTTTGGTGATCAGAAACAACCATGGCGAAACCTGCAATCTCAAGCGTCAAAGAGTCGCCGCCCGGAAATTCCGCGCACCCTACGCGCTTCGGGTTCCCGAAGGAGGGTCAGTATTCAATATCGTACTGGCTCCAAGGCGTGCAGAATAATCCTCTGCTCACTCACCGTACGACACCGGAGCTTCCGTCCTCGGCGGATATCGTGATTATCGGGTCTGGTGTATGTGCCCGCAGCAAGTCGCTTTTCAAACTTCTAGGGACGTTGGCTAACCTACAACAGATGACCGGGACACTGGCAGCAAAGCACTGCAAGGAAGCATGGCCTGAAAAGAGCGTAGTGATGCTTGAAGCACGCGAGTTCTGCTCAGGTGCCACTGGTCGGAATGCCGGACACTGTAAGCCAGACCAATGGCGCGGGTTCAGCGAGTACGAGAAGAAATTTGGGGCTGAGCAGGCCCTTAAGGTAGGAAAGATTCATCGTGCCTCATATGAGACTTGCTGAACTTTCCAGATTCTTGACAACGAGCAGCAGACTTGGTTGGCCTTGGTTGAGTACGTACGGCAGAACAACGTCGACTGTGATCTCTGGGTTGGCGATACACTGGACGTGCCGACGACTCCAGAGGTCGCAGATCTTGCAAAGAAGAATTTCGAACGCTTCAGGGCAGCCGGAGGAAAGGTTGACCATATAAAGGTCACGCACGATCCAGAGGAAGCGTCGAAGGTTAGTACCATCGGACGGCTCTGGGCATCGCTAACGGCATCTGCATAGATATCTCACATCAAAGACGCTCAGGCATGTTATGCCTGGTCTGCATCAACCCTCTACCCATGGAAGCTTACCGCCCATATCATGCGCGAAAACCTGAAAAAAGGTATCAATCTCCAGACACGCACAACAGTCACACAAGTCACTGGATCTTCAATATCGCCCGGTAAATGGATCGTGAAGAGCGACCGCGGCGACATTGAGTGCACCCAGGTCATCCACGCAACAAACGCGTACAGCTCAGCGCTCGAACCATCTTTACGTGGCCTCATCTATCCCTCGCCTCATATGTGCAACCGAATTGTGCCACCCGTAGCATTTGAAGGATCCGAGGGCCTCACCAACTCCTACGGTGTCCTCCTCCCAGACGGATGCATGTTTAGCATCAATCCGCGGTGCACGACAGAGCGCTCAATCCTCTTCGGGGGCAGTAATCCCGGCCAGCCTGAGTTTGAGAAATGGCTCGAAGCGCACCCGGAGAGGGGGATAGACGATAGCATGCTGGGATTCAAGGCCATAACCGAGGCGGTGCAGACATTTGCGGAGTCTCAGATCATTGGATGGAAGGCAGAGTTCAACAACGATGGCTGGAGTGGTATCATTGGGCGGGTAGGTGTCTTTACTCCAGATACAGCCAGAAGCTAACTGTGGATAGAGTGTCGACGGGGTGCCTTGGGTTGGAGAGTTGCCTGGGCTGCCGGGGCAATGGCTTTGCGCTGGCCACAATGGACAGTACGTTCACCACATTCTATCCAGTTTGAGTTGCTAACAAGAGCAGTGGAATGGCACGCATCTTTACAGCAGCACCTGGGTTAGTCAAGCTCATGGGAGGGAGTTCATGGGCAGAAACACAGCTGCCAGACGTGTACCAGATCACTCCATCACGGGTGCAGCAACTGAAGAAGATTATTGAGGATGGGGAGATTCAATCTCGTCTTTAGGTCAAGGTGAGCTTGAAGATAGAAGCGGATTAGAATTAAAAGAGAGGAGAGGTGGCCGCCAGGCTTAGACCAGGACGCTTGTGCATGATGATTCAGCTGCATAGGGTTTTGCATTGCTCTCTGCATAAATGTACTGTACTTGACTCCATAAACATCTATGCGGCAGGACTACTGTATGACTGCATTACATCGAAACTATCTCTTATTTATCGAGTGTACAGAACGAATGTACACATGCCTATCTTGGAGCCGTCGCATCGAGATAGTAAAGCAAAGACGGCCTCCTCATATCGACTTGGATTTGTTGGTGGCCTTAGCTGAGCACTCCAGCATCAGTCCATGGCAGTCGTCACAATTCACACAGAGGACTCAACGCGCTCCAGACTCTCCGGACATACGCACTTGTCTACGAATTTGAAACCATTCAATGTGCCGAATCCCGAGAATGCTACTGCCTGTACAGCAGGAACTCTGCCCTACGGATGGAGACGTCTGCACTGCAATCCAATGGCACAACGTGCTGCCCCGCTCTCTTCTGCGGCGCCAATGACATCCAAAGAATCTGTAGGCATCAGCCAGCCCTGGCGAACGCCCCGTTGATCCCGATCTCCAACGGTGAGAAATCTCGGGGCTTCCTTTCTTCTTCTTAACCTTAACCTTGTCTTGTCTTCAGTTGTGGTGATACCTCTGCTGTCTCTTGGTTTGGTTTTGTTGTGCACTGTGTAGCAGTCCAGCCGAGGCATCTCCGCACTGTAAGCAGCACCTGAGCCTCAACGATATATGGATTGATTAGATCATCGCCAATACCTATACCAGCACCGCATACCTATAGTATCAGACGAATTGATGTACTACCACCACCCGCCACCCCCTGGCCCTCCCCCGCCTCCTCGCCCGTCGAGTTGGAACGGCCAGCACTGGGGGCCTCCGCCGCAATCATACAGGTACGCACCGTCATCAAATTCCTTGAATATCTCACTGATCATACCACAGTCCCCAATATGCACCCCCCGCATACCCCCCGCCAAACCACCACTACTCTCAATCTCAGCCGCAATATCAGTACCCCCCACCAACATCAAGCTACTCGCCAACGCCCTACTCGCCCCGAGACCCCCGATACAGCTCCCCAGCCCACTCCCCCTACGGCACCCCGCCGCTCCCTCCCCGCCCACCATCCGAGTCCTCCAGTTTCCGCTCATACCCAGGTCCGCCACCCCTCAAAACCCAAAGTCCCAAACACCCTTACTAACCCCTCCCCCCCAGCCTCCCCATCCCCCTGGGGCCCGGGCGCAAACAACAACCCGCCTCGCCCCCCAAGCGGCACGCAGCCCTTCGGGCACGGCGCGCCGTCGTCCTACCGCTTCCAGTACAGCGCCTGCACAGGGCGCCGGCGCGCGCTCCTCATCGGGATCAACTACTTCGGGCAGCCGAACCAGCTGCAGGGGTGCATCAACGACGTGACGAACGTGAGCACGTTCCTGGCGGAGCGGCACGGGTATCGACGCGAGGACATGGTGATTCTCACGGACGACCAGAAGAATCCGAAGAGTGTGCCGACGAAGGCGAACATCTTGCGCGCGATGCAGTGGCTTGTTAGCGGGGCGGTGGCGAATGATAGTTTGTTTATTCATTTCTCGGGTGTGTTTCTTTCTTCTAGGCTAGGTTGAGAGGATGAGGGTGATGAGGCTAACGGGTCTAGGGCATGGCGGGCGCACGCCGGATCTGGATGGGGATGAGGATGATGGTGAGTTGGGCTCTCTGCTATTCTGCTGGGTTTCATATGGTGTTGACGGTGCAGGCTTCGACGATGTCATATACCCCGTGGACTACCGGGTCGCCGGGCATATTGTTGACGACGAGATGCACGATATCATGTCCGTCGCTTTTCTCCTCTACAATTACAACATCTAACACCTGTAACAGGATCCGACCACTCCAACCGGGTGTACGCCTCACAGCCATCTTCGACTCCTGCCACTCCGGCACAGCGCTTGACCTTCCCTACGTCTACTCAACCCAGGTCTGCCCAGGTGCCTAACCCACCGTTAAGCAGCACTAACATGACCACGGACAGGGCATCCTGAAAGAACCCAATCTTGCCAAAGAAGCCGCATCCGACCTATTTTCCGCAATAACCTCCTACGGCCGCGGCGACCTCAGCGGCGTCGCGCAAACAGCGATCGGGTTCTTCAAAAAGGCCGCGATAGGCGATTCCGCACGGCGCCGGACAGTGCGCACGAAGACATCGCCAGCGGATGTGGTGATGTTTTCGGGGTCAAAGGATACGCAGACTTCGTACGGTCATCTCCATATCTATGTCCTTGCGGGAAATGACGGCTAATGTAGACAATGTAGAGCCGACACGTTCCAGGACGGCGAAGCGCGCGGGGCCCTAAGCTGGGCGTTCATCAAGGTGCTGCAGCGGTACCCGCAGCTGAGCTATGTGCAGCTGCTGAATCTGATCCGGGCGGAGCTGGAGGGCAAGTATACGCAGAAGCCGCAGCTGAGTTGTAGTCATCCGTTAGGTGGGTTTCTCTTGTTGCTTTTTGGCACGATGAGGCTGGAGCGGTCGACTAACGGGTCTGGTCCCATAGATACCAATTTGTTGTTCGTGATGTGAGGGTAATAGGACGCGCGTGCTGAGCGTGGCTTCGAGTGTTGGTTAGACTTGGATTTGGGCTTGAAGCCGCGTCGACCGAGGCTCTGCAAGTATTGGCTCATTCGGTCCGGATTATTCGAGAATACGTATGTGCCATTGCGCGGCCAACGGGCATGATCCATGGCCACCCCATAAGCCTCATCCCAGTCGATGAGATCGAGGCTCAAGACTTTGCTGTCGGAAAGGCCGATGCAGGACGAAGATGGGTACAACTGTCAGCTTCACTGCGGTTTTTCTGCCGAGGGGCGAAATCATTTTTATACCTGGTGTCAGATTAGCACGCCCCGGTACATCTTATTTTGGTCCTGTCGCATAGCCATCCATCCATCCATAGAAATGATTTTATCTCCAAGGCCAATTGCCTTTCTTCCCGTCGATTTCCCCGTGCAAGAATGATTCGTCCACGAGTCCTTCTAGAATAACACAAACAATCCATGGAACACCGTTTGAGAAACCTGGGAACGCCGGATCTGACTCGGAAATCTCGCCCCGGCCTGGCAGACGGGCTCGGCCATCGCAGTCGAACCCGTGGGCGAACTGGCTGGAACCACGGACCGTGGACGTCGCACAGCAGCGACCCAGGGCCCATGCACAAACCATCAATATTGCCAACAAGACAGCGGATAAGCCGATCCTTGCGTTTTGTCCATTGCAGCTCGCACTACTTCGTGGAGGTAACGGCTCCGAGTAGTGCAAATTGCAATGTTTACCTAGTTGTGACGTCAGGTAGAAAAGGAGGCGCCGTTGATCGGTCGATCATAACTTCTCTTGACTCGTGGCGGATGGAGAATACGGGGTTCTCCAAAGGGTTCAAGGTTCATACGAACTTACGAAGTAATCTCATTCTCAGGGCGTTCAAAAACAGGGACGAAATGGACCGAGCTGTAGCAGCAGCAACACAGCACGGTGTCCATGAGGTGGCACTATTGCCGTCACATCATGCGATCTGGAGTGTTAGTGAGCCAGGCACCTGCAGTGGTACTCGGTGAGGTGAAGCCGACCCGAAGAACCAGACTGGTTTAGATTTTAGAATGGGCGAAAAGCACGTAGGACGGCCAGCGCATCTCTGCAATACTGTAATGCGGAGAGACCGAGAGGGCAGAGAACTGGTGAGTTAACCCTCCGATATAGGACAGGCTGATCAGCCGTACAGGCCGCAGGCGCGATTATGTACCCCGTATCCCCGTCGCAGCATAAACCTGGAGTACGGAGTATACAGTATACTCCGTCGCAAGTTTCACTGTAGACTGTCACTGTCAGCGTCTCAGTCGGCCTCCGGATTCGGAACGTGTAAGCGATGCGCCGACGGCTGGCCTCAGCGCGAATCTCAGACATTCCTGGGCAAAGAGGCCAATAAGGGGCCGCTGCTGGGCACGCACTGGTTTCTTACTCCGTAGATTCCGGAAAGCCGAGCGAGATGAGACGATTGCGAGGAAAATGACGGGAGATGAGCTCTGGGTGGGGGGTCAGGGAGTCGTGGGCGTTTATAAATATAGGCAGCAGGCCGCTGGTGCTTCTCCACAGTCTAAATCTCTGCTGGGACGCCACGCTCGCTGGCAGTGGCCCTTGGCAGTGCTTTTCTTTTTTTGGATCGGACAGGGGTAGGTACAGAATGCGTGAAGATGCTGTTTGCTGTCTTCAAAAGCGTCATAATAATGGAATGTAGAAGAATGGAAGAATGCTGACACCGGTCGCTGCTCAGGCTCAGGCTCAGGCTCAGTGTCAGTGCTGCCGTTGGCGACTCCGCCGGTTCCGCTGTGGTTCCACGCTCGCACTCGTCGAGTATACGCCGGGACATACGTATGCCGTGCGTTAGCTACCCTCTTAACTCGACTACGTTTGATGTTTATACGGGCAGATGGTCGGCCGATGCTCAGCCGCGTCATTTTCATGGTGGCATTGCTCTTGCGATGCGAGTCAGACTCAGACACTGCCAGACACCGTTGAGGACCGCTGAGACAGTGTCTTCCAACTTGGCATGAGGCAAATTCTGCATCGGGAGACACACTGTAGACTAGGCTGTAGCAGCTCCGATGGCTGGCCAGAGTAGGATCTGTAGACTCAAGAGGCAAGAGACATCATCTGTACGAGCAGATCATCTGTACTCCGTATTCCATGCAAGGCGAACCGAGATCCCTCACGCAGGCCCGCCAGTGAGGACTGCGCACTGGGGACGGACTGGCTGGATGGAATCGCAAGTTCCACACCCTCCCCTTGGTCCTGTTTTCCTTTCTTTTCCCTCGTCCAATGCTATAATTAATTTGTATCCCCCGGCGATCCCCTGCTGCTGCTCTGCCACTTTCCGTCAGTGCTGCGCGTTGACCTTCATACTCCTGCACATACACTCTCTACGCTCTACGAGTCTACATATAATCACCATAGACATACACATACATACATACATGCCGTTATAGCAACAACCAGCAGAGAACCTTGGAAAATGCTCCCCTCAGCCGAGTCCAACTCCAGCCAGTCCTCCTTCGACAGTCCCATCAGCCAATTCCCTCCGCAGCAACATGCCTGGTACCCAGTGCCCGTCCCCCGACGCAGAGAGCTCCCCAAGTTCCCACGCTTCTACTCAACGCCCCTAAACCAAGACCACCCGGACTCAACACCCCTGCAAATCTACGGCCTCGAAGAGCGCGAGCCCTCCATCGCCGAACGCCCCCGCCGCTTCCTCCGCTTCTCCCGCGCCCTCGACGACATCAAAGAAGACTTCATCTCCCAGCCCAACCCCCGCAACACCGCCGAGGCCATCCGCGCCCGCCGCCAGTCCACCTTCTCCTCCTTCTTCTTCGACAACAACTCAAACCCGACCCTAAGCCTCAGCAGCAGCAGCGCCGGCCCAGCCTCCGCGTCCGCAAGCGTCTTCCACTCCTCGGGCGCTAGCGTCGCCTCCGGCTCAATCAGCCCGGATAGCGACGGTGCTAGCTCTGCCCGCCCGTTTCCCCCGCCGCCGCCAATCCCCGAGGACGAGACCGACTTGACACGCCGCCCGACGCTGGGGAGACGCTTGAGCCGCCGCCTCTCGCGCCTGAGCTTTTCGCAGCGGAGGGCCAGCTACCGCGCTGGGGGCGCCAGTATCTCCCAGCCGAATCTCATCGGGAGCAGTGCCCAGATCTAGCCGGAGCTGGAGGCCAGCTTAACTCCAACTCCAGACCTGACCTGACTCCCTGAGCCTGACTTATGCAGGGGTGCTGACTCCCCTGCATCGGGCATCCAGATTGACTGACGGACTCAAGCAAACAACAATACGTCGACAAAACCAGGCGGCCAATTTCCATTATTGTGATATACTCTACCAACATGAAACTGACATGTCATGCCTTGTCCACTCTACTTTCGACACAACCAACCACTCACCGATAATCAGCAGCGCACGCCCGCCACCATAATACCTATCCATCCCTCTCGAGTCGGGCATCCATTCTCGTCCGCTCCTTGCGCTCCCTACTCTCACCATTCCATATCTTCCGTCATCAAAAGCACTGCGCATTTCTCGTCCTCACTCCTGTCCTTGCTCCGGCCATTCCATTATCTCTTACCTCGCGATTTAGCTGCATCTCTGGCGTTGGCATTTCCGGCTTATTGGCTTTTTTCCTTTCCATTTTCAGGACCTACCAGCTCATTCTCCCTCACCAAGGTCCCCCCTCCTCCCTTCCTTTTTCCTTTTTCCATATCTTCTCTATATTGTTATTCATCTGTCACGCATCATACCTACATAATGGCTGATTTGATTTGGGTTTGATCTGAGTGGATTCGTATCATTGTACATACACAACATCCATCCGACTTCACAATGCACATTGCGTCGGTGGACCTTTTTCTTTTCTGCTATTTGCCTGCTTTGTTTTCATGTACAGCTGGGTTAGGTTCATACTAGACGTTTTTTGCGTTCGGTCACCTGCAATGAGATTGAATTTTCCAGGGTTTGATGTCGATGATGACCATGGTTCGCCTCGAACGTTGCTCCGTGTTTTCCCGGTACTTCCCACCGTCTTATCATGATTCATGAGGGTCTCCGGCAGAGTCCGCCCGCGATCAATCGTTGCCTCGCTGATATCCAAAACCTCTCTGCTTGCGTTCAGGCTCGACGGTCATTAGTACCATACTTTTTACTTTGCATGCGGAAATGGGCAGAGATGCGTAAGGCGCCATGATGATTGGGATCATCTTAAAGAGATACTCGATGCCCTCGGCTCGGCGAACAATCCATCATGGAACGTCTTTGTTCATGCTGCAGGCCCAAACATCTTTGAGACGGACTAGCATTGAAGAGAGGATTTTCTTCAGGTTTTGTTATGCTCTGTCTTTGTTAGTCTATCTATAGACGAGCTCTAATGGTAGGTAGATCTACACACAGAAACTACTTCGCACAAAGTCAGTTTCAATCTAAAAGGCACCTGTTACTCTGTGCTGAATTGAAAACTATAACCTCAGGTGCACTGGTTACCATATATGGCGTAGGGTCTTCAGGCGAAATTTGGTGTATATTAGAATAGAGTAGGACAAGATAGGACCTCAGAGATATAGGTGTATCAAGAGCTTTATGGCGACTCTGTTCTTTGATGAACGCGCCTGTTCCCTGCCGTGTCTAGGTGCTTGAATCCTGTAGACTAGATAGCTTCGAGATGCCCGAGACAAAAAGCGATGACGCCAGAGAGATAATAATAGCCGGCTGGAAAACGAAAACGAAAACGAAATGGCAAATATAGGTATAATGAGACGTTTCTATCGTGAAAACTCCGGACTCCCTTCCCCGGATTGAAGAGATCGACATGGCCAGTGAGCCAGCCGGCCCATTCAAACCCCGCACAGTAAAACATGCACGGGGTCAATGTAGCCTTGCAGAGTGTACCCGTATGGAGTAGGTAAAGCCGACCTCCTTCTGGAAAATTGAACCCGATCCAATCCGCTCCAGCCAGACCAGCTGTAGATTCTGATACGGACGGCGTTTATAACGAAACCCCCTCGAGGTCCCTCGTCACGATGGCTACCTGCGCTCGTTTCGCAGCCTCGGCGACTAGGCTAAAGTCTCGCAGGAAGGGTGCTGTCGCCGTGGGACCGCCATTGCCGCTTATTTGATGTGGATAGTGCGTCGGATGTGACTGTGACTGCGCCTGCGCCGTCTGCGTGGTGCCTTGAGCGGCTGCGAATTGTTGCGGCTGGCTACTTGCCGGTTGCGGCTGGCTCTGAGTTTGCATCTGGTTTTGGGTTGCGGTAGGGGTGCCGAGGGTATTCGACGTCGAGGGCTGGGGATTCGAGGAAAATGCGAGGGTTGTAACGGTTGTGTTGTTCATGGTGTAGGTGCGTAGGCTGGGATGTGAGGGTTGAAGCCGGGGTCGTCTGGAGGTGATCGTAGGTAAGGGTTCGTGGAAATCGGGTGGTTGAGGAGGCTGGCCTGGAGACGGAGGTGCGGGACGAGGAGGGAGTCGTGGAGGTGACGGAGATGACTGCTCAGTGCTGACTCGGAGACGAAGTTGAAGTGAGGCGTGGGATACAAAGCAGCGAAGAAAGAGAAAAGAGAGGGTGGGTTGATCAAAGGCTCGATACGAGTAATGGGATCCACGTGGGGCGCAGGCCGGGTATACCGCGGTATGACGTTCGGCACCCTGGCCAATTTTCTCCGAGTCCAGTGGTCAGTCAATCTAATGCGATGATGATGATAAGATGCCACTATGGGGTCGAGAGTTTGTGCAAACCCGGGAACTAGCAGAGGTAGAGTGAGTTGCCGCGGCGTTGATGCAAGATTAGGGGTTTGGCTCGTGAGATTCCAAACGCTGCACTGATCGACGGGCTGATTTTCCTCCAATCCAATCCGGTGCTGCCCCAGCGTTCGTGCTCAGCTGCAGTTGATACTTGAGGCGCTCAAAGTCCGGTTCAAGAGCAAGACTCGGAATATTGTCAATTCCAGACTTCACTAATCCATGATCAATCAGCCGCTTTGAATCGCCGGGCAGGTTCCGATGTTTCGGAGCCCATTCGACCGGCGCTATCAGCCTTGATGTTCTGTTCAGTGCATTGAATCCACCCAATCCAACTTACTCGATAACCCACGACCCGTGCGAGGCTGAAGGGCAACGGCCATACGACAATTATTCGCTGACGTAAATCCACAATGGCTAGGAAGAACTCTCTAAGCGACGGGATTACGGAGTATTCGGCTCTTCCGCGCTTTCTGAAACGGACAAATTTCGGCCGTGACTCTGGGATCTGGGGAAGTGCACGTGATTTCATGATTTCGTATGAGGTGAAGGGTTCAAGAGTATCTTACCACTAGCCTACAGGGACGTAATCAAAGCCTCCACAAAGCTGCTAACTTCAAATAACTTGAAAGTACAAACATCAAGAAACAAGGTTCCTCTGGTGGGATTTACCCGCAAGCTCTACAGTTTTCTCTCATAGACTATAGAGGAACTTGTGACAGAGCTTGTAAGCTACATACAACCATCCACCCCACCACGTTGTAGCCTAGCCAGTGTAGCTTTTTATATGTTGCGATTGCTGCGCATACGGAGTCTATATCCTGGACCCACCTAGATATGGCTGATGAACGAGGGGCAGCCCCACTACGCGATGAGAATTCCTTGGACTTTGATCAATTCAATTGCATCGCCATATCTTGCTTGCAACTTTCTTCACGTTGGCCATCTGCGATACTTAGCTTGGCAATCACTTATTTGACCAAGCAGCTACACAATGGCAGACGATTTCGACACAGGGGACATGTTCCAGGACCCCGAGGGCTACTATCCGCCGGAGAAGGAGCCTTCGTTCGCAGAGCACAAGATGCTCTCGGGCCAGGTTGTCCGCGTGCGCCTGGTCGGCAGCCACCCTCTATATGTACCTATCACCCTTCAGCATCATGGTTTCGCGCGCTAACATCTCTATGGAGGGAAACATGCTCTGGAACGCCGGCCGCATAAGCTCAGAATACATCGAGACACACGCGCCCACACTCATCGCCGGAAAGGACGTCCTCGAGATCGGCGCCGCAGCTGGCGTGCCCAGCATTGTCAGCGCGATCATGGGCGCCCGCACCACCGTGATGACCGATTACCCCGATCCCGACCTCGTCGATAACATGCGCCAGAACGCCGAAGCCTCGGTGTCGATGATACCCACCAACCCGCCTTCCTCGCTTCATGTCACGGGCTACAAATGGGGGAGCGATGTTGAGCCGCTCAAGGCGTATATACCGGAAGATACGAGGGCGAGGGGGTTTGATGTGCTGATCATGGCGGATGTCGTGTATAGCCATCGCGAACACGGGAATCTGGTGAAGACGATGCAGGAGACGCTGAAGCGGGACAAGGACGCTGTTGCGTTGGTCATCTTCACACCCTATGAGCCGTGGCTCTTGCCGCAGACGGAGAGGTTCTTTCCTCTTGCCGAGCAGGGTGGTTTTACGGTAACAAAGGTGTTTGAGAAGTTGACGGAGAAGGTCTTGTTTGAGGATGATCCTGGGGTATGTGCTGCATGAGATCTCAAGAAAGATAATGCTGACAGGTTTTAGGACGAGAGGCTGCGAAGAACAGTCTTTGGTTACGAGCTACGATGGAAGGATGACCAGCTATGATAGACGTGATACCATATAGACTTGAATTGGGAGCTGGATAGACATCGCCAGAAAGATTGTTGATCCTCACTATCACTATCCGACTGTAACCTCTACACTTGCCGACGGGCCATCAGCCCTGGACAAACATAAGCCGCCACAGGATACGTTCAATATCTCAATGTCTGAGCAGCGGGTATAGGGATGACTATTATAAAACAAAAAAACTAGTCTCGCGGTCAGGGTCGAAAGAATCAGTATAGCAGCTAAAGGCGGTCAACACCAAACCCCCGCTCTCCCCGCGCCCGCGCAAAAATCACAGCAAAATACCATTGACCCCTCATCCCAATACATCATCGCCCACCATGCCAGTGCGTTTGATTCAATTCATACTTATTATTTTCAGAATGCTGATAGATTCTCGTTACACAGCTTATAATCCTAACCGGCTACCCCTGCTCGGGCCTAACCCATCGCGCACACCAACTCGCGAAAGGCCTGGAAGAAACGCAATCACAACTCTTCGCGAACGGGACAATCCCGCCCTCGAAATCAAAATACAAGATACACGTCGTATCGACGCACGACAATGTCAATTATCCGCGGACGGTATACGACACCGCGCGCACGGAGAAGGAGGCGCGCGGTCTTGCTTACACAAGGGCTAAACGCATGCTGGGAAGAGACAGCTTCGTGATTTTGGATGGGATGAACTATATCAAGGGGTATCGCTATCAGCTCTGGTGTGAGTCGAAAGCGCTGGGAACGACATGTTGCGTTGTATGTTCTCCTGCATTACCGGTTTCCTTACAATGGGGGATGATAGCTCATGATTGCTTGCTGGGTAGGTCCACGTTGGAACGCCAATTGATCAGTGTGTCGCGAACAACGAAGCGCGGATACAGAGGAAGAACGAAATGTCATCACAACCAACCGGCTCTACGAATGAGAACGAGAACCCGGCATCGGAATCGAACCCTTCCCCCGAACCCACGACCTCTCCTAAAACCATCGAAGAAAGCGACCCCTACCCGCCCGACCTCCTCAACAACCTCATCTTCCGCTACGAAGAACCCTCCATGCACAGCCGCTGGGATAAACCCCTCTTCACAGTCCCCTGGTCCGACGCGGAACCCCCAATCGCCGATATCTGGACCGCACTGACCGGCGTCGCGCACCCCGAAACCCTCGAGAAAGAAGATTCGGTCTCCGACCTCACAGCATCTCTCACCTCAACAACCATCTCCCCCTCCTCCGCCGCTAGCACAACGACCGCACGCACATCCCGAGGCGGCTTCTCGACCCGACCGCGCGCCGTGATAAAACCGCACCAGGCCACCGTCGCGCCCGCCGCAAGCGACTCCTCGGCGCTATATAACATGGAAAAGCGAACGTCGGCAATCGTCCAGGCAATCCGCTCTTTCACGCTCGCGAATCCCTCCGCGAAAGCGACGCTTGCGTCGTCCAAACAACAGCAACAACGCTCCTCCGCCGACGACGAAGACTTCAGCAGACAGGAAGAAGGAATCCGGATCCCCGTCCCGGAATCAACAACGCCCGTCTTCATACCCTCCCATATCGCCTCGGCCAGCGTAACAGATGATCTTGGTGCCGCGGGCGGAATCCTCGCGCTCCCGCGACTCCAACGATTGCGCAGGCAGTGGATTACGCTGAACAGGGCTTATATCGGGGCGCCGCATGCGGCGGGGAAGGGCGGGGGTGGATTGAAGGAGGCGGATATCGGGGATGCGTTTGTGAGGTTCCTGAATGCGGATTTTGGGGATGAGGTTGAGGAGCGCTAGGAGTCTAGTTTGGTTCTAGATGGATGGATAGATTAGGCGTTGACCTTGAACGACTGTAGCGGATCGTTTGGATCTTAGAAAAACGCATTCAAATTCAGAATCTGAAGAAGAGGAGCTTCTATTCATTTTATTCCATTGATGATAATGATAATCCGAAATAGGTACGGTAGAAGATGGCAAGTCCATCGAGTAAGTACACAAAAGCCGACACAGCCTAGAGGTGGAGGGCAGATCAACTGCATGCACCACCAAGTGCATCGCACAAAGATAGGAGAAACCCCCCCAAAAAAAGTCGAAATATTCACACAAAGTCTAACACGCGTATTGATAGAAGCTATAAAATCCCGAAATGAGTTCCTTCAATTCCGTCCTGTTTTGTCTGGTTGGTCGTTGTTGTTGTTGCTGTCGGTCGCGGACGCTCTCTGTCGTATACAAATCAATCAAATCCAAAAGAAATCAAACTCAAGCGAGCTCTTTTTTTGATGACTCTTTTGTTTTGTCTTTCCCTTGACGGGTAGCGGTGGCGAAAAGCAAAGAGAGAAAAACAAAAATCCACCCGAAGCTGGAAGAAAAACAAAATACAAATGTGATACAAAAAATCAAGCGCATGCGGAACATGGCGATGGCGCGGGGAAAAGGAGAAGAAAGAACAGAAGAAGAAGAAGAAGAAGAAGCGCGGGGCGCTAGAGCCCTGCTGGGGTTGCGGACTTCCACCTGCGATGAGGTCGGTTGTGGCCTGCCTTGGATAGCGGTCATGGCCAATTTAGTCCATTTGGGTGTCTACCGGTCGGGTGAGCATGGTATGCTTCCTATACGACCTGGGTCATGAAAATCCCTTGGAAATAGACACGGGTTGCAAATTCCGGGCAATGTGAAAAGAAATTCGTGGGCTGTTCCGTTCAGCATTCATGATGGGAGGCGCGGTGCTCCCGTAGCTGGTATTAGAAACGCTCCCATGCTCCATGGAAGAAGCAGTCCCGACGGGCGATCCTTGAGAAGGAAGAAGATGTTTTCAAAAGGGGCTGCAAGCTACAGTAATCATCTTGCGCTGCCTTTGCTGATTCAAGCGGGGATTCCATTCGCGATCTGGGCAACGGCCTGGCTGGCTTGGGCCTGGCGGTAGGTGATTCCAAGGGTAATGAGTTCTTGGAGACTGGCATTAACCTTGTCATGCATGGCGGAGTCCTGGGGGGTGATGCTGCCGAGCTGCTCAAGCAGGCGGCGGTGGCAGTTGAAGTAGTTCCGCTCAGCGGCCTGGATGTTCTGGCCGTGGTGGACGGTGGTCTGCTGGAGGGCCTTCAAGGGGTTGGTCTGGGACTGGGTGGAGCGAGTGCGCTTCATAGTCTGAGCACCGCTGACACCAGTGACTCTGCGCTTGCGTCCGGCAGTTTCCTTCTTCTTGGGCTGAGTAGTAGTGGGAGAAGCATCCGGAGAGCTGGGGCGCTCAGACGAGGCGTAGTCATGGACTCGCCTCATGTGGTCAAAGAGGTTCCAGCGGCGGGGGAAGCCGTATCCGGGAATGGATCGATCACATCCTTCAAAAAGGCAAAGATGGGGGTTGTCTCCGTGGCCGTGGAGGCCATGGGCTTCGCGCTCATGACGGAACAGGCATGCATTGGAAGAGAAATGGAGTTGGGCATCCATGCAGGTTGGGACACGGCAGCGGTAGGGCTTCAGGTGGGAATCCAAGTATTTGCTGTTTTGGTCAGTCTAGTTCCAGCTGTCTTGGGTTGTGTGGAACTCACTGGTAAGCACACTTCTGAGTGGTAGCTTGGTGGTTGCAAGCCTTGTCTCCAGTGGCAAATGGGCAGTAGTACTTTCCATCGGCGTGGGGGGGGAGAGAGTAGAATGGGTGGTCACGCGGGTTGCGCGACTCACTGCCATCCTTTGACCTTGGTCTGAGTGGCTCCTTGACGGGAAGGGGTGGGAAAAACTCGGCATCCTGCTTAACCTGTGGCTGGGATGGGGACAACTGCAATGCTGGCCTACGCGCACTTTTTGACGGGCGGATAGTCCTGCTGCAGGTCAGACGATTGCTCGGGTAGTCATTGCTGCCGAAGTCAACTAACCTGTTGGGATCCTGTTCGTTGAGAGGTGGTGTCAGAGGGAAGATAGGGTCTCCTAGGTTGATTCCATGGGCTCCAACGGGGGTTGTTGTGATGTCTTTCAGCATGGCATCCTCGTGGGACATGAAAGCAGGGTATCCAGAGTGGGGGCACGAGGATGTAACGGCGAGGTCATTGCTCGCTTCCGTCAGTGGAGGAGAAACAGGCATGTTGAAAACATTGCCAGAGTAATGGTCCATGGATCCCTGGTTATATCGGTTGTCCGAGACAACGGTATTCCAGGCATCTCCGGCAGGAGAGCCGTGGTCGGGAGTGCAAGACGGGTGAGTGCCATTCTGGGCGTTGACATCATTTTCAAACGCAGAGAAATCAAAAAGGGAATTGTAAGGGTTGAAGTCCTGCTTGGAAAAATCTGGCTCGCCAACATCAGGAAGACCATGGAATTCGGAACCGGCCGAGTACATGATGTCGCTGGCGCCCACTCCGGAGTGGAGGAGAGCATGTTGTGATAATGAGAAAGAAAGCATCTGAACTGCGGGAGAATCAGGCTTGCTTGACGCAATGGAGTTGCTGTCAAGAGAATCCACATCATTCATCGACCACGGCTTGTCGCTGTGGGCTGTACTTGAACACAAGGAGAAGCTATCCTGGTTCAAAAGTTCATCATCCTGGGGTCTTGAGGCCATGTGTCCTGGGATATGCCTTGATTGGGAGTGGTCCATGTGAAGCATTGCTTGAGACAGAGAAAGGTGCTCTGGGTCGGTCTTGATGGTTGAGGCCATTGTGAGTTTGTGATCCAGCAGTGTGCTGGAGAAATGCAGTGACTAAAAGGAAGGTCGAGTCAGTAAATCTACATCTAAGAGTTGAAAACGTCAAGACAAAAGAAATCATGCGTCCAAGGAGCCTCCGAGATCCGAGTAAGGTTCCTGAATCAATGTTAGTTCACCTTCCAAAGGGCTTAAGCGCAAGGACACGAACCATTAGGGTGAAGTCACTAAGTGATCCTCGGTCGTCAGGTCAGATCGTCAAGGGGCGCAACAAGCTGGTCCATACGGGGCGAAATCATCCGGAGTCCTGGTTAAAGTCGACGGGAAGAAGAACAGATACAAGTCTGCATGCTGTCAGGGGATCCGAGGTCATGTCGAGTTACTCCTGCGAGTTGAAGGTCATTCCAAGGCTGAAACTGTCTCCTTACAGCTGAAAGTCCAACGGATTACGGTTCATTGTCTGGGTCAACCGGAGTGCAACAACATTAGATGCACGGTGAAGAATCCTTTTGTCGATGTCAGTGGTCAAGATACCACGTCAAGCAATCTCAGTAGTTTGAAATCCACGAAAAGGAGACATCTGGGTCATATTTTGGGCTTTTCAAGGTCCATGCAGGGTTCCAACTCCGGTCGGAGTCTAGTCCAGGCAATCATGTCAGGTCATCATCAAGTCATAGACCATGAGGCAGTCAGCGGTTCATCCAAGGCAAGGCAATGTCCAGTCCCCCACTCCAGGCTTGAAGTGGCAGGCGATAAAAATTCCAGAGGTAGAAAGAGACGGTCCTAAGTGTCGAAGCGAGTGTGCCAACATAAAACAACACTCGTAGTGTCCAGTCTCGCAGCGGCTGCCGCAGACATAGTGGTCATGGCCATGATTGTCATCATTATTCTAGGTAACCGCGAAGCGGCACCGTGAATTCCAGCAAGGGCAAAGGAGAGAAGTTCAAGAGATCCGCGGGATTGTTGCTAAGAGTTGTCGATACTGGTCCAGGAGTGATCCATTGGCAAGCGGCGCGCATGTTGCAAAGAAAAAAAAGCAGAAAACGATGGGAGTAAGAAATGATCGAGGGGACTACCTGTTATCTGTCGAACCGCTCAGACGAGAAGCCTGGGAGTAGAGAAATAGAAGAAACAGAAACAAAATCCTATCCAGGGCACGGATTGGAATCCAATGGGAATATGTCCGAGGCTTATGTGTATCCAGAAGATAGAGATCCACGGGCGAGACTGCTGAGAGAGAAGAAAACAAGACGGGAGTCCTTCAGAGCAGAGCAAGTGGAAGAAGATTTGACTGTGACAAATCTGTGCAGGATAGAGGGAGTGTGATGAGGAGGGTGTCAAGTGGTATTGATGAATCAATCAAGTCCTTGGAAGGCGGCAGCAAGGCACGGTGAGGTAAGAAGAGTCGATCAGATCCTGGTTGAGAAGGGAGTTGAGAGGAAAAGGAACAGTCGAGAAAGGAGGGGAGTTGGGCAGCCTTATAGCGGCAGAGGGCATGGGATGACGGAGGGGCAGGCACAGTGGGGGCAGCCTCACTTTGCTCACGTTCAGCGTCTTGCGGGCTTGACGTGGCCCCGAGAGCCAGAAGGAAGTCGAACGACTGGTTCAGAGGGAACGGCTCGTCCCGATTCAGTTTCCTTGGACGAGGGAGCGGTGAAGCGGCCATGCCCCTATTGGCGTGTGGTGATGCACTCGCAGCGCAAATGAGGCTAGCATGAAACTATGGATCATGGCCGGATCAGCCCTGAGCCAGTCAGCTCGCCCCGCTGGCCCTGTGATAACCGCCCGCTATTGACCTCCTTCATCCTCTGGCCCAGAGGCCATCCACGTCGACGCGCGGAACAAGGGACTGCAGGCTGGGATCTCACGGTCGAGATGTCACCGTGTCAGGGAGGCAGACCCCGCGCTGCAAGTCCATCGAGCAGCAAACCGGCAGATGTCAAGGCGCGCAAAAAAGTACGCCGCGGGAGCTGAATCCTGATGCATCGATTGATCGGTTTGATTAACTTACGAGTCCTGACTCCTGGGGGCCGCTCAAGAGAAGCACGGACAGGTTGGGCAGCAATGCGCCCGGAACGTTCACTAATTTGGAAGATTTCGGAGATTTCGACTCAGGAACCAAGATAAAATTCTTCATTTTCTACCACTGACAACTATCTGACAGACCTAGAGTTGCGTTCATTCGTCAGCTCATGGAACAAGCATCAAGCGAGCAGGGAAACAATGACGAAAGAGCAGTATCAGATAGATATGGTGATGGTACTGTTGTCGTTCATGAATTTTCAGGTGAACTATGCTTTATGGGTATGGTGCTCATCATAATAATGGAAACGGGGCCAGCGGCAATTTGCCAGCCTCACTTGGAAGTAGAATCAGGGTTTGCTTTGCTTACCTTGAGGAAAAGGAGATAATTGATCGCAAAAAGGAGGCTCGAGCAGCTGTCGGCTTTCATTCATCCGACTTCCAGCCTCGTTGAACAACAAAGCGTGGCGACACCGGCGTCAAGACAAGACCAATCGCTAGCTAGAGACCTTCAGCCTCGAGATATCGTCTCGTGAGTTGGCTTCAGTCTTCAGCTTGCGTTGAGTCTCATCATCAACGTTTGACGGTGAGGAAAGTTATCCGCCGTCGAAAAGCGGATTTTGTGGACGAAAAAGTGGAAGCGAGTCACGTGCACGACCGGGCCAGATGAAGGTGTGGCTGCAGTGTGGCTAGAGCCTCTAGCACCAGCCTCGAAAATGCACATCCGCGTTGTTGAGGTCAGGTAGCCGGCGGTATCCTATTAGCCAGCTTCTCGAGTTTGGTCAGAGGGGAGCCTAAAGACGAACTAAAGGCGTCGCCTGATGAGAGGTCCGGATACTGGAGACCTGCATCGAAATCTGTGATCTGCCCTGACTGTTCTCTTCCGCAGCCGTCCGCATCTACATCCGGCTCCTCGAATACGATGGGTTGCCCGTATATTATTCTCACGGGGGACGGCTGACTCTCCCCAGTCTGGTTCGTCCAGAGATTGTTCCGTTCTTGAGCCTGTGTCACTGAACGCCCGGCAGCCTGGTTGCCTCTGAGTTGCTGTAGGCCACGATGCGTTTGTGGTAGCCAACCAAATCGTGGAATGCTTGATTGTGGTGCTGGAGATCGCACTAGGTCTTCCATGCTCCGCTGGAATTGAATGCCAATTCGAGGTCTTGTCTGTGAAGACGAACCTAAAGAAGGAATCACGCAATTTTGAGGACTTCCTGCATGCCCTAACTGGCCATGCCAAAGCTGTGTAGTTGGCCTCTCCACCACCGGGGAGGAAACCACGAATTTCCCTTGGCTATCAGCGATTGCTTGTTCGTCGATTGTGAAGCGTCTCCGAACAGGTGACTCCGGTTGAGGAATAATCAGACTGCTCTCGTTGGATTGCCGCGGGTCCAGTACGCGTTCCTCTGGAACCCAGTCCATCGAGCCTGATAAATTTCTATGCAGGATCCCTTGGCCATCGGGTTGGCGGCCAGTCATTAAAGGGATCTCGGTTAGGTAGTCCAGCTGATGATCATTCGACAGCATTGACAGCCTGCTCGCACTTCTCGTGCTTCTGGATCTGCTGTTTCCATTCCGAGGTATGTTCTCTACATTCAATCTTAAATTCAGACCAGGTGAATCCCTATCCAGCAACATGGACTGCGAAGAAATGGCGCTAGGATGACTGTCTTGGTTCACCGCGGCATCCTGTTGACTTGGCATGGCATCTCGTTCACCTAAACGACGTCCATCAATCCTTATCTCCAAATTCTCCGGAACGTCCGCTTGAGCTCCAACGAAAGCTTCTCCGCGAGGTCTCGGCGGCACCGCGATCGACGTATTCAGTCTTTCATGATCATCCTTCGTAAGTCGTCGCCGTTTCCCAAACCTCTCAAGATCTTCCTGCGGCGTGAAAGCCACTTGGACCGGCCGCGCCGCACCCACCGCACCCCAGTCCGCTGTTTCGAGCAGTTGACGCTTGATCCGCTCCAAACGATCTGGTGGCTTGGAGTCGGTGCCATTATTGGATGTTGGTTGAGATGGTAAAGGGAGATTCTCGGTTGTTTTATTCCTGCTCTGTGAGTGAACCAGTCAGATTGCTGTATCTTGCAGGCGGGTAGGTAGGCTTTCTAACGTCCAATCCTGGAATAGCTGTAGTACCGTTATCATCCAACCCACTCTTCTCATCCCCACCTCGGTGCCTGATAATATTATTGAAGAGACTGATCTGATGAGGCCCGCGGTCTTTGCTGGCAGCGCTCGTCTTTCCAAATGTCTGTTTGCGGGATTTGGCATTGATCTCGGAGTGGCGGCGAAGTCGCCCTCCTGTCCAATTCATGGCGATATGTGAGTTACACTTCTGTTTGTGGGTCGGACTCGTGTTTCTGAGGAATTGCTGTTGCAGCGTGGTGGATGGCTAGTGACGGAGAGGGGAATTGCTTCGTCATGTGATGGGTTAACAAGGTCGAGGAAGGCCTCATCTAGTACCAATCGAGTTTGATTGGGCAAAGCTTCCAACGGTTATAGCAGAGCAACCTATAACTACTCTTTAATCTTGGTACTTACCTTGTCTCTATAAGGGTGAGCTTCGGTAGCCAATCCATCATATCTCCAGAGTTGAAAGCATAAACTAAGCTCTATAACAGTTTCAAGTATGCAAAACAAGCGGTTCCGGCCGCGGCGCCGTAGGCGCTATTAGCGGCCCTTATCTTCCTAATTATTGGCCGCAAGTAAAACTTAAAATAAATAAAATAATAAAAAACTATAAATTAAAAAAATATTTGCTATATAAATACATGTATAAAAAAATAAAAAAATATTATAAATATTTATTAAAAGGTAGCTAAACTACCCATGGGCCTTAGGGTTTAGTAAAATAAAAATATTTAATAAATATTTAGCTATATATTTATTAACCTAGGTTAATTAATTTATTTTACTTATAAAAAATATATATTATACTTAAATATTTATACTAAGTAGTTATAGGCCGCGGGAGCTACTTTTAAATAAGATTATAAAATTAAAAATTTAATTTTATAATTGTCAGGGCCAACATTGATCCGGGTCACGCCATCAAGCAATGCCTGAGGCACCCAGGTCACGCCACCGCGAAGTGTTAACATCACCCGTGTGGGATGCCTTAGGCACCTATTTAACTTAATAAACCTTACTATTATAAATTACTATACAAGACTTAATATAATATTAAATTTAATATAATATTAGGTTTAACATGGTGTTAGTTTTAACTAGGGACCTTAGCTTGGGGACCTTAGGTTTTAGGTATTATTTAAATAATAAAATAAAGGCGCGCCTTGTACTAAATTACCTTAATAGTTAAAAAAATAATTATAAGGGGCGTAAATATAAAAATATTTAAATATTATTTACTTTTTAAATAAAAATAATTTAAAAAATTATTTAAAGGCCTTAGGCCTTTAGGTAAAAGCTATATAAAAAAATTAAAGGTTATAATATATTTAGTTTTTTAAGTAATTTTTTTAGTTAAATTTATTAAGGTTTTAAATATTTTATTTTTATTAGTTAAAAATACTTTACTAAGCTTTATTATTATTAATAAAAAATATTTAGGTACTAGGGCGCCCTTATAATTAAAATTACTTTTTTTATTAATTTTTAAATATTATTAATATAGTATTTTAAATTAAATTCTTAAATAAATAAAGGCGGACTAAAGCTATTTTAGTTAAGGTTTTTAAAATATAAACTTAGGTATAAAAAAGCTTAAGACTATTATTCCCACCTAAACCTATATTATTAATATATAATAACACCCTTATTATTAAGGTTAATAACTTAAATTATAAACTAAATAACTTATTTTTTTTAGTAGGTAAGGCTTAAAAAAATTTTTTATTATTTTACCTTTTTAAAAATCCTATATAGTATATTAACCCTAAATATATTATAATAAATATTATTTTAATTAAAAATACTATTTTAAAAATATTTATAGCTAGGCTATTTACTATAATATTATAGTAAAACATGCTATTAAAACTAAAGCCTAATAAAGGTAAGTAAATAGTTTAATAAACTAAAAAAAATTAATAGCTAAATAAGCCACCTTTACCCGCTAGAAATCTTAAAAAGCCATTTAACTTATTAAGCTTAAATAATAATAATAATATTATAAATAAAATACTACCTAACTAGGACCAAGCGCATAAATAACCTTAAATATTTATTAAAAATAAGGTTATTAAAATATTAGCATAATAATTATTATAAAATAAACCTAGGTTAAAAAAATTAAAGCCTTTAAATATTAAGATTTTTAATAGCAAGAACTTAATAAAACTAAAAATATTTTTTAATAATTTTAAAAATATATTTAATAAAGCCCCTATATAATATAACACTAAAATAAGTAAAGTTATTTATTTAATAAGTAAAGTTAAAAAAAATGCATAATATAAGTAGTATATAAAATAAAAAAAGCTTACTAAGCTACTTACATGGGTAATATTTAAGTAGTTTATATATTAATAAGTTAACCTAAAAAAAAATTAAGCTAGTTAAAAAATAAAGCATTTTATAAATAATTAATAAAATAGCTAACTATTAAAGGTATAATTAATAAAGTTTTAAAAAATAGTTTTTAACCCCCTCCGGGGCACTGTTAAAAAAGCTATTATTTATATTTATATATTAAATAAGCTATATTAGTAATATATAACACGCCTGTAAAATTCTTTAACTATTTTTAAAGGTGTTAATATAAAAATAACTTAATATAAGTTAATTTTAGCACGCGAAAAGTAAAAAGCGCCTAAAAATAATAATTAAAAAAAAWAATAATAAAAACCCTCCTGCTATAAAAAACAAGAATCTAGCAAAAGGTACTAATTAAAGTTAAAATAAAAGTGTTTTAGTAAATAAAAAAAATTAAAATTTATTAAAATAGCCCTTAAAAAAGCAAGGTTAAAAAAATTATTATAGCTTTAAAAATAAAACTAGTAGGTAAAAGCTAGCGCAAGCCAAGTATTAGCTCTTGCCTAAAAAAAAAATAAATAAAAAAAAAAAATTACTACTATATATATAGCGCGGAAGGGCATTTTATAAAAAATTACTTAATTAAAATAAAAGTAAATAAAAAATTAAAAACTAAATAGTAATTACCAGGCCCTAAGCTATTAACTTTAACTAGTATAAATAAACTTACCACATTTCTTATCCTAGTAGATTTATAAGTTTAAAAAAATAATTTAAATAAATAATTTAAAGCTTTATTAAATACTAGGGCTAGTGTAAATTTTTTTTTAGTTTAATTTTTAAAAAAATAAAAAATTAAAATAGCTATAAACTAGATGCTGTAACTAGTTTAATATATTAATAAAAAAATTACTTTATACTATAGCTAATTTAAGGCTAAAATATAAATTTATAATTTTATTAGTAAAATAAAAATATTTAATATAATATTTTATATTATTAATCTTATTTATAATAAGTACTAAGCCGTGCTTAAACAGCCTTAAATAATTAAAGTAAATTTAAATATTTTCCTAATTATTAATTAATAATATTAGCGGCATTATACCCCGCGCTTTTAAATTAAACTAGTAAAAAAATTTATTAAAATAATAAAAAAGGGTTTTATGCTTTTAGTTTTATATAAATTAAAAAAAATTAAAGGTATACTAGTTACAGTCCTGCCTTTTTAATATATTAAATAAAGTTAGGTCTTTTTTAAAAAAAAAGCATTTTAACTTTTAAGTAAAAAAGTATATTATAAAATCCTTTTAAAAAAAGGTAAAATACCTTTTTAAGGGCTTATTTATAGCCTTTTTTATTATAAATTATTAACCTTAAAAAAGTATTTTAACAAGATATTAGCAAGGGGATAAATATAGCTATTTTAAAGTTTAATAAAAGTGCCTATTTTTTTTACTTAAAAAGTAAACAAATCTTTGCATTTATATATTAATTATTAAGGTTTAAATATAATAACCTAAAAAAATTATTATTTATTACCTTGTATTAATAAACTTATAAACTAGTTAATAAATATATAATACTTTATTAAACTTAACCTTTATAACATGTATTACTATATTTATATAAAGTAAAAAAATAAGTAAAAAATAGCGTTCCAGACCCGGTACGGCTATTATAAATATATAGTTATACTATTTAATCTTACTAATACACCTATAATATTTTAGTTTTATATTAATATAGTAATAAGCAGGGTTCTTAATAATTTTTATATAGTTTACTTAAATAATATCCTAATCTTTTTAAAAATTAAAAAAAAGTATATTTAATATATTTAAAAAGTCCTAAAACACCTGCAAAAGTATAATTTATATATAAAGTTATTAAAGTATAGTTTTTACCAGGAAAAGGTAAAGTTTTTTAGCTTTATTATTAGCTAGGGCGGAATATTTATTAATTTAATATAAAATTAAATAGTTATTAATTAGCTAGCGCTAATATTATATTATAAATTATAAGTTTTTTTAAGGTTTATAAATTACTTTAAATAATTTAATAAAAAATATACTAGAGTAACTCGCCCTATAATATAACTTTTAAAAAAAATAATTAAAAGGCATAAAAACAGCCCCTTTTTATAGCCGGACAATATATAAAAAGCTTTTAAAAAGGTTAAATTTATTTTTACCTAGCCTTTAGTATTATAGCATTTTAACCTAGAAAAAAAAATCTTTATTATTATAAATATATTAGGTTTTATTATAACTAGCATTATTATATAATTAAATTAAAAAAAAATACCTAATAAAAAAAAATAAAATTAATAGCAGTTTATTACCTTTTACTTTTAATAGCTTTATAAACCAAAGCTAAAATATAAAATTTATAATTAAAAATTACTTATAATTATTAAGTTTTTTAAAAAATAGTAATACTACCTAAAGGGCTTTATATATTTTATACATGTTTAGTATAATTATAATAACTTATAGTACTTTTTTAAAATAAAGGTTTTAAATTAAAGATAAGCTTATTAAGTAAAATTATTAATAACCTATAATTTTAAAATTAAGTATAGGCCAGGGAGGTTTAATCTAGTAAATATATTATTAAGGCACCTAAATTATTAAGTAAAAAATAAAAAGTACTAAGTTAGTTTACTCCTAACCTTATAAAAAAAGTTAAAGTTATTTTTTAATTAAATTAATACTAAACAAGCGCTGGAGGGCCTAGCTACCCCTTTAAAAAAAAGTTAAAAAAAGTATTAACTTCCAGGGTTAATATATTTTAAGTTATAGGTTATAAAAATAACTTATAAAAAAAACCTGCTAGACTAGCTATAAAACCCTTTTAGTAAAAGCTACTTAAAGCTTA